CACGCTCAAGCCATTGACGCCGCTCATGCGCATGTCCCCGGCTGACTTTACGCTGGCCGGCGCGGCGGCCGTGACGACACCGACGGCCGTGACGCTCGACCTGGTCCCAACGTCCACCGAGAGCTTCGTCGTTGGCTACACGGGCATGCTGGGGCCTGTAAACCCGAAGCGTCTCTCGCTGGTCGAGACGTATGGCAACGTGGCTGGCATCGGCAGCGGCTCCAATGGTGTGACGGTCACCGGGTCCGTCTCCGTCTCGGGCTCGCTCACGACTGGCCAAGCGTACTATGCGACGACGCGCGGTGACATTGTGACCGTGACGCAAACGGACGCCGACTACTTTTACACGGCGGGTGACGCCACAATTGTCACCAAGAGCTCCAAGATCGGCGTGGCCGTCTCGGGCAGCGACTTGTACGTGGCGCCGATGAACTAAGCTCCAACAACTGCATATCGCATTTTTCTAACTCTCATAATGCACATTTCCAATTTCTTTCAAACCGAGAAACTCTCAGTCCTTATCCATTGCGGAGCAGCTACGCGACGATGATGCGCCTTGCTGCAGTTCGATGCTGATCTCGGCTCAAGAGTCAACAGAGTAAAACACAGGCCCTGGCGCACAAGACAATTGTGTACAATGTACAATATTACACCACTGAATACTTGTGTATACAAGCGATGCGCGTTTCACCACTTTTGTCAAAGTAGGTTTCGAGACGAGCAAGTCGATCGGGGGTTTCGAAGGATGGTTCGCGTGCTGCAGCTCTCGCTCAAGCTGCACGGCGGCGCGCAGCTTGGGAAGGCCGTGAAAGGCAGCAGCAAGGACAAGAAGGGCAAGAAGGACGGGAAGAGCGCGACGGACGAAGAGCGGCGGCTCGCCGACTCGATCAACCGGCTCGAGATGAACGACTATCTCAAGAAACTCGCCGTCTCCAAGAAGCAGCAGCTCAAAGACTTTATGGAGAAGGAGCAGAAGATCTCCAAGATGAACAAGCTCAAGATCCAGAACCATTGGCGCAAGATTATGCGCTTGGTCAAGGTCGAGTCGCTTCGGAAGGAAGTCGAAATCAAGTCGCAGAACCACGAGCGCGACGTCGACCGAAAAGACGCCATCATTCAAATGCTCGATCGCGACCTCGAGGAGGCCGAGGAGCAGTACCAAATGGCGCTGCGCAGCCACCTTCTCAACGTCGACAAACTCATTGACCTCCAGGACGGCCGCCTCCTCGGCCTCGAGAACGAGTTTGAGAAGGACCTCCAGATCATTGAGCGCGAGTTCAGCGTCGAGAAGGAGAAAATCACCAAGCAAGTACGTGCCTATCAGGATGCAATAAGAAGTTCACATAGATATAGCACCACCTCGAGAAACACGAGCTGCTCAACATCATGCGCGCTGTGGAAGCCCAAGAGAAGGAGCGTGAAGCCGAAGCCAAGCAAGAGCACGAGCAGCTGCGCGAAGAAATCCGCAATAAGAACCTCGAAGACATCAACGTTTTGCGCATCACGCTCGATAGGTGCCCTGCGATTCACTGACTTGCATGTGCCCATGCTTCCTGTAGCAATATTGAAGAGCTTGAGCAGCACTTTGAGACGGCGCACCTCAACTATCTCCAAAACACGGACCAGCGGACGCAGGACTTCAAGTACCTCACGGCCAAGGACCAAGAGCTCTCAAAGGACATTGAGATCAAAATACGCAAGATCGAGCGGCTCCAAGCAAATTTGACGCACTGGCGCACCAAGATTGCCCAAAACGTGCGCGAGTGCAACGAGCGCAACCGCGCGCTCGAGGAAGAGAAGGGCCAGATCGCGACGCACTTTCAGCAACTCAAAGCCAAGATGAACCACATGCGGGACGAGCATCGGAAGCGACTGACCGAGCTCTCGCACCTCGCGCGTGCGACGAAACTCAAACTCACCGAAGAACAAGAGCTGGCGGAGCGCATTCTCAAGCTCGCCGAACTCGCACGCAAGCTCGAGACGGAGCGGGAGCAGGTGTTGCCGTTCTACCACTCGTCCATTGAAGACGAAGAGACCGCGACGGACGCAGTCAACTCGCTCAAGCACGAGCACCAGCTCCCGTCCGTCGGTTCGTTTGTCTTTGGACGAAGGAAAGAGGTGAAATTGGGACGTAGGATTGCCCTCGGATGTGGATCCGGTCGAGCAAACCAAGCTCGCACTCTTGCAGCCGCATGGCGAGCTCAATGGCGAGCCCGTGCCCGAGTGGGAGTACCTGGACCTCTTCTGGAAGCGCTACAACAAGGCGCTGCTTGACACGATGGCCGTGCAGAAGGAGAAGGATCGCATCGAGAAGGAAAACATCGAGCTCCAAGCGGTCCTCAAGCAATATCTTGACGGCATCACTGTCAACGAACACGTCATGAGCAGTGTGAACCCGCTCCTCGTCGTCAACGGCCGCCTGACGCTCAACCAACCGGCAGCCGTCAAGGAGAAGAACCACGCCGTCATTGACGCCAATCACATGGTCGCCACGCACCGCGTCGTCGGTCGTTACTAGAGCCAACTGGGCTACTCGAAAATACGATTGCATAATACATTCTCGTCGTTAGCGCAGGATGTGAATAGTCCCAAGGCCTTTGTTGTATGTGTGGGTGCGAGCCTCTTGCTATTGCGCCGATGCGCGAGCAAATACACCGGTCTCCCGCTGGGTCTCTCGCGTGTCGACTTGTTACGTATCGCTCAGGACACCTTTAGCGGTATCACGTGGCAGCCCCACGAGGCGTTTCAAGAAACGAGTTGGCCTTTTTATTTAGCCGACGGTTTGAGTACACCGAGTATGTTGCGCGGGTGGAATCGGCGCAACAGCGAGTCGCCCGCGGTGTCGACGCCGTCACTGCATCTGCCGCTGCGCAAGTCGAGCGTCGCGCCGATGCCAGTGCCTTCGGAACGCTCCGAGCTCGAGCGTCAATCGTCAACACTCGGTGCGTCACCGTCACAACCCGCCATTCGCACCAGCCCGGACCGGATGAGTGCCATGCGCCGCTTCAGCCGCGTGCTTCTCGGCCGCACAGAGGAGGTCGAGTTACCACGACGCAAGTCGTCGCTGCGTGCGATGGCCGACCTCTTTACGACGTCTTCGTTTCGCGTCCCAAAGACGGACGTTGGTCAAGCCAGCTTTGTAGAGCACGGCCTGGATGCTGGCCACGTCGAGAAGAGCTTGCTCATCTTGTCCGACGGGTCCCTCGACGCCGAGCTGTCGTCGACCGAGTTTGTCAAAGACCTTGTGACACATGTCACGCTGCGCGTGCAGCCGTACATCGCGAGCGACGAGTTCCTGACCGAGTGCACGCCCGTGCAAATCTCGCTCGCGATCAAAGAGCTCATTCTAAGCGCGATCCGGAGCGTGCGGGAGCTACCAACGTATGTGGCGACGGACAAAGCCGCCGAGGCGTCGCTGAGTGTCGCTGTGATTCACCGCGGCAACAAGTCGGAGCCGCCGCGGCTCTACTCGTTTACGATCGGCGACGTCAAGACGCTCGTCGTACGCAACGAGCAGCTCGTGTTTGAGAGCGCGGCGCTCATCCACAGCTTCAACACGCCGGCGTGCGTCGCGTCGCAGTCCATTCAAAGCTTTGAGAGCGACTGCCTCTACGAGTGCTTCCTCCTCGAACCCAAAGACATGGTCGTGCTTCTCTCGGACGGCGTCGCCGACAACGTGTACGCCCACGAGATTGTGGCGGCGCTCGAGAGCGAACCGAATGACATCGAGGCAGCTGCCAACGCTATTTTGCAAGTGGCCATTGCGAGCTTTGAGCACCCGCTGAACGGGCACAGTCCTTTCTCGATGGCCGCGAGCACCGAGCTGTACCGCCAGGTCGACACCGACCCGACCAAGATGGCGCAATACGCCAACGTGATCCAGAAGGACACCAACATCAAGTTCAACCCGCTCGCGCGCTTTGCGAGCACTTTTCTTGGCGAGCACTACGAGCTCGACATCCTAGCCATGCTCGCGAGCACCGAGGCTGGCCACAGCGACGACGCCACCATCTTACTTTGTGCCGTATGACCACCAGAGCAATCTAGTATGTATTAACCACTCGGTATACCGGAGGTTGATGTTGTCCTCAATGGCGCGAGCACATGCAGAGAGAGATCTTGCGGCGACAGCGGCGACACGACTTCTCCGCGGGCGGTCCCCTTGGCGCCTGGTACCCGCTGTTGCGGGAGTTGCTGTTCTGTTGGCTGTAGCCACCGCGGCCGCGCCCACGACCACCGCCTTGACGGTAGTTGTCGTATTGCTACACATTGCATTGTTGGCATACAAGCAGATGATCCGAGACGTACCAATGGCTTGTTGGCGCCGTACTTTTCGTCGTCTTCATCCAGCTTTTGGCGCTGGACGCGGTACTCGGCCTCACCGTCCTTGCAGCCGCGGCAGACACGGCCGGGCTGGTTGTTGCTGCCGCCAACGCACGAGTGCGGGTGCGTTGGACGCATCGACGGCGGCTGCACGTCTTCCTTGGGGCGGACGTAGCCAAACCGCGTGGGTGCGTGGACGTACTTTTGCGCAATCTGCGTCGTGATCATCTCCATGTAGTCGTGGATGCCTTCCTTCGAGACGTAGTTGTCGTAGAGCCACTTGGCGCGCGCTGCAATCTCGCGGCACTTGTCGTCGTTGTCGCGGCACCACTGGATCTTCTCAGCAAGGTCCGAGAGGTCGGGCTTGATCGGGACGTGGTCGACCATTGGCTGCAGCAGCGGTGTGTACCTAGAGTTGCGTGAAATACAGTCAACCTGCCCAAAGGACAATATACCACATTTCGTCGGCGACACACTTGGACGTGACCTTGAGGATGACGCCGCCGAGGCGCATGAGGAACGCATAGCGGTTCGCTGCGCAGTGGCCCTCGACGTACAAAATGTACTTGTACTTGGACTGCTCGTACATGGGAATGTAGTGGTGCTTCCCGGCCGTGAACTCGCCGCGGCCCTGGAAGCGCTCCTTGCGCACAAACGTCATCGGGTTCTTGGCGATCTTCTTGTCGCGCAGGTTCCACGCCGTGATCTCCGCGTCCAGATACGGCAGCGGGTGCATCAAGTGGTGGTACTCGGACTCGGTCTTCCACCTGCCATAGGTCTCCGTCAAACCAGCGTAAAAAGCAAGACCGCGTACAAATTGGAGAGGTGGGCGAGGTGGAGGCGCTGGTTCGTGTCAATCGTGGTGCCGCCGCCCGTCGCTGTACCGCGGAAGAACGCCGTGTCGACCTTGTCTTCCCAGGGCAGATCAAACTTTTTAAAGTTGCTCGCCGTAAACAAGTCGCGCACCGTCTATGGGACAACGTCGATATGGCGTCAAAGCTGTGGCACGTACCGAGATGCCGTGGTACTTGCGGTCGCCGGGGCAAAAGCACTCCCAGTTGGCCTCGCAGTTGCGCTTGTTCTTGCACGGGCAGTGGTGGCAGTGCGTGTGCTGGAACGACGGCGGGAAGACGAGACCGGTCGCGGCTTCCCAGTCTTCCGAGCAAGGAAACGGAATGTCGGCAAAGCTACGTAAACGACCATGAGCACACTTGAGAAATACGATGGCAACCGGTTGGAGATGTAGAAGCTCATGATCGGCGCGTACGACGGGAACTTGTACTGCGTGAGCGGCAGGTCCTCGTCCGGGTTGCGGTCGTCCCGGTCAAAGAGAAATCCATACGGCTCCGAGAGGTTGTTCTACATGGATGTACAGAAAGGTACGCTATGGAGGCACGGATCGAGACCTTGAGATGCGGGTAGTCGCGCTTGTTGATGAAAAACTCACAGTCGGGCAGGTCGCGGTGCTTGCAACAGTCGTCGAGCCTACGTCGTAAACACATGTGACGCAAATGTGCGGTGGCCAAGCGTCCTACATGTCGCGAAGCTGGGCGAGGAACTGGTCGCCCCAGTACTGCGTCTCGTCGAGCTGGCGGTTGTCCTTGCAGTGCTCGTTGCAGATGATGTTGCCGTTGGCCCACCACTTGCGGATATCGGGAATGATGTTTTCCCGGCGGTAGTGGTTGCGCTTCTCTATTGCAACTAGCTCAGCACCCACCCGAGGCAATTATTTCGGATCGCACCTTCGTAGTAGGCCTTGAAGCTCCCGTCCGACGAGTCAAACTTGAGAAACTCGGCCCAGTTGTTCTCATAGTCCTTGTTGACGAACGGCGCGAAGAGCACGACCTTGCCGGCGCGGATCATGACGAAGATGCCGCAACGCATGTGGAAGAAGAGGTACTTGAGAGTGTGCATTGTCGACTCGCGGTTCGTCTCGCGATGGAACGGCAGCTCCGTGCGCCACGTGACGCCGCTTTCGACTGCGCTGTCGACGAACCGGTTCTCGGCCCGGACGGGCGACCGGTGGGGCACGTACGGGTACTTGGCGTCGACCACGGCCATCGCCGGCAAGAGGATGTCGCGGATCTGGTTCCACGTCACGAGCATCGTAAAGATGTGCTGGAGGTTCGGGAAGTCGGGGTTCGAGCCCGGCGCGCACTGCGCCTTGACGAACTCTTCGCACTCGGCCTTGGTCCCAAACTTGGGCACGCCGCCGCCATGGGCCATGACCGCGGCCTTCCACGCGGGGTCCGTCTCGTCCTCCCAGGCGAAGAAGCCGCGAAGGCCCTCGAAGCGCGCGCTCTCGGACTTGGCGCGCCCGCCGCCGTAGTTGAAGTTGAAGCTCCCGCTGCGCTCGCTGGCCATGGCTCGCGAAGGTGGAATTTGCCCTTTGAGCAGCGCCGTTGGCTGCGCGTTCGAATAACGCATTTTGACGCTGTTTTGCGCATACGTTAAACACGGTCCATCGGCTCGCAGCCTGCGACTACCCATGGGTCACCCTTGGACTACTATTGCGACGAAATCACGCAAAAAGAAACGTGCGTACATGAAACACACGCGCTTGGCTCACCCTAGCCGCTCGGCTGATCGTGAGTACGCTTCATCTGGCGTGTAGAGACGCCATGCGCGAGATTCCTTCGACTGTTGATTTAACCTCTTTATGGAGGTCGTGCGCGAGTCAATACACTCGACGGTACAGGCGAGGCGTAGTGTTTTCTTGCCATCAGTGGTGATCACAGAGAAGCGCTGGTACGTGGCTCTCACGTTGCAGCACTGCGTTTGACGCGATTGCTTAAGTAAAACTCAATTGGCGTAAAACGAGCCATCACTGCGTTTAAGTTGATACCGGATACAGTATCCGTATGACCACGCCAGCAATCGGCAACAAAAAGCATTTTGACGTGGACGGCGATGGTGTGCTGGCGATCGCTTGCAGTCGTAGCCGGCGGCGCGGCCTTGCGCTTCGCTGCCGCCGAGGACGCGCACGAGTATGTGTCTCGGGAAGAGGTCTTCGTCGTCGCCAACACGGTATTGAACTCGCTTCTGCGTTTAAATCCGCGTCAAACGATACCTGTCTCGCGTATAGATTCGGCCGTTCTCCAACCCGACCGAGACGTACCACTACTACAAGCTGCCGTTCTGCAAGCCCAAGGAGCGGCAATGGGACGACCACGACCTCGGTGAGCTCCTCACGGGTAGCCGGAAGGTCGTAACCGACTACCGCATCTTCTTTGGCGTCGACGTGACGTACAACGAGCTGTGCAAGGTCCCGTTCACGCCCGAGGTGCAAAAGGCCTTTACGGACGCGGTCGAGGAAGACTTTGTTTTTGAAATGTACGTCGACGACATTCGCGTTTCGGGCCAAGTGGGCCAGGCTATGCAGCGCGTCAAGGGCGGCAACTACCTCCAGCAGCACTTGCAGCACCTCCAAAAGTACGCGCCGTCGTCGTACGACTACTACCTCAACACGCACCTCCACTTTGACATTGCGTACAACGACGTCGAGAAGGCGCTCGGCGGGTACGATGGCGACGAAGAGGTCACGTCGCCCGTCCGCAAGTATTTGGTACACGCGTGGTCCATATTCGCCTCCTCATGATTAACGAGCTTAGATTGTTGGCATCAACATGACGATGACCAACTCGGTCGAGACGGACGAAAACGAGTTCCAGTACCATCTCGCCGAGCCGCTCACGGGCGCGTCGCCCGACATTGTGTTTACGTACTCGGTCAAGTGGCAGAAAAAGTCGTGGGGCAAGTACGAAGACCGCCTCTTCAAGGTATATCGTTCCACCATTCGACGCTAACGCGAGCGCAGGACCCGCTCTTGCCCGAAGTGCTCGAGATCCACTGGCTCAGCATCATCAACTCGTTTGTGCTCGTCATGCTGCTCGTCGCGTTCCTCTCGATCATCATGTTTCGCATCCTCAAGCGCGACGTGTCGCGCTACATGGACCTCGAGGACGGCGCCGACCTCCACGACGAGTCGGGCTGGAAGCTCGTGCACGCCGACGTCTTTCGCAACCCGCCGTTTCTTGTCCTCTTTTGCGCGTTTGTCGGCGCCGGTGCCCAGCTCTTTGCGATGCTCTTTGGTGTCCTCGTCCTCTCGCTCCTCGACGTCTTCCATCCGAGCAAGCGCGGCGGCCTCGTCTCGGCCATCGTCGTCGCATACGCCCTCACGGCGGGCGTCGGCGGTTACCGCTCGGCCAGTCTCTACAAGCAGCTTGGCGGGTACTCTCCTCTGGTCTATTGCAACAAAAATGATATTAAAATATCTGGGGTCGTAGGCAGCGCTGGGTGTGGAACCTCGTCGTGAGCGGCCTCGTCGTCCCCGGGCCGCTCATCGCGATCTTTGCGTTCCTCAACACGGTCGCCATCTGGAACGACTCGTCCGCAGCGCTTCCCTTTGGCACGATCATGATTCTGCTCTGCCTCTTTCTCCTGGTCAACGTCCCGCTCGCCATCACGGGAGGCATTGCCGGGCGCAACCTCACGGGTATATTGGCGATGTGACATCTTATTCTAAACTTATGAATGCTAGCGCCGTACAAGCCGCCGTGCCGCACCAACAAGATCCAGCGCGAAATTCCGATGGTGCCGTGGTACCGCCGGCCGATCCCGATGGTCGTCGCCGCCGGCTGCCTTCCGTACAGCGCCGTGTACATTGAGCTACACCACATTTTCGCAGCGATCTGGGGCCACCAGATCTACACGCTGTTTGGGATTCTCTTTTTGGCGTTTGTGATGCTCGTCTGCGTCACGGCGTTCATGACGATCACGATGACGTACTTTCAGCTCGCGGCCGAGGACCACCGGTGGTGGTGGCGGTCGTTCTGGTCGGGCGGCATCACGGGCGTCTTTGTGCTCGCGTACAGCGTCTGGTACTTTGCGACGGCGACCGAGATGACGGGGTTCTTCCAGGCCGCCTTTTACTTTGGCTACTCGCTCATGATGGCCTACTGCTTCTTCATCATGCTCGGCTTCATCGGGTTCCAGTCCGCACTCCTCTTTGTGCGCAAGATCTACACGACGATCAAGGTCGAGTAGACGCAATAAGCTCGAAACGAGTCAGCTTCGATCATCCGTATTGCGACTCTCCGTTGCAGTTGAAAAGTTACGAAAGACAAAGGGTTGATGGACTCTAGAGCAAGCGAAGAAACTTGCGCGCGTTGTACGTCGTGGCCGCCGCAACGTCCTTTGCCGGGAGGCCCAAGCACTCGGCGAGAGCTTCGACGACGCTGGGGAGCGCGGTGGCGACGTTCGGATACTGCTTCTTGGGGTGCGTCGCCGCAAGCTTCCGGCAGTGCGGAAAACCCATGTACGGCGCGTCCGTCTCGACCACGAGCCGGTCCAGCGGCACGACGCCGTCGCGAAGCAGCGACTGGAGGTTCGCGCCGTGGGATTTGCAGAGGAAACCCGTGACGCCAATGTACAGACCCATGCTGACGTACGTCGCGGCTTCCGCGGCCGTGCCCGTGAAACAGTGCACGACGGTTGGCGGCAGCTTGGCCGCGCGCTCCGTCAGCGCCGCCACAAACGGCTCGTGCGCAAGGCGTTCGTGAAGAAAGAGCGGCTTCTGCAGGTCGCACGCGAGGTCGAGCTGCGGAAGAAACCACTCGAGTTGCAGCTCCGGCGACGGAAAACCCGGTGAGTAGTCGAGACCGCACTCGCCGACAGCGACCATCTCGGGCTGCTTGGCGAGCGCCGAGAGCGTCGCAAAGGCGGCGGGGTCGAACGCCGACGTAGCGTTGTACGGGTGCACGCCGGCCGTCGGAAAGAGCACCTGCGACCAGAGCTTGTAAGATAGAATGCAATGTCGATCGACGAACCGTTGGGTACAGCCGTGCGAGTTCCAAGCACTGCTGGCTTTCCTCGAGCGTCGCGCCGGGCACGAGCATCTGCGTGACGCGGGCCTCCTTAGCCTCGGCAATGAGCGCGGGCGCCTGGCCTTCGAAATCGGGGTGCGTTAGGTTACAGTCAAAGTCAAACAGGTCGACGTCGAGAGTAAGCCACGCCGGCAGCTTGCTATCGAGAGCCTTGATGCATCAGCAGCGAATCGATGCTCGTACCTCACGGGCGCCACGGGCGTTGACGCTTTCTGGAGCTTCTTGGCGCGCTTGGCGATCTTCATGGCCTTGGCGTCCATGGTCGGCGCCGCCACGGGAGCGGCTGGTGGCACGGGAGCGCTCTTGCTGTCGTCGCTGCTCATGGCTGTCGCTGGCGATCCAAGCAAAACACTGGTTGCTCTCCGGATACCGAATCCTGGTTTTGCTGCTCTCGCTGTCTATGTACACCCAACTCCTGTCACAGAAGTGGGGTCACAGACGGAAGCGTTCTTGTTCCACTTGTACCGAAGAACGCGACTCAAGAGAAATGGATATGGTCTTCTCAATCGACAAGCTCGTGCGGGCTGAAAATGCTGCTTTCATATTGTATTGCGATCTCAGCGGAAATACTTGCGTGAAACTAGTCAATCGGTTACCCGGCCCGAGACAAGGATTTGTCCGGATTGGAATAGGCCAGCCAACCGGTGGAGTCGAGCATGAAGCGCGAGCTGTGGAGCCATGCGCTGCCGAACGAGCCGACGACGGTCGTCGAGCTAGGCATGAGCCAGCGCCTCGTACACGCGTCGCCGGACGCAATCCCTTCGACGTCGGTACCGCTGCTTAATGCACCAAGCGCGGTCGTTGGCTTCGAAGCCGTCGGCGCGCCACGGGTCTTCTTCCGCAACGTGGCCGCGTACCCGTTCAAGCGACCAGATACGAGCCGCGACTGGTACAGCATGGATCGACACGCCAACTACGTTCAAAACTGGGCTGCGCGGCAGCTCTCGGCCTTTGACAAGCGCTTCAAGGACAACCTCTCGCAGCTACACCCGGAGACCCGCGACCACATCGAGACCGAGATCCTGTACGTCCCTGGTCGTCGAATGCAACACATCTTATGTGGATGCTCGTAGGAACGGTCGCGCCAACAGCGCCCTCCGCAGCGCGCGCCAAGGCAACGCGCTTGCAACCCACACGACGAGTGCGCACCAGGTCTTGTGGACGCCATCGGGCGAGCTCATGCAGCACATCCAGTGCTTTCGACGCGAGTCGCAGCCAAGCCATCGATCCAAGGCCAAGCGGTGGATACGCTACGCACCAACGACTGCGACGACGAACCCGATCCGGCAGCTCGAGGCGCTTGGCGACCCCAACGTCCCAGCCGTCGTCGCCCGTGGAGACGCCAACGCCACGATCGCAGCGCTCTCGCCGGTCGACAACAGTGTTCAAATCGTCGAGACGCTGCGCTTCAACCACTTGCTCGAGCACGTGGCGTGCAGTCCGCACACGCTCGGCGAAGCCATGTTCATTGCGCAAAACCGCGAGTTCCTCCAGTGGACGTCGGAGGGTGGCTTGCGCTCGATGGGGCCGCCCGTGCAGGAGCAGTGGACGCGCGCCGTGTACAGCAGGTCGCCCTCTCTATCTTTTGGTGCAGAGCTCACGCCTCGAATCTAGTCATCCGTGTGTGCTCTGGGTGGCCGCGACCGACACGATTGGGACGCTGGACACGCGGCAGGCATCGCCCGCCTGCTTCAATCGCAACTGGATCTACAACTCGCGCGGTGCAACGACCATCTACGACGTCAAGCGACACCCGAGGTACACAGCGTTGATACTGCAGAGTGGTCATCGCGTCCGTAGCTGCCCGTTTCAGTACGTCGTGCGCACGGGGCTCTCGCTCGAGGTGTTCGATACGCGCAGCAGCAGTCGGTCGGTCGTGCACTGGTCCCACACGGGGCTCTTCCCCGAAGCGAGCGTTCGTTGCAACATCAAGGAACCGATCACTGGGCCATTAGATATTGTCGACGTCTCGTCCGGCACCAAGAACCAAGGTATGTCATGGTGACATGTCGATCTAGTCGCAATACTACTATGCGGCTAGCGCTCTTGCTGTCGGGCACGTCGGTCCTCAACAAGGTGACGGTGCACAGCTACCACGTCGCGTCATCGGTTCCCAGTGGAAGCGAAGTGTTGCGGCCGCTGCTGGCGTCGTCACTCGCTTCGCAGAGCCAAGCCGGCGTCGACATGGCGCCGTTCGATGTCCACTTGCCCGACACAAGTCCGTCCGTGCACTTGGTCGGGGTTGCCGGACTTTTCAACGCATTTGGCTCGGAGAAGCACGGGGCGTCTTGCGTCGACGTCTTCCAAGTCAGCTCCACGGGCGATGTCTTTTGCCAGACACTGATGGCTTCGAACGCCACACAAGCCGCCGTGCAAGCCGAGTACGCTATTGTCTCGTTATCGTTGAGTCATAGACACTTGTAGGCTCGCATGCGGTATGACGGTGCGCGCGACCGACCGCGACGCGTCGCTGCCGATCCCATTCAGCGCGTTTCTTCCCGAGCACGACGCAGAGAGCCGCCTGGCGCATGTGCGTGTTGACCAAGAGAAGCTCCGGGCTGCTTTGGTCGCACGTGCAAAGGAGCTCAGTCCAACGATATCACCCAGCGACGAACTACTTTCACTCGCGGTACTCCGCCGCCACTTTCGCGTGGTGAAGCCGTCGTGCACACTGCGAACGCTGCGGGACACGTGGGTCGATCTGCCCAAAGTCCACGTACTGCTCGCGTCGCTGCGGGCGTCCGACGGCTTCCATCTCCAGCGCGTGCACCCGCACAACCGCGGCCCCCACACTCGGGTCCGGGTGCGTCCGGCTGAAAGCGACGTCAAACCGTCGCTGGACGACGCAGCGTGTCACTGCACCAATAAGATGAGCGACGTTTTGGAACTGTGCGCAGGCGACAACTGCGTCCTACTGGACGCGATCGTTGTGCGGCGCCAGTACCACGACAACGTCAAGCACGAAGATGGTGGCCAAGCCGTCGTTGCTTATGGCATTCCGACGAGAACCAAGCGCGATGAGAAGAAGGTGACGACCAACGTCAACGGCCACGATTTTGTCCTCGCCGACCTGCGCGCCGTGTATGGCCGCCTGCCAGACTCAGCATCGCAGTACGACTCGCAGTACGATTAAGCCAAGGGAAAGCCTCCTCGAGGGGTGCAATGTAATCTACCATAAGCGTTGACCAACTTTGGGTGTACCCTCGCGCGACCGTCTCTCGAATGGTCAGGTCAGCCAAGCGAAAGACGATCGCAGCAGCTTCCAAAAGAGTCTCAGATGAAAGTTGCACCGGTCTCACGCTTGAGCTCCTAAATTCGGCCTCAAACGACTCGTGGGCGAAGAGAGGGACACACTCAGCAGAAAGCGTTAGACACGATGGAGGTCGCGTGACAGTTTACCTCATCGCCGCACCTTGACGGCATCTTGTTTGTCGACAAGAACGAGCTCGCTCCGTTGAAGAGCGTCGAGGATCCACCTCGTCGCCAAGCTACACGACATGAAGTTGAGCGTGGCAGCCCGTCGCTCAAGTTCCACGACACGGTCCTCCGCGATGACATGCAGCTGGCGCCGCTGGAGCCGACGCTGCGCACGGGAGGTGTGCGCTAGTCGCTACGCGTCAGGGACGAATTGGAAGAAGCAAAGTGCATTCATGTCATGTCGCTCACGGGCGAGACGACGTCGCTTGACGACATCTTGTCGTCGACATTGATGATGACCATCACGAAGATGATTCGAGACCGGACAGGCCAGTCTGTCTCCACGCAGCGCATGATCTATGCCGGCAAACAATTGTGGGATGAGAAGGCCTTGCTGGACGACAACATCAAAGCCGGTTGCACGTTGCACATCGTGAAGCGGCTGCGAGGCGGCGGCATGGCGGCCATGTTCACTGACGTCACCAACGACAACGCCATGCGTTCCACCGCCTTCTCGTCGTCGGCGCCGAGCTGGCGTGACTGAGAGTCTCAACCTCCACGGCACATGCATGAACGGCGCGAGCGAAGCGCACCGCTGCGAGGTGATTGCATCGATTGGCACCAAGCCTTTCATCTGGTCAAGCCGTCGGGAGTCCAATCACGGCGGTGTATTCTCTGCAAGATGTACCTCGCCCAAGACAAGGCGATCTGCGGGCATATGCACGAAGGATGTGCCAAGACGTGGTTTGAAGCCTCGGCCGCGCGGCGCGACGTTGGTGCTAGCTGCCCCGAGTGCTGCGTCTGCATTAATTGATGCTGATAACAACTCATATGTGTGCACGTGTCTGTGCTATCCCAAGCGTTCGAGCAAGGGTATACAAACCCTACTTTTAATTAGAAAATCTGCACGTCCGAACGGGTTAAGCCTTGGCTCCAGAAGTAGTCGTCCCAGTGGTTGCGACATTTCACGATTGAGGTACTGCTCGTTGATGCGCAGAGCCATTTCAAGACCCACCTGCGGCGCCTCGACAGCGCGGTCGCCACCACAGCGGCTCCCGCGCTTTTGGATCTTGGCTGGCGGTAACCCGTACATTAAATGGATTTCTCCTTTTCCAATACTAAATGCAGCATTTTTTATTCTCCATCAAAATACTTTTGTCCAATCAGCGCGCATCGCGCCCATCTCACACGCCCTGAGCGCGCCACGTCATTCTGTCGACCGTTCGATAAAAATCGGCGAAGCAAGAGGCAAGCAGTAGCAAATTTGCGGACCAGGATGGAAGTCGGGTGGACGCGGGTCGTCTCGGCGCAACTCGACGGGCTCCTGTGCGTTGAAGATGATGAGCTCACGCCGACGATGACGGTCGCGGACCTCAAGGAGCTGCTTCGCTCCAAGCTCAAGGCGCTCGGTGTCGGCGTGCGCATCAACCCGAAGCTCATTTTCTACGACACGAAGCCGAACGACAGCGACGAGATTACGCCGCTCATGCCGACGTTGCGCACGGGAATCTGCGCTGGGTGCTTCATATGAAAGAAGTTCCAGTGGTCCCCCACGACGGGAAAACCGTCCAGATCTTCGTCAAGACCTTGACCAGTGCGACCATCACGCTGGACGTTCTTCTGTACTCGCCGGTCTACGAGACGATGCAAGGGATCTTGAAGAAGGAAAACATTCCGACCGATCAGCAGCGCTTGATTTACGCAGGCATGCAGCTTGAACAAGGACGAACGTTGGAAGACTACGGCTGGACGGAAATCCACGCTGCATCTCGTCCTCCGCGGCGGTGGTTCCGCGGCGTCGTTTGCCGATGTCTCAGATGCCAGCACAATGCGCTCGGCGCGCATCTCGTCGTCTGCGCCAAGTTGGCGCACGTTCGACCGCGGTCTCAACATCCACGGCAAGTGCACCAACGAGGCGTGCATGGTGTACGGCAAGGAAGTGATTGTTCCTGTCAACTTAAGGCCTTCAACGTCTTGGCCCATTCGGCTCCGTGCCCCATCTGCAAGCAAGCCATCGAAGCGCGGTCGTGTGGCTTTTATGCGTGCGAGTGGCGCTATGAAGCCTTCAAGGTGGGCTCCGGCATGCACATGTCATCTGACTGGAAGTCGCTGCCTACGACTGGTGGGTACCATGTTTTTTTATGGCGACGACAGCAACATGGTGCTCTGGCGCGCGCTCTTACTCTTGGTCAAGCCGCTGCGCGATGAGCCCAAGTGTGCGCTCTGCAAGGACGCTATCGGCGAGACGACGCTCTGCAAGGACGCTATCGGCGAGATGACGCTCGAGTGCAAGACGACATGCGGACACATGCATCGTGGCTGCGTCGATGCGTGGGTCGCCGGCTCGATGCAGCGCCTCTCCGTCGGGGCCAACTGCCCCAAGTGCCACACGAGCGTCGCTTGATGCATACGAAAACAAACATTGAGCAACCATCACCCAAAAAATCCAAAACATCATTTGCTCAAACTCAATGTGCTTTTGAGATCCGCTATGCTCGTTCACTTTCGTCGCTTGGGCTCTTCGTGACCTTCCTTCTTGGTGTGCTTTTGCACTACGCAGCATTCAATGAGTCTCAAAACTCGATACAAGATAAGACGTACGCATCTTGAGCGTCGGGAAAGCCATGGCACATGAACCGCACGGGAACTCGTCGTCGTCAAAGTCATTTGTTTTGGCCACTTCCTTTTTCCCGTCATCTTTCTTGGTCGTCTTGCGCTTCTCCTTGCGCTCGGCGCGCTTCTCAGCAGCCTTCTTGTCCTTCTCTTCGCGTTCTCTCCGCTTCGCTTCGTCCTCTTCCGAGACCTTGGCGGCCTTGGTCTCCTTCTTGGCACTCGCCTTCTTCTCGCCATCAACATCGTCGCATTGGGCGGCGTCCGGCACGGCGCGCTCGCTGCTCTCGAGCTCGAGCAGTTCGTCGAGCATCGATGGGTCGAGGCCGCTCGCGATCATTTGTTCGCGGTGCTTTTTGGATTTCAAATGGTTTTCGACCTGCTTCTCCGACTTGAACTCTTTCTTGCAGAGGTCGCAAACGAGGATCATTGCCTCTTGCTTGGCGACGCGCTTGGCAACCTCGGCGCGGACCTGCGCTTCAACGTGCGCGTGGACGACGTCGTCGTCGGCCTCCCACTGCGCCTGGAACGATGCCTTCTCGGCCTCAAAGGCCGCGCGCTTCTCCTTGGCGAGCGCTTCCTTCTCCTTTGCCGCGGCTTCCTTTGCAGCCTCGAGCTCCTTGAGGTACTTGGCCATGCGCTTGTCGCGCTTCCGGACAAACTCGACGAGCGCGCGCACGTTGGCACTGAAAGCCTTCTTGCCGCCGTCCCGCGCCTTCTTGTTGTCCTTCTCCATGAGCCGGCGGATCTCGCGCGTCGGCGCGTCCGTCGTCTTGTAAATGTCGAGCCAGCTGAACGACCGGTCCGTCGCATACGCGCGCCAGTAGTTGTAAAAGCTGTTGACGTCGGTCGCCACGTTCGACTTGGACGAGCCAAAGGACGGGGCTGCAAGCTTGTCGCCGCGCGCCTCTTGGTCGAGCGCGTCAATCTAGTCCATCTTATATCCTCTGTGGATTGCACAATGCAAGTGCTACCTGCTCAAAGAGGGTGCGGTACACGCTGAAGAAGCCAGCGTCGTCGTCCTTGAACCCCTTGTACACCGTCGGGCTGCCGAGAAGCGTGCCATGTGAACAAGCGAAGAGAAGCCGACTTCATACCTGAAGTAGCGCATGAGGTCGAGCGGATCTTCTTCGGTCGCATGGTCGTCGCCGTCGTCGCCGCGAAGGATTTGCTCGCGATGGTCGTCGTACCATTGCCGTTCTTGCGGGTCGCTCAGCACTTCGTACGCGCTTTGGATCTCCTGGAAGATGGTCGTCGCCTCCTCGACGTTCTGGTCCGGCTTGATCTTGTCCGGATGCCACTTGAGCGCGAGCTTGAAGAAGGCCTTGCGGAGGTCCGCGGCCGCGATGTCCCGGGCGACGCCCAGCACCTCGTAGTGGCAGCGCATCGTCGCAATTGGCCATGGCCAATCATGTCGACGACCATCACTCGTCTCGAATCTAAGCACACGCAACTCGACCTCTGCCATTCGGACGCCGCGCCAATGCAGCGCAATGCAAGGGCTGCCGGCATGCAACAATTTAGCAACAATATGATGCATTGATGGGCAGCACTCGCCAATGGTGAGGTGGGATCCGCCACGGGATCCGCCACGAGACAAGACACCGCGTAGGCGCTGTACATACATTCTCCGGTTGGATAACGGATATCCCGCGCCCTTTCCACGACGACGATGAATGGGCTTGGGCTGCCGGCCATCGCAACGGGCGGCGAGGCGGCGCGGGACTTCTTCCTCGACTTTGAGACGCATGCATTCCCTTACGGTACGACAATGTCTCGCATCTCGGCCAACACCTCGCAGGCGACTCGTATGTGATGGATCCGGCGCTGCCAGGCGACGACGAGGCCGCCACTCAGCGACAGGTTCGCTGCGTTACGCCGATTTGAGATTAGTGCAGAGTCTGCTTAGCTCTGTGCGACGGTCGATACGTGGGTTAAGATGCTCCTGGACACGCTCGACGAGCTGCTGCAATGGAAAGACCACGTTGTGACACTCGCGGCGCTGCCAACCACCGCGCTCTCGACGTTGGCCGTTCTCTCGTCCAAGCTCTGTCGCTGCAAGAGCCACATTCGCAGTGCGCTGCCGCAGCTTCTTTCGACGACCGACGACCTCATCGGTGGCGTACTCTTGAACGAGCACATTCGCGCCTACAAGACCAACATGGTCGAAATGGCGATTGCCATGGACCACGAGAAGATGGTGCTCACCGAAGAGCAAGTGAAACTTCGCGCAGCCTTGGCGCAAATGACCCGCATGAAGAGCGCGCACCGTGTCTTCCGCTGGAGCCGCCTCTCGAGTCGCTTGCGGGAACGCGAGCTCCGGCGCGCGCTCGACAATCAGCACTGTGCGTTCGAGACGAAGCGCGAAGAGCTGCACAGCCTCATCGAACGCCAACGCCAGCGCATCGAGGCACTCGAGAGGCAATTAGAGGAGCTGCAGACGTACGCGCAGCACACACCGCTCAAGAAGCCACCGAGTCCGCCGCGGCCCGAGGCGCCGCCGGTGCGAACCTTTGCAATGCGAAAAAATCGAGTCATGTCGGCGCCTTCTACCAACGTGGCCTTCCCGCGACGCAACGCTCTCGATCTATCGACAGCGGCAGCGATACCGTCCAAGGCGCGCAAGTGGCTGCGCCCACCCAAGCAGTCGACCAACAACCAGGACGACCTCACGAGTGTTGTGCCGGCAACTCCCAAGAAAGCGGTGGGCATCTGCCGGCCTCGGACGTCGAACGCGGTCGTGCGCAAGAAGCCCCTGCTGCTGTACCACGAGGTACTCAACATCAACTTGATGGCTTCAAGCGTGGATGGGGTGGTAGGACGCAGCCAACGAACGGCGGTCGCCGCCCAAGGACCGGGACCCTGATGCCATGTCCCTCGTCGAGCACGACGCTTTCTTTGGCGTACGAAGTGCAATCTTCACAACCGATTAGCCACACCCCTCGTAGGGGACATGGGATGCGCGCCGAGACGGACTGCGACGCAGTGCGCTGGCCAAGCAAGATGCCACGGCGCTCAAGGACGAGCGAATACCGAACGTGCCCGAGTCGGACGACGGTGTTGCGTTGTATGCTGTGCACCACGATGCGCTCGTGACGCGCGTGCCGCCACGTACGCAAAAGCGGCAGTAGCTAGTAGGTGGAGTTTCTATTGCAATGTGATTCTTGTTATTGTAAATTCATCGTCGATCAGTCGACGTCGCTTACGACCGCGAGCGCGAGCGGCGGCGGCGTGGTGCCGAGCGCGAACGACGCGGGCTGCGGCGACGGGGGCTGCGGCGGCGGTCACGCGAACGGGAGCGCGAGCGGCCACGGCGGCGGATCGGCGAGCGCGAGCGGTCACGCTTGCGCATTTCCACCGGCGTCTTTCGCCGTTCCTGCGCCATGACAACGCCAATGCGCGTGCCTTCAAGGTCCGTGCCGTCCAAGGCGCGGATCGCGACGTCAGCCTCGTCTTGCGTGGCCATCTCAACGAACGCAAAGCCGCGCGGTTCACGCGTGTAGTGGTCGAGCGGGATGTACACATCGCGGACCTCGCCGTGCTTGGAGAATGCTTCGTAAATTGCATCCTTGGCACCACGGCGGCTGATGTTGCGCACGAGGATCGAGATACGTTCGCCTTCGCGAGCACCCTCGCGGGCACCGCCTCGCCGATCGCGGCTGCTACCACGGCCACGGCTGTTGCCGCGGGCAGGGCTACGGCTGCGACGGCCGCGGCTGGTCTCGCGGGCCGGGCTGCGGCTGCGACGACCACGGCTCGTGCTGCGTGCAGGGCTCGACGCACGTTCCCGACTGCTCTCGCGCACAGGGCTGCGGCTGCGAGCAGGGCTACGGGCGGGACTCGAGGCCTTCTCCGGGCTCGGGCTGCGGCGGGGGCTGTCGGCGCGGTCGCTCATGCTGCGTTTTGCTTTCTGGCCAAACGATTTTGGTTGGCTCGAGTAGTGGCCGCTCCTTCCGTATCCGGATATGTAGATCCGGTTGCCCTGTAACACGCAGGAGTCGCCAAGCCCCGCGAGCCTGGCTCCGAGCGCGTCGACCCAAAGACGACACTACAATTCGCGCTCCGCTCGTCCATGACCACGGGTTTTTCAACCCAGTGGAAGACTTCGTCCAAGAGTATACCGTACTACGTGAATATCGGCGAGTGTTCCACGGCATACGTGGCAGCGCCGCAGTTAAGAAAATCCGAAACCTCCCGAAATGCTATCTTGCCGTTTGCAGAGCATACACGGGGCGAGGTATTTAGGTACTTGGTGGGCTCGAGCCCTGCCATAAAGATCTCGATCCGCGGATCTTGTGAAACATTCCAGAACGGACTCGGACGCAGTTGAACACGAGACCTGCACCAAGTTGAAGAAGTGATGTGGCTACTTGCGTTGTGTGACGTTGGTGTCTCGACTGAAAATGCGCTTGAAATTGACAGCTACGAATACGTCCCGATGCCTCGATATCCAGAAGTGTTCAATCCATCGCCAAGCTCAACGACGCGCACATCGAAAAGTCGCGAGGGGCTTAGAGGATAGCGTGAATCGACCGCCCAAGCTCAACACTATTAACTCTCAAAGCCAACACGCCGAGATCGCAAGACCGACGACGACAACGTGACCCTGTTGAGGTCCTCGGAATTTACTGCGTCGTCGTTGCTCAAAACGAGTGAGGGACTCAAGCGCTCGATTGTCAAACAATCTCACTCGTCGTCGAAGTTCGAAGCCATAATCTTCGACGCGACCAGACATCTCACTTTTCGCACCCAGAAGCCGGCGGGATGCGGGTCACGCCCCGCGCATACTTGACGCCGCTGGCGCTGCTCGTGCTCTTCCACCACGTGCCGATTCTCATCGCGTGGGCCGTCTCGAGCGTGCGCGAGGCCTGCACGAGCGACGCCTTCCCGGTCTTGCGCTACGTGCGCGTGGCCGTTGGGCTGCATAGCGGCCTGCTCGGGCTCTCGGTCATCACGATCGCCGTGACGCTGTGCCTGCCCGTCTTTCGCCCGTCCGTGCCAAAGGAAACTTTGCTCTTGGCGGCCATCGTCGGCGGCTACGCAGCGCTCGCGGGCTGGAGCGTCTTTGGCCTGTACATTCATAACCATGACTACGGCGCCTGCAGCTGGCCGTTCTACCATCCGTCGATTGTGCTTTTCGACACGGTCGCATCGTTCGTCGTTGTCGTGCTCTGGGTGTGCAACAACTGGCCGCGCTTTTGCTGCCGCCGAGCGTCCGACCCGGTCAACTACTGGAACAAGCGCTGCCGGCTCTTGTCCATGGTGTGTGTTTGCACCGACTACCGCAAGCAGCAACTCGACATTGATGTCTTCTCGCTTCTCGGCGCTTTTCTGGCGCAGTTTCTCGGCGGTCGCCGCGCGCCGCGCACGGTACGTTGTGACTGGATCGAACCAAACGCCCACGGAGATACATCTTTGGCGTCTAGTACCAATCGCTGCACAGCCACGACATTGTACTGGCGCTGCGCCTCGTCTCCAAGGCAAACAGCAAACAACCCCGGTCTCCATATGTTGCTCATGCTGCTGTAGCGCCAAGCTCGGGAGCGACAAGTGGCGACGCCTGCACCGGCGCCAACCACGAGCCTCCTCGATACGGTACTCCGCGAGCGTTCGGACGCAGGGACAATGCCTGTGTCTTTCTAGTCGGCGCTGCTTCAGAAGGCGTCCTACTATGGGCGGCTTTCCGCGGGCATCTACGGCTGGCCCATGTACATCTACTACAACCCGCTCTCGTGCCACAAGACGTGGCCGTGCTGCCAGCCACGCGACGTCAAGCAGCACATGACCACGGTACAGGGCCATTACATCCATGAGCTTAGGATACAAGTATGCGTAGCTCAAGGCGACGTCGGCGGGTCATGCGTCGCGCCAGGCAGTGTCTTTCGTGCAGTACACTGGCGTGCACCACACACACGTTCAGTACATGGACCGCAGCAACTCGGTCTTCAAAGTGCCCTTCTCTGTGCTTAAAGACGTTGATGCAAAAGAGCTCATCGTGTGCGTCCGGGGCTCGTTCTCATGGCACGACATCGTCACGGACGTCCTCACGCAGTCGGTCGCGCTCCCGGACGGCGAGACGTGCGTGTCAGGTACGCGCTCTCGTTCCCCTTTGCTATAGAAGGTGGTGCCAACGCTTCGTAGGTACGGTGCACGCTCACGAAGGCGCCTACCGCGCTGCCCGCCACATTTACCAAGAGCTGCAGTCCGGTGCACTCCAAACCATCTTTTGGGACACCGCTGTTGAGCACTGTGGTCGCGACGACGAGCCCACGGGCTGGCGCGTTGTGCTCACGGGGCACTCGCTTGGCGGTGCGATTGCGACGCTCTTGGCGCTCTTTCTCGAAAAGTCCTTTGTCGTCCACGGCTACGTCTTTGCGCCCATGAAGGTGGTGGACGCGATCGCGGCCGACCACGCGGCGTCGTTTGTGGATGTGTTCGTTTACGGTACGACCAACGTTGGTCGAGAGGACTCATAAAGCGTAGGAGACGACTTTGCATCGCGGCTCTCGGCAACCTCTTTGGTGCGATGCGACGGCGACGAGGTGTCTGACGTGCCATACTAGGCGCGCCTCCGGGAAGAAATGCTGGTGGAGCTCAAGAACGTCTCCAACGTCGCTCTCTACAAGGTCTACTGGCACGGATTCGACCCGACGTCCTGGGCGCCCAGCGTGCATGCGCACTGGAACGACTGGGAGTTTATCGAAAACCGCGACGGTACTCGCTACGAGCGCGCAGGAAGAGCCGTGATGCGTCCTACTACGTAGAGATCGAGATGCAGGTGGCCGGACGCATCTTTCACGTCGAGCCCGAAGCGCCGCGCGGCCTCTGGCCGCGGCTGTGGCCGTCGAAAAATCCGGTCGGTCGAGTCGCTATTGTGTCGAGGACAGTTGAGGCATCGTCGTGTAGGTGCTCACGTGCACGCAGCGATCCCGTAGCCAGTTTGATCGGCTCTGGCTCAACTATCACGCAGGCACGGACCACTTCCCACACCATTACGATCAGTATCTGGCGCACGCCGCCCGGCGTTTGGAGGTGCTTGGGGCCCAACGCCAAGCTGACGCAGCCTTCTTTGAGGAGACGCGGGCGTAATTCTATCGCCCTTTCTACGACAGTCATACCTTGTGCACTCGAACATCGATAGCAACGCTTTGGAAATACACTGTACTAGCAGTAGCGGTGGCCTCGTATAAGGAAAGGCAACACGCTTCACGCCCTCGCCTCCTCGTCCATCGAATGCACTTGGCGGCCAACGGGAATCGAACTGGCGACGGTGCAAGTTGGCACTGTGTTGTGCTTCGGTGCTGTTCAGCCGAGTCGTACTTAGCATAACCCGTACTTTATCCGTGCCTATTGCTCGCGAGTCTCGGCAGGATGGCGATGCTACGGCCTGCACTGCGGCTGGGCCTTCTAAGCGCTGTGTCTAGCCGCCACCAGAGCTCGGTGCGTCTGGCGGGCGCTGTGGGACTCTTTGCAGGCGGGCTAACGGCTGCGAACGCCTCGTTTCCAGCGACGTACTGCCGCCACGCGCAAGTTCACGAGAAGCCGCCGGTGCTGCATGCCTCTGGCCTCGCCATTCTTCCGGTGCGGCGCCATAGTCGAAACCTCATTCGCCAAGTGCTTGCTTGTTCTGTAGGTCGCAACAAGCGTTTGGGCGCGGATCGCGCGCATCCTGCGCTTGCTCTTCCACTGCGGGCGCCTCGTCCTCCTGGGCACGCCGCTGCTGGTGACGTACCCCGTAGCGCGCGTCTGCAAGGCCGACTTGCCCGACTGGTGGTGGCGCCTCGCGCTCTGGTCTGGCGGTCGGTCCAGCCCTGCGATCATCAAGTTTCTCCAATGGGCGAGCACGCGCCGCGACCTCTTCTCGGTCAAGTTTTGCGACACGTTCATGGCCTTCCACTCGCACGTGCAGACGCACGAGTGGGCGTTCACCGAGGCGATCTTGCGCGATGCGTTTGGCCCGAACTGGTCGGAGCACTTGTCGCTCGAGCGCGAGCCAATCGGGTCCGGTGTCATAGCCCAGGTTTACCGCGGAGAGCGCGTCGCGACGGGCGAGCGCATCGCTGTCAAGGTCATTCACCCACACATTCAGGACCTTGTCGCGCTGGACCTCGAGCTGCTCTGGCTCGCAGCGCGGGCGATTGACTGTGTGCTGCCGAACCTCTCGGCCAAGGTCGGCATGGTGTCCTTTGCCCAGGTACACACACTGCACTCAAGTGTGCACATGGTTATCATATCGATGCATGGTGGTAGGTCATGTCGAGTCAGCTCGATTTCCGCATCGAAGGCCGCAACCTCGCGACGTTTCGAGAGCACTTTGCGAACCGCAAAAAGGTGGCGTTTCCTGAACCCGACTTGGCGTGGACGACCGAGAACGTGCTCGTCGAGAGCTTCGTCGACGGCGTGCACATCATGGAGCACGTGACAGCGCAGCGAAGCTACGACCGACCACTGGCGTCGGTTACGATCGACGCATTTCTCCGCATGCTCTTTTTGGACAACTTTGCGCACGGCGACATTCACCCGGGCAACATCCTCGTTACGGTCGATGGGATCGCGCTTCTCGACGCCGGCATTGTCAACGTCCTCGGTGGCTCCGACTACGACGACTTTGTGGAGCTCTTCCACGCGATCGTCAACAAGAATGGGTATGAAGCCGGGCAGATCCTTCTGGCGAAGAGCCCGCGCCACCACTGCGTCGACCAGGACGCGTTCTGTTGCGGCATCAAGTCGATCGTCGACCGAGCGACGGCCAACTTGAGTTTGAAAGACGTGCCCGTCGGCGACCTGCTCACCGAAGTGCTCGAGCTCTGTGGAACCCACCACGTCGCGCTCCAAGGCCGGTTCGTCTCGGTCGTCGTCTCGATCGGCGTTCTCGAGGGCGTCGGGCGGCTCTTGGACCCGGAGCTCGACTTGCTTCAGGTTGCACTGCCGATCCTCGTTCAAGCCAAACTCCAACGCATGAAGGCTGTCGCGTTCGCCTAATCCCAATAGACAGGTGTGTAGAATTTGAATCAAATAGACGGTACGTCACGCTCTGGACGTCAAGTGAGCGATGCAACAGTGTAGCGATCGTCCAGCATATCTTTGTACGGATAATTCCGTGAATCCGGATAGGGACACCGTCGTTGTTTGTTGCCAAACTGGACGCTCTGGCAACATGGGCAGCGTCGCAAGCGTAGCCATCGTCTGCGCGGGTCTTTTCACTGCTGCCGCGGGCGGCACCGGCGTCTTCGCCTTTTGGCTTCTTCGTGGCATGTACAACTCCATCCAAGCGCTGCCGCCAACAGCCGAAATGCTCGCAGACAGCGACTCCTGCGTGCTCTTCCGATATCTCCCGATGCTGCGTGCGCGCGTCGCATGGCGGCCACTGGGCGTCTTCCCGACGCCCGTGCACACAGCGACCTTGCCATTGTCGAACTCCAAACGAACTTTCTACCTCAAGCGAGAAGACCTCTCGAGCCCGCGCTACGGCGGCAATAAAGTCCGCACGCTTCAGCACCAGGTGGCCGCTTGCGAAGTGCATTTGGCTGCGACACCCGACGCCAAGTTCATTTGCATCGGGTCTGCGGGCTCCAACCAAACGGTTGCTGCAGCCGTGCACGGCGCTCACTTGCCAATCTACCCGTGTTACTACAAGGTGGACGCGCCAGACCTCGACAACACCATCAACGTCCTCTCGGCGCTCTCGTTCAACCCCGCCAAAGTCTTTTTCTGGCGCCACAAACTCCAAATGCTCTGCGCACTCGTTAGCGCCGTCTTCTTCAACGCCAACAAGGTCTTCTTCCTCGGCGGCAACAACGTACTTGGTGTCCTCGGCCAGATCGGCGCTGTGCTCGAGCTGGCCGAACAGATCCAAGCTGGTGACGCGCCCGACGTCGACGAGCTCTACGTGGCCGTTGGTTCGAGCTGCACTCTCACGGGGCTCGTCCTTGGCGTGGTCCTCGCTCGGCATTTAGGTCTCCGCGCGTTTGAGCGCGCGAACTTCAAGATCGTTGCCGTGCCAATCCACCATGGATCTGCCAAGCTCTCACGGTCGTTGTCGCTTTACACTGCGGCGTGGGCAGCCTTTGTGCCGCTCACGCCGCGCTTTGGCATCCGATCGACGGCCGCGTTCCTCGTCAAAAATGGTGTCTCGGTGGACTTGGAGCCATTGGCCGTCGCCTTCTTGACATCGCACGTCGAGGTTGTCGCGGACGCCGACCTCATTGGCGAGTATGGTGCACACTCGGCTCGAAGTGCCGTGGCCGCCGCCTTCGACGCGCACCTCGATGTTCGTGGCGACGTCCCAGCGTGGCTCGCTAAAGAGAAAGCGCCCCAGCCGTGGCTGTGCGGCCATTTCGTCGCCAAACCGTTTGCGTTGCTGCTCGAACGCATGGAAGCAGCGCCTGTCGACGACAAGACGGTGCGTCTTCTGTGGCAAACCAAGAGCCTTGTGCAGCCAAAGGGCCCGAGCGACGAGTGGCCTCGGTTCCAGGAGCTCGCTGCGTCGTGTCCTATCTTTCGCGACTGGGCCATGCGCGGTCGAGCGTCCTCCGTTCTCCGCCGCGGCCACGTCAACGTCGACCAAGACAGTCGCAAGAGTTATCAAACACTCATGACCGAGCTGGCGTGATGCAGGAAGATCGCACCGTAGTTTATGAACAGACGACAACTATGACCGCACCAAGATATAACATACGAATGTTCGATCGCAGTCGAGTGTGTTATATTGTACACGCGTCGTCGCACCTGGAGTAGGATCCCTACCCCTGGTATCCATGGCAAGCCAAGTATTATCCGGATTCCTTTCCGGATAAGGCAGTCAATCAAAACGCTGCATTGGTTCCGACACTGTGATGACGACCGACAACCGAGGCCCTGTTGTCTTCGTGCTCATCGATGGCCTCGCAGACTGGGCCATCGAGATGGACAAGTACCTCCCTGGCGCCGGCGTGGCAACTCCACTGGCGGCGGCACGGACGCCAGCCATGGACGCGATCGCGGCTGGCGGCTTGAGCGGGCTCATGGACCCCGTGGAGCCGGGTCTTGCCTGCGGGAGCGACACGGCGCACATGTCCATCTTTGGCTACGACCCGCAGAACAACTACCGCGGGCGCGGTGCGTTCGAGGCGATGGGCGCGGGCCTCGACATGGAGCCTGGCGACGTCGCGTTCAAGTGCAACTTTGCGACGCTCGACCCGACATTGAACGTTGTGACGCTGCGCCGCGTCGACCGCAACTTTCACGAGTGGGGCAAAGACCTCTGCGACTTCGTCAATACGATCAAGGACCCTTGCGGTGTGCCGGGCGTGCGGGTCGTCTGCAAGCACGCGACCGAGCACCGGTGCGTCGCCGCATGCCATCGTCTCGGTTTCTATCAGTCGACGTGCGTAGATGCGGCATCGTCTTCAAGGGGCCCAAGCTCACCGACAACATCACGGGCACGGACCCGCTCAAGGACAAGTACACAGCTTGAACTGTGATGTGTGGAGATGCATGGTTGTCCCGATTAGTTTGCCGCTGCAGGTGTCTGTTCCGGCCGGCGCCAACGAGAACGCTGCCTTCTCCGCCACGGTACAAGCACTTGTCGGTCGTCTTGGAGGCAACGGTGATGTAGTGCTTGAACAACGCCTCGAACGCGATTCACAAAGCCTTGTCGGCGCACCCGATCAACGTCGATCGCGTCGCGCGGGGACTGCCACCAGCCAACCTCATTTTGCTCCGCGGTCCCGGCGAGCGCATCAGCGTAAGCCAAGTGCTATGAGGGAGTCTCTTGATTATGGGCACTGCGTAGGTTCCGTCGTTCGAAAAGAAGCACGGCCTTCGGGCCTTTATGATTGCGCCGACCTGCATCATTGCGGGACTGGGCAAGTCGCTCGACATGGACGTCGTGCCGGTCGAGGGCGCGACGGGCGACTACCACACGAATTTGCACGCAAAGGCCGAGAAGGCGCTCACGCTCTTTGCGTCCGGCAGCTACGACTTCGGTTTCGTGCACGTCAAAGCCGTGGACGACGCTGGCCACGATCGCAACGTCGCGACCAAGGTAACCTCGGTCTTGAGTTCCCGGAGGCTCATGAGGGCGCTAGCTCAAGTTTATCGAACGCGCGGATGCCATGATTGCCCAGCTGGTGCACGGTCTTGCGGCCACGACCTCCAATGTACGTGTTTGCCATTGATGCAGTCCGGCATCGGCATCTGGTGCTAGGCAACGATCGTGGTGACAGGCGACCACACGACGCCGGTGCTATACGGAGACCACACGTTCGAGCCCGTTCCGCTGACAATCGGCGGGGTGCACGCGGCGGCGGCCCATCTGCGCGGCGAGCCTCTTGTGCACGACGCGCGTCTCCAAGACTCTGTCTCGGCCTTCTCCGAGGTCGCGGCGACGGGCGGTGGCCTCGGGCGCTTTGCCGGCGACCAGGTCATGGAGATTGTCAAGATGTTCCGGGCGCTTAATGTACCCAGCATGTAATCCCGTAGTACAGAACATATCCGCTGCCACGTACATGAAGCAGTAGCCATCTTGCTCTGCGCAGAGCAGCGCTGTCTGCCGATCGTCGTCGCCCTCGCCGGTGGTAACGGGCACGCGGATTGGTTGAAATGCCGAGGCAGTGGCCAATCAGAGATGCAGCGTTACCAACCGGCTTGCACGTCAGAACCGAACTTGCTACAATGTCAGTGAAGGAGCCGGCGCCGCTGTCGGCGCTCGTGACGGAGGGCGCGTGGAACGTGTACTGCGTCTCGCCCATGTACAAGTTCTCGCACGACGCGGCGACGCTGTCGGCCGACGCCATGGAGCTCGTGGCGTACCTACGCTGCAACCTGGCGGGCGAGCTCAAGGCCAACCAGACGGTCACCGCCAGCGTGCGCTCGCAGGGCGACGTCGCGCTCTTCGCGATCACCGAGACGCTCGTAAGCGGACCGCGGCGGCTCGGTGGCTTTATCTATTACACGCCCGACGTGCCGGGCACGAAGAAGCGCACAGATGTGCTCCTCTTGCAGGGTAACGAAGACCTCCTCGCGCTCATCTGCGCCTGGCTGCAGCATCAGTACCAGTGCGTCGTCGCACTTCACGCCGTCAGCGTCAACTCGGTCTCGATGGAAGCGTTTGCGTACAACTTGTACCACATTATGCTTGAGGCCAATGGTAAGGAGCCCATCATACTCGACAACGAAACGTGACAGCAGCCTAGACAACGTCGAACATGCGCCGCTGCGACTCACGCTGCATTGCGAGAGCGTGGGCAAGTCGGTGCAGAGTGTTACGATCTCGGTGCCGTGGCGCGACCTGTGCGCTAGCCACCGCGCGCTCACGCACAGCCACAGCAGCGCGAGGTATAGCATTCCGCATGACGATGAGCTGACGAGTTTGCGCAGTGAAAACACGACGCGACGAACGACAGTTGTCGGGACCGGCTCCGAGTCGGGTGCGTCTGCCTTCTCCTTCTCAAACTTCGAATCGAACAGCGACCTAGATCGCTTTATTCGCGGCTTCATCGCCAAGTATGTGGCGCAGCTGCCCGTCGAGATGTCGTCGTACCGGCTCTTCTCGGTCTCGTCCGAGGATTGCATTCTCGAAAACATGGGTCGGCTTCAGGTAACCTGCCTCATGTCGACTCTACGGCTCACGAGATGCGATAGTTTTACACGGCCGAGTCGGTGCCCGCTGTGCTCGATGCGATGCTTCAGCTCTTTGTTGCCCAAAGCGTCTTGTGCCCCGAAGCCCCGGAAACGACGTTCTGAGCCATTAAGCTGTCCTTTGAAATGCAAGGAACAGCGTGCAACTGAAAATAAAGCAACTTGGTGAACTCTTCAGTCGTCTCTACAGATAGCTGGTTCCATTTGGCTGGAAGCGGTTGTCAGACTGCTTGCAACCAAGGGGCAGCTACAAAATTGGTACAATCGTGTGCGGCCATGACCTGCCCGTTGGTGGAGTTTCCGTGGATTCCGTGGATTGAGCAGGTGCGAAGATGTTGTCATCTTGGTTTCCATTCTGCTCGGCAACACGTATGGAAGCCACGATTCACCATTCGCCACCGGTCATGCCTGCTGACCCAACCCTGGCACGATCAAAGGGCTCAGCGATCGGCGTCACAATGCAGGCAGAGACGAGATCAAATTTGGCACATACATCATCATTAGGTTTAGCCATACCGGCTCAGGTCAAGGTTCATCGTCGTCGAAGACGCTGTCGCGACTGTTGCCGTCGACACGGGGCGCGAGAGAGCACTGCGCAAGGCGCCTTCAAGACTTGATTTGGTAGATGGCGAGAGACCGGCGACAGCCGCCTTGAACGCAACGGCGTATGTCGTCGCGTATGTGACCAGCATGCGGTTCACCGACGCCGTCTGCGAAGCGTGCAGCGGCAGAAGCAGTGGCAAAAGCAGGCGCAAGAGCCCGTCAACCGATGCTGCCGGCATTTTGACCATCGCGACGCCCAAGACGCCGTCGATCGCATCCACGCGTGCAGCGTCGACCTCGGGGATTGACAAAAGGGCAACAACGTGCGCCCCGAGGACACTCAAGTACGGCGCTGGGGCGCAGTCGCTCAGCACACGCGCGGCATATAACCCGTCGTCAACGACGTCGCGGTTCGTGTCGGCAATCCGGGCCGCAAGAAGTTGGGCCATCGATGTGTGGAACGGGGCTGCGTGCTGGACAAACGTGGGCATTGCTTGGCCGTAGGTGAGCGCGGCGTGGGCAGCAGAGAGGAGCAGACGACGCTCACCGTGTGACAACGATGCGTCATCGGTGAGTGGTGTTTGAATGGCCGCGAGAAACGTTGCAAAAGCTGATGGCAGAGTCGGGTGGAGATCACCAGCGGCCGCGACCCGAAGCGTTGACTCAATGTACGCGACGCCAACCGTCTCGAACCATGGTTCCCGGAGGAAGCGAAGAAGCACGTCTTTAGCGACGAGCACAAACCCGGCACCAAACGTCGGAGTCGATGCCAACAGAAGAGTGCCGCCGACGGCCGTGCGTAGGGCCTCCATCACGACACTTGGAGCATACGTCGTCGCCTTGGTTGCGACTGCGTGCCGAAGGACGTACGTCGTCGCAACGCTGATCGTGTGCACGAGCGCCGAGTTGCCGACCGAGTCGCTCTCGGTACGCAGCGTCCGCTGGACAAAGGCCGCGCCGTCTTTCGTGACCAGTAGCTGGAGGCCGCGGAGTGCTTCGACCTGAACGCTTGGGATTGACGACGAGCAAAAGAGGCCAAGCGTTTGGAGCAGGTTCTCAAAGCTTTCGCGCTGCAGCGACGCCCAAAACCCGGCATTGAGGAGCGCGGGCAGTGACTGCAGCAAGGGCACGGCCGCGTCGGCGTGCTTGGACGTGTGCGAGAGATGCAGAATCGTCGCCGTGAGCACGAGCGTTCCGTGTTGGCCAGTTGCACCAACGGCCGCCAAGATCGGCGCCACGTGCGCCAGCGCGACGCTGCGCAGCACGTCGATTGGCTGCGACGACGTAAAGTACGCGCCACCAAAGTCACTGGGTCCCGCAAGCAAGACGAGAGCACAAAAGTCTTGGATGCTGGCGACCCACGCTGCCAACATGGACGCCTCGTCAACGCCGAGCGACGCGAGCTGGGCGACACTCGAGAGCGCGGCCATCGCAAGCCTAAAGCGCACCGCGTTGCTGCAGCCGAGATGAGCAAACGTCAAGTCCGAGACGAGTCCGAGCTTGAGAAGCCGGTTGATTGCGACCTTGTCCTTGACAATGCCGTGGCCCAAGATGTGCGACAGCATGTAGTATCCTTGGATCGATAGCGCTTCGTACGTGTGGCAAAAAGGCTTGTTGGAGCCTCCTTCCTTGGGGAACGCGCGCCGGATCGTCGACGAGAGCTGCGCTTGGTACTGCGCGAGGACGTGTGCACCAGGCTCGTCCGGGTCGTCGCAAGTGGCGAACTTTTCGCACACGACGTTGAGCAGTCGGAGGCCGACGCTCTGGAAATGCTGGAGCTCAAAGCCGTCCATCGACATGGCGCTAATCTGGCACCCGAGCGTGACGACCTCGTCTATGTACAACGCAACGTAGTTGGCATCGTCTGCGCCGAGAGCTTGACGCGCTGCCGTCACGTCAAAGTGCACGGCCGCGGCCTTGGATGCACCGACGTGGTCAAGGAGTGCGAGGACGCACGTGACGGCGAACTCGCGCACACGCCGGCGCAAGCACGGCAGCGGGTTCAAGAGCGTCGAGACGCGGTAGTTGGTGCGCCGCCAGAGGTCCATCGCGGCGTTCGCGTCTTTTCCGCGCGGACTCTCGACCATGGCCGTGACGCCGCCGACAGCGACGCCGCGGCATAGAAGCAACCATTCGACAACTTTGTTGCCATTCGTGACGCGGCCGCAGTCGGTTAGGAGCAGCGCGTTCAAACAGCCTTGGATCTCGCTCGAAGCACTCGGGGTGGACCGGCGCGCGTGGATGTAGAGACCGCGCCAGAGCGGCATCGCACTCCAATCAAGAATGCGCTCGTGGACGTCGAGGGCCTGGAAGAGCGTGACGTGGAGGCTGTGGCCGGCGATGAATCCTGGCTCGCGCTCGACGAGGATGCGCACAATGAGGAGCATGACGCTGCGGCAGGCGGCTGGCGTCGTCTTCTCGAGCAGTTGGCTTTGGATACGCACGAGGTCCGAGACGCGAAAGTACGCGGGCGCAAAGAGCACGAGCTGCTCGACAAAGCGAAGGTACTCGAGCTCGACGCGCGGGTCCGCGCCAAGGCGCAAGAGGTCCCAGATCCCGTACAAATGGTCAATGCGGTCCGGATCCTGCAGCAGCTCGGGGCCGAGCGCCGACACGATGCTGTTGACAATCTACGAGGTTGAGAGGTAAGCGCCCAGTTGGCGACTGCAAAACGACCTGGCCAAGCGACGTGCACACGGACGACGTCATGCGCAGCACGATAGTCTTCTTGAAGGCGCAGTTGAGCGGCGTGAAGCGCGTACCGGCCACGAGGTGGCTCTCGATGAGCGCCAGCGACGGCGCAACGTACTGGTCGTCGTAGTCACCGCTCGTGTTGACGCACTCGAGCAGGAGGTTCCACGCGTGAAGCACCCACGACCGAATCGGTTGCGCCATCGAAAAGACGTGCTCCATGTTGGTGCGGAAGAGCAAATTCACGTCAATGCTACATCGCGACCCACAGCTGCGCTTGAGGTGCGCGAGGGCGAGCGCGCTCCCCGCGAGCGATAGCGACTGGTTGTCGTGCTGGTCGAGTGTGATTTTAGTCTCGAGGTCGTGCACAAGAGCGCGAATCGCGGCTTCGCTTGCAAGCGAGCCAAGCAGCCCGAGCGCTTCGGCAGCGCTCCGACGCACACTGCCCGTCGGTGCCGAGAGCATCTCGAGCAGCATTGCCTGCATCGCGCCGAGCCACGGCGCTGATTGAAAGGACGCAGAGCTTTTTGTCGAGTCCCGCACGTGAACGTGGGCCTCGCGCACTGTTGCGAGCAAAAGGGCGCAGACGTTGGCGACGCAGTCCACGCGGTGGTCGCCAAGAACGCCGGCAAAGTGCTGGAGTACGCGCAGCTGGAGTTCGTCAGGCACGGCGAGGAAGACGCCGGGAAACACGTGGACGCAAGCGTCGACCATGCGCACGTACGTGAACGCGCTGCCAGTTTGCAGGGCGCTCGTCAGCTGCGAGAAAAAGTTGTCGACGTACGTGGTTTCCATCTCAATGTCCGAGAGCGCCGTGTCGGGGAGAAGGAGCGCGAGGATCAAATTGAGGCCGCGGGGCAGCATCGGGTCGGGCATGTCACCCGCAGCAAGGCGGGCGGGGGTGCAAATGTCGAGCACGTGGTCGTGGCTTTGGAGGTACGTCGTCGACGGAGGCACGAGCGACGCCCGCGCCAGCGACGTCAGTGGCTGCGCGGTTGTAAACTCGGCGACCAGATCCAGCAGCCGCATCCACGAGTCGGCGTAGACGCTCGGCGGGAGGCACTGAAAGACCTTGATCGCCCAGCACACGACGCGATGCTTTGCCACCTTGGCGCGCTGCTTGGTCGGCGTCCCAAACGCAGCAGCAACCTCCAGCGTCGCGTGCAGCAGCTGCGCGCAGAGCGTGTCGAGGCCGTCCGTCGCGGGCTTGGTCGCCATAAAGCTGTAGAGCGCAATCACTGCGCCTTCCATGCGTAAGAGCTCATGCGACGGGTCCCGAGCCTGAGGCACGCTGGCTTGGAGCCAGAGGTGGCTGAGACGGCTCGTGATGCTGCGCGTGAAGGCAGCATCGAGCGCGACGAGGGCGCTGAGCACATCCCAGCCGCCGCGCGTGCAAGTGAGCCAGACCGCGTCGGCCACCTGCGGCGTAAACTGCGTCGTGAGCATGCGCTCGGCGAGCGCCAAAAGACGGTCGTAGAGCGACCGCGAAAAGCCCACGTCTTGTAATTTGAGCGCGCGCAGCAGATGCGCCACGGCGTTCGACGTGCCGTGCAGCCGGTACAAAAGCACCGTGTCCGCACCGGCAGCCGTCGCGTCGACAGCAGCTGTGAGAGCTGCGAGAAGCGCATCGAGTAGCGCTTGGCGACGGTATGGAACGGCGACCGCCAAGGACGCGAGGGCGACGCCGGCTTCGACGCGGACGCTGTGCTTCTCGTGCGAGAGCCAATACGCGAGCACTTGCAAAGCTTCGTCCGCAAACACGACAGCCGCTTCACCGAGGCCCATGATTGCGTGGCTCACTTCGACGAGCAGCACGAGTCGCTGGTGGTGCGTCAGCGCCGACATTTGCAGCTGCGAGAGGAGTGCGCGAAGCCAGGACGGCTGCGACCGCTCTTGTGCTGCGTGTGCGAGGCGGCGCAAGGCGTACCCGACAGCGTTGCGCGCGCGGACAAACTCGTTCGTGGACGGGAGCGGCGCGTCCAGCCAGGACAAGAGCGCGTCGAGGATCGCGCCGTAGCTCGTATCGGCGACAAAGTCGTCGGGCAAAAAGTCCGACAAGTTGGCCGCAACGATGGCCGCCGAAGCAAACGACCCGCCGATCGACGACGACGTGCTGAGCAGCAGCGTCTCCTTGATGTACTGCAGCGCGTGAGGTACGCTCGCGAGGCCGCTCGGCGTTTTGGTCTTGCGCGTCAAGACCGTCGAGAGCTTAAAGTTGAGCGACTTGAAGCGGTGCTCTGCGTCGTCTCCCTCGCCTGCCGACGGATTCGGCGTCGACGGCACCGCAGACGACCCCGTGTCCGGCACGTGGCGATCGCCACGCAGCACGTAGAGCGAGAGGAGCTTGCCAAAGTTGACTGCCATGATGCGGCGCACGTCGGGCGACGGGTCGTCCAGCGCCTTGGAGAGGACGTGGAAGAGATTGTCGAGCGCGGCGCCGGACGGTTCGTTCATGTCGGTCGCGTCAATGAGCACAAAGAGCATCTCGCCAGACAGGTGGCGCACTTCCGGGCACTTGTCCGTCGTTGCCTTGGCGAGGAGCTTCGTGACTTCAGCGTGGTACGGGACGGCGTGGAAGCCAAACTGCCGAAGCATGGACGCCAGCGCTGCGAGGAGCGTGTGCCGGACGTAGAGGTCGGCATGGCGAATGTGCTTGGTCGTGAGCGAGAGGAGCTCGGGAAGGAGCGCGCCGGCAGCTGCGAGTTGCATATACTCGAGCTGCGCCATCGCCCGCAGGATCGTGAGCTTGGCGTACAGCGGCGCTGTCTTGCTGAGCACTACGTCCATGCAGTCGTTGGTCGCGCTCACATCGTAGGCAAGCACGAGAATATCGCAGATGACTTGGACGATGCCATCAGCTCCTATCGCCTTGGAGTGGTAAGCTTGTACGCTCATGAGGAGGCAGCGGAGCAGGTTCGTGGCGGCCACCTCCTTCTTGGAGCCTGGCTCGGCGAGGATCTTGGTTACGGCCGTCTTGAGCGCACAGAGCGCCCGCAGGAGGTTGCGCTGGCTCTCGCTTTCCACGCTGATCTGCTCGGCCGCGTCGAGCACGAGAGCCCCAAGCTGGTCCAGCTGCTCCTTCACGCGGCTCATGACGGATGATGTTGGCAAGTGACGTGGAACCCGCCCGTTGGTCCAATCGGCATTCTATTACTGATCTTGCTATAGAAACATCAAGCTATTTAAATCCCAACGTCGAAACACATCACGGGCGGGTTTATTCCTCATCTTGACGCAGCATGAGTCGGTGGGACGACCTCAAGCGCGAGGCCCGCGTCGTCGAGCGCGCCCTCGACGAGAAAGTCAACGCCTACGCATCCACCGCCCGCTCCATGAGCCGCTCGAGCCGTCCGTTTGACGAAGGTACCTGCGTCGTCGCATCATGCGCCGCTCATGCATCGTGCCATGTGCAGAGAACCCGCCCCAGGCTGCCGACCAGAACGAGTTTGAGCTCGGGCTTGAGATCGAGCAGTTCCTGTCCTCGTTGGCCGACATCATTGACCGCATGGCCGCGACGTGTAATGGCTCGATGGCCCAGGAGGCCGTCCTGCAGCGGTATCGAGAGCTGCACTTTGACTTTGGCCAGCAGTTCAAGCGCTCCGCCGTACGTGCGTTTGCTCTCAACGTCTTCGTATCATTTCCGTGCACTAGAGCGTCATCCATGAAAAGTCCGATGCGCAAAAGCTCTTCCAACGCAAGTAGGTCCGCGGTTGCCGGTGCATCTCGCTCCAACGTGTTTCTGCAGGGAACAGAACCCATCCGTGGACCCCGAAGCTGAGGCCTTGCTGCGCGAACGAGGCATGCTGGACGCATCCCGCACGATAGCCAACGACTCGATCAAGTATGACCAAAGCGGGTCGTTCGTCACAGACGTCTTATGCCATGGGCTGTAGCATCGCCATGGCGGTCAAGGAGAACCTCCTGAGTCAGCGCGCGCAACTCGACGGATCGCGCGGCAAGGTCACAACGGTTGGGTCGTCCACGGCAGGAATCAACGTGCTCGTCGACCAGATTCGGCGCAAGAAGATGCGCAACAACATCCTCGTCGCCATCACGATCGCGGGCTGCATCTGCTTTACGCTCTGGTGGGCCATTCTCAGTCGACTGTAGTCGCAGCGTTACTGACTTTCGACTGAACTACAAAAACTGCCGCGTGACCTTGGGCGCCGCAAAGCGCGAGCTCATTTCGCTCGCTTGACGAATGAGGTCGTTCGCCGTGTCGCGCGACAGGTTGCGGCGATTGTTGATGTCGCGCTCGCTAAATAGTATGTTCTTGAGTTAACGCAGTAGTATGAGAGTCGTACCGATCCCACTTGGCCGGCGCCTCCCCACCCGCATGAGCTGTTGCGGCGGCGATTTTTTCTTGGTGGGCCTCGAGAAGCGATTTGCCCAGTCGCGGTTGCGGCGCAATGAACGTCTCTTCCTCTTCCTTCTCCTTGGCGCTTGATGCAGGGCGCACGGTTGCCCCGCCAGGCACGTACCCCAAGAGGTCCCTACAACGCAACTTGCATGGGATGACGCGTGGTAGGGCCAAAGTACATTTGGCTCTTTTCGCGAATGGCTCGCTGGCGCTCTTCAGGTGACGCAAACCACGAGTCGTCGCGCTCGTCCTTCTCGCGACTACAACGTAGTTGAGCGTTCTCCACATGCGCTGGACAAGGACGAGCGACCTGCGAAACTTGCGGCCCGTGAGGTCGCCAAGGCCACCGAGAGCTTCCTTGATCGAAGGGTCGTTGGGCAGCGAGAGCATCCACTCTTCGCGCTCAAGCACCGGCTTGGTCGTCGGCGCGTCTGTTGCGATGCCTCGGACGCGGTTCCATTGCTCTTTCTCGAGGGCTCCGGCGCGGCGCTGCATCTCTGCCTCGACCTCGGCACTTGCTTCGCGGAAACCGGCCATGCCTGGCAAGACAGGCCCCACGCAAATGCCATCGTCGTCGTCGTCGTCATAGGCGGCAGGTGGCGGCGGTAGTGCTATATCATGACCCGTGAATCTAGAGCAATCCAGGCAATAGGGAAGTGTACTTGGAGGGCGCTGGGGGCCAATGGGCATCGGGCGCTTCGCGTCCTCGACAGGCGCCTCGATTTTCTGCACCAACAAGTTGCCTCCAAGCTTAAGTGTCGTAATAGTACCGTTTCCATGGAGCGCGTCAAGATCGAGCCAAAACGGTCGCGCAGGTTGGTGCGCTTAGCGACCTTGTGCTTGGAGTACGCGCCACCGGGACCCGACTAGACGTAACTTGCAGCGCCCATCAAGTAGCGATGTGATATACCTCAGCCAGACCCATGAGCGGAAAGAGTCGCTCCAACTTGGAGCGAATGTCGGTGTTCTAGACGACGTTCAGGCGCTGTGCTACAAGCGAATCATCGCACCTCAATACCGCCGATGACGACGGCCTCGCCCGAATCGACCATCTTGAGGATTCCAAGCAAATCACTCGCGAGCGCTGGGTGCTCTTCGCAAAGCGCTACCATGAACGCGGCTGCTGCCTAGACAACACGTGTGACAACATGCCATCGTCTTGGCGGGATGACCTCCATGTTCATGCGACCTAGCGCGTCGTCGGAGCTCGTCTTGTACTTCTTTGACGACTATAGAGCGCATGATCGGATGAAGCCAGCGCCACGCATGTACCTTCTCTTTCCTGTCGTCCTTCTTGTGCTTGCGCTTCTTCTCATGCTTCTTGTCCTTCCCGCTGCCCATCGGTCTCGTTGCCGTTGGCGAGAACCGGATACTACTGCAGATTATACGGATGACCTGTAAGAGCTTATTTCACACGGCATTTCACACACACATAGAAGTGAGAGCTTATTTCACACTGGCGAAAATCTCGTCGATTTTGTTGAGCCACTTTGGGTTGGCTACTGGCGCATTCTTGCCGCTTCGACCGTGTCCCTACGACCGCGTGCGCGAGCTGTGTGCGTGGTAAACGCAACGCAGCTACTCCTTATATCGCGCTGACTTGGAGCGATGTGGCGTTTCTGGGCCTCTTGGTCAAATGAATTTAACGCGTGTGAAATACGAATACATGGTACCGGTATCTTTGCATTGCACATGATGGGCGGGTTTTCTTCAACGAATGGCGATCACTTCCGTCCCGAGTGCTCCGTGGGATCCGTCCGTCGGGCAGGCTCCTCCTCGTGGCGCAGGGAGTCGGCGAAGGAAGCTCGTGCGAGGGGCTGGTCGAAAGACTGCGTTCCAGTGCTGCATTGTTGATCCATGATCGTCCCCTGATGCCAATCACGCGGAAAAGATTCGAATTTCGGCCAACCGAAACGCGTTGTTTGCCGTCCAACATAAAAATCAACGTTCCTTGCCTGTTCGGCGCTGGGATTTTAAAACGTGAAAAACGCTGCGGTTGTGCATTTTAGCCAATCGTGGCTCGTGTCAATGGATTTATGGCCAATGAAAAAGAAGGGCGAATCTCGGGCGATCCAAAATTAAAAAAGCAGCACGAAGTCAGTTGCAAAGTAGCGCTGCGCAAGACCGACATGGCGACGACGACCGCCGAGACGACCGCCGACTTCAATGACCTGACCGAGGTGATCGACAGCCTTGAGTCGCCGACGCACGCTAACCACGAGCGCGACCACGCTGAAGCGGATCATCATGGCCACGACGGTGCGGACCACGACGACAATGACGTGGAACACGCGGACGACGAAGCGGCGAACGCTGGTGCCCTTGACGAGAGTTACGACGAGCACGAGCATGACGTTGAAGTCACCACAGAAGAGGGCGAGAACCTGGCGAACGGAAGCGTCGACTATGCTGAGGAGCACTCGGAGCACCCCGATGATTTGACAGACGACCACGTCGACGAGCATGTCGAGGAGTGTGAGGCCGAGCCTAGCCACGACGAAGCGATTGAAGAGCCTGTACATCACGTGGAAGAGCCTGTGAAGGCGCCAGTGAGCGAAGTGCATGTGCTGCCCCCTGCAGCGCCCACATCCATCCCAAAGACAGCAACCAAGGCTGTCGCCAAAACGTCGCCGTCGCGTCTCCGCAAGCCCATGGCCAAGTCGCCCGTTGAAAAGCCAGCGACTAAGCTGGTGAAGGCTGCGCCGAAAGAGAAGCTTACGGCGAAACCCGCGAAGACGGTCCAACCGCGCTTGTCGCTGCAGTCTCGCCAGAGCATCGGGACCAAGACGACCGAAGAAATCAAGCCGCGGTCGATGCTGCTGCGCCTCCCGCGCGCTGCTTATGACGCGCTCTTTGCACAGTGCCCGCTGGCGTCGCTCAAGCAGATGGCCGGCGTCAACGTCGAGATGTACAACGCAGTGCACAGCCAGCACGGGTACTGGATCAAGGAAAGCGCGGACGTTCCAGCGTATGTCCCGACGCTGCTCGGTGGTGCCGACGCCAAGACTGCGGCCAAGTGGTCCGAAGTCAAGGCTCATCTCCAAGCGCTGGACATCGCCCAGACTGTCAAGCTCGAGGACCTCCGCGTGCTGCGCAACTACCGGACCGCGCCACCCGGGGTGCTTCTTCTCTCCAAGGCCATCGTGCAGCTCATGCGCTTTGCTCCGCCTCGCGCGGGCATGGACGACAAAGCCGCCAACGGCGACTGGAGCGCCATCAAGACGGTGTTTCTCGACTTGAAACTCATTGTGCGCACGCTCCGGATCGCCGCGGACCGTGTTGCAAACCGGCATCCACTGCCGTTCACAGCCAAGAAGATGGACGATCTCCTTGCGATTTCCCACAGTCCCGAGATGGACGAGGCCAAGTTCAAGCGCACCTGCAGTGGCCTTTTGCCGACGCTCGACGCGACGCGCCGCATCCTTGCGTGCCTCAACGTACTCGCCCGCGAGATCGAGCTCACGGCCTTTGCTAAGCACCAGCTGCAGCACGCCGAAGCCGAAGATGTTGCGGCGGCCGCCGTCGAAGCCATCATCGCCAAGCTCGAGGCTGCACCCCAACCCGCACCCGAGAAGAGCCCGAGCCCGAGCCCCACGGCGACGGAGCTCAAGGCCAAGGCCCGAGCTAAGCCGGTGTCGACAATTCCCCGCGTCGCTGCCAAGGCCAAGACGCCGCCGAGCGTCGACACGTCTGTCAAGCCTGCTGTCGCCAAGTCACTCACGCCCAAGACCGCCCCAGTTCGGGGTACGAAACATTTTGAACTCGAAATACAGTGGTTTACACGAGCTTGTAGCGGCCGTGAAGCGTCCGTCGACGGGCCCATCGGGGATTGCCGCGCCCAAGGGTATGTCGTCTCTTGTGTGCATCGTAGCTGAAACGTCCTCAAGGGCGCTCGAGCGACGACGCCAGCAGCACGAGCTCGTCCAACGGCGGTACCCAAGGTCCGTGTCTCGAGAGTGATGAGCAATCGCTAACTGACACGCAATAGTCAAGCGCCTGAGCGACGCCAAGCCGATGGTCAAGCCCGCGTCGCGCGTGTCCAAGCCAATTACAAAGCCGACGACAACGACATCGTCGCGCGTCAAGGCGGCGCCCATCGCGGCACCGACGCTCAAGCGCACGCTATCGGCATCGGGCGACTCGATGGCGACGCTTCGCGCCGACCTTGTTGCGTCGAGCGAAGAGCTCTTGAAGTCGACAACGGACCTCAAGGAGAAGATGGCGCAGGTCGCGGCGCTCGAGGCTTCGTTGGCAACAGTTGAAGGCGCGCTGGCAGACGCCGAGAATGACGTCACGGCGCTCAACGCCGAGCTCGAGCAAAAGTCCAAGGACCTTGAGGCCCGACAGGCCACGGTGCTCGAGATGCAATGCATTCAAGAGACACTCTCATTCCGCGTGACGGAGATGACGCAGCGCGACAGCGAGCAGGCCACGACGATTGCACAGCTCGAGACGGAGAAGAAGTACCTCCAGGCGCAGCTGCAGGACGCCCTCGCGCGCGTTGAGGCGGCCGAGGCCGACGTTGAAGAAAAGCACGCGCTCGTCGAAGAGAAGGAGACCGAGCACCAAAAGTGGGAACAGGCGGTGCGTGACCAGCTCGCCCACGAAGCGCAGATGGAAAAGTACGACCTGCAGAAGGAGCTGGCGGAGCTCCAGGCAGCGATGACGAGTCTCCGCGGCGAACACGAGCTCGAGCTTGCGGGTGCGTCAGTGTGTTCCAGCTCCAAGGTCCTGACATACGCGGTGTGTAGGCAAGCAGGCGCGCATTGACCAGGCCGAGGCCGAGAAGAAGACGTTTGCGGACGAGTTGGCCTCGAGCGAGCGGTAGCCTCGTCCCTTCTTGCCGTGACTCATATGTATGTAGTCGTGCGAGCATGATCCACGAGGAGCGCCAGCAGCTCACGGTGAGCCTCCAGGCGGCGCAGGCCGAAGCTTTGCGCCTGCAAGCGACGATTGCCGAGCAGGAAGCGGAACTGGCCAAGGAGAAGAAGCGTGCGGCGGCGGCCGATTCGGCGTACAACGAGTCGCTCAAGATGCGCTCGGAAGACGTGGCGACGCTCGACTAATATAAGACACACGATAATAACACGATTAGCGCTAGACGCGCACGACCCACGCCTTCTTGAGCCGGTCCATCGTGCGGGTCGAAAAGAGCTCGAAGGAGGTCGAGAGCACGGTGGCCTGGCACCGCATCGCGCCGCAGGGCTCCTTGATGTACACGTACACCTAGCATGGAAGGTGAGCGTCACCAAGCCCAGCGAGCGTGGCGAACGCGAAAGTAAAACGGAAAAGTCTGCGCTGGGCCAGCGCGCGTGGCCTTGCGCTTCTTGCGCAAGAGCGGCTGCACCTTCCAGACGTCGGGCAAAAACATCCACGTCGTCGTGACGAGCCCCGTCGGCAGCGTTACGCGCTTGGTCTACCTCAAGGTGAGCCACGCATCGAGGCTGCGTGTGCGTACCTCGACCTCTGTGGCCTCAAAGCACTCAGCCTGGAAGAGCTCAAAGCCCGCGCCGTTGGGTGGTGAGAACGCGGGTGGTAGCGCGCCCTGTCGTCCGGGTGAGATCTGCTCGAAGCGGCCGAGGACGTGCAGTGGCACGGCAGTGTACGGCGCAGAGAGGGTGCAGTGAACGGGTGTTCGACAGACGCCAACGGACGCGTGCTTCTTGTTGTGCATCTTCATCTCATAAAAGTCGTGGTACTCGGGGCAAAAGGGGAAGCACTGGAGGTTTTTCCGCCCGTTCTTCCAGTAGCGTTCGAGAAAGGAGGTTGCGAGGCGCAGGTCCCATGACGGCGGCGGCGGCGGGAAGATGAGGTCCAGGTTGTAGTAGAAAGCTGCGTCCGCGTCGTCCTTGGCTTCCAGCGCGATAGGCTCGATCTTGGTGTGATCGAGCACCGAGCACGACGACGCGAACTGCGGCACTTCGTCGCCCTCGATGTCGCTCTCGACAGCCGCGAGCGCCGCCATGAGCAAAGCTGCCTCCTCGTCGTTCATAGCGAATCCCAAAATCGGGCAGGATGCTTGCCCACGCCGTCTCCGCCCTTGTCCCAACCCGAACGGTGTGCGATCCACGAGCGCCGCGTCGCATGTGACGCCCGATGGACTATCAACTGCTTTCTGAAGCCAAGGGTGTATAAGAGCTTATATACCCTTCCTGAAGCCTATCGCTGGCGATGATGTGACTCGTCATCGACGGAGGAACGAACCCACGGCGGCCCAAGTGTACCAGAGCTGTAGTTAGACGCTATGCTACCGATCTAGTTCGCAGCCGAAAAGGGTTGTTCAGATGTCGAGTTGCCTCCGCGAACCGCAGTTGGTTGCCGCTTCTACTGTGTCGTCCACTGCTCTATTATCCGATGCAATTCACGCCGACGTTGCTGTCGTACGACGATCGAATCGCTCGCTGCTCCAGACTTCAACCGGGTGGTGGGTTGAAGTGCACGCCACCGCTGCCACTCGGTTTTCATCCACCTCTTCTCGTCGCCTCGACTTGTGCACATGAAATCGCTCGGGCGGTGCTGCACTGTCAGAGCTGTCATGGTCAACTTGTCCGGATATCACCGCCCTGCGACATGTCTACTTGGGACGTCCGGATACAGGTCGCGAACTTTCTATGGCACGGCTCCCGAAGGATCTTCCGTCGTCGTCAATTCGGATTTCGCCATGTCTGGCCACCACCCCACGTACACGATGGCTGCCCTCCTGGTAGGATACACCTGCAAGCGCGTCGGCTGAGGAGGCTCATGACGAGTACTAGGGCATTGGCGGCGTCATGGGCTACGTCAAGAAGCGCTCGATCGTCTCGCTCGTCGCGGGCGTCAGCATTGGTGCCGGCTTTGGCGTGGCGGGCTACATGATGCAACACGATCAGATCGCCAACGGCCACGCCGTCGCACTCACGCTCAGCGCGCTCACGATGACGGCCATGGGCTTCCGCGCGGTCAAGACGGGTGGCAAGGTCCCGATCGTTGTCGCGTCGCTGTGCGCCCTCTCGAGCGCGTACCACGCGCAGCGCTTCAGCGAGTGGGCCGGCCAAGAGTAATCCTCCATGCCCAAACATGCTCGTATTAGATCGTAGTCGTAATACATAACTCTCTTGTGGCAAAACGTAGTGTACAGACTCGGCTGCCCTTCTCGCAAGAGCGGCTCATGCGCACGTGCTTCCTCTTCGATGATCAGAGCCATGCCAGCAAGCTAGACGGCTACTGCCGCCACGGTTGGCTGCGACTCGCTCCACCACGGGGGGAAACTCCAACTTTTGTTCGAGCGAATAGTATCGCGTCGCATGCCCTAGCGACAATTATACAAGAATCACCTGTTCAACCCTTGCCCCACGAGTGATGAGGTCAAGCCAAGGACCAGAGGGTCTCGCAAGCGTGCTTGGAGGTGGACGCCGAGCGACGATTTTCGCAGCTGCAAGTACCAATCGAGCCAACGCCGCCAAGAAGTCCATGTTGGAGAAAACAAGGGGCTGCTCCGTCTCGAAGTCAACTGCCGAGGTAATACAGTCAATACACGCTCAATTTAGATATCGTTTTGCTATACACTCTCGGGCACGTAGCCGTGCGCCGTGGTCGTCGAGACGGAGGCGATACACGTGCCGAGCATGTCGTCAAACATAGCGCCGGGCATGTTGGTCGTGAGGTAGATCTTGTTGTCCGGCTCCACGACGCGCGGGTCCAAGTCCATTTGGCTCGAGTCCTTCTTCTCGAGGAACGCACGCGCGGCCGGGATGTCGACCCCACCTGTGGGCGTCGACGGCGGCGACGAAATGCCAAACGATGACGCGGACGACGTCGACGTGCTGCGCGTGATCTCGGGCATCTCGGGGTCACCACGAACACCTGGTGAGAAGGCGATTTCGACGCGGAAACGGTGCTCGTCCTCCTCCTATATACAGACCATGAGCTTGGAGAGAGCACGACGATGCTGTACCGGCAGCCACGGCTGCTCAAAGACTCGCACGATTATGTGCGCGAGGTAGTCCAACTCCGTGACGTGGTCCAGCGCAGAAAGAGCATCGGGTGTGATCATCTTGGCCGGGTCCATCTCGTACTGGATCTTGGGGCCGTCGCCATGGATCTTGTTGATACCCATTTGCTTGAGAAGCGCATTTGTCACTTCCTCTTCCTCGGGGACAGATGCCGCTGTGCGGATCGGAGACGCTGGCGCCGCAGTCGCCGCAGCCACGCGCGACGTCCACGTTGGGCACTGGTGCCGGAGCACGTTTAGGAGCGTGTGCATGTGCGACTCGCTCGTGAAGTAGAGGCGCGTGCGCACTTGCGTGCCAGGGCTCTTGATGCGTAGCTCCTTCGCAAAAGACGGGTCGAGGCGGTACCCGTTATGCTCGAGGCAGTCCATCTCCTCTGCGTCGTCCGTACAGAGCGGCAAAAACGACTTGCCGCTGCCATATCCAATAGCACTGTTGACAACTGCGGGCGTCTCGTCACGGGCAATCGTCATGGCCATCGCAATGTCTACGCACATCATGAGAAAGAGCTTCGTGTACGATCGCGTAGATCCATCTACCTGAGCGGATCTTGGCGCAGAGCGCTTGGGAGACCTTGGCACCGATCGACTGCTTCTCCGCCACGTCCATGCCTAATAACAATGGGCTTTCGACCATCGAGATAATTCAAGGAGTACCGTATTCCTGGGGCACGTAGCACGTCACAAAGCACTCGGCGAGCTCAAAGAGCGCGCGACCGTGCTTGAGGGACATGGCACCCTTGAAGTTGTGAAGCATGTCATACTTGATGCAGTCGTAGATGTCGGGGAGCTTGCTCAGGTCGTACTCGAGCTTTTTGGCCGAGTAGAAGTCGCGGTACAGTTTCTCCCAGCGCTCCGAGACGAGAACGAGGGTTTCGCCCATGTAAACCTCGTTGACCGACGGGTCGTTGAGGAGCACGGCAGTCTTCTCGGCCTCGGCGCCAATCTCCTTGATCTCCGTTTTGACGAGCTTGATGAGGTCATGGAGTTTCCGAAGTGCTTCGAGAGGCTGTGCAATTTGGCGTAGCGCAGCCACCATGGACGCCGTCCCGAGCGGCGCCGCGGCCGCCACGAATGCGTCGACGGATGCATACTCGCGGTGGAGGAGCTTGCGCATGTTTGCCTTGGTCTTTTCGATCTCTTCGTTGGCGTCGGCCTGGCCCGAGTGGTCGAGCATCTTGTTCGCGTCCTTGTCGAGCGTCGTGACAAGACTCACGAGAATCGGCGTCAGGTCGCCTTCGAGCTCGAGGAAGCCCTTTGCGAATGCCGCCGCCGTCATCTGGACGCGCCCTTCGTCCGACGTGAAGATCTTCAGGTCGTGTCGAAACGTCGAGTGCAGCCGGAGGAGCCCGCCTGCGACACACGATGATCCTGGGCGTCGAGCGCGATAGGGTCATACCTTCTTCAACAGGATAAAGCTCGTTGCGGAATCGGTTGCCGAGTTGCTCGCCCTGACGCTTGCCCGTCTCGGTGAGATCGCCGCCCCACTTCATAATAAGGAGCAGCTCGGAATTGGTGCCGGACGCGGATGATGGTGGCATATACTCGCGCCGAGGCTTGAACTGCACCTTGCGGTTGATACCGGCAAACTTCCAGCGCTCCAGTACGCGCTTGATTTGCAGCAGTTTCTCAAAGCTGTCGCCACCTGCACGCTCGGCATGAGTTCCATTCGTACACGTTGGCGCGTCGGACCTTCTTTTTCCCAGACCGCGCCTTTCGAGCCGACGTTGGGGGCATACTCCTTGATGAGGTTGCGCACAATGTCGAGGAGTTCTTGCAGATCCATGACCGCCTTGACCTTGACCTCGTCAAACTTGTCCTTCGTGCGCCGCTTCTCGTAAAAATTGACGAGGCTCGACGCCCACACGCGCGTCTTGAGCTTTTGCTTGGGCGTGCGGTCGCCGTGACGCTACTCCTGTTGCTTAAGACCACTTGCTACACTCGCTGGGTACGTACGACGATCGCAATCACGGCGCGTAGCTCCTCCTTCTTCTCGTGCCAGTTGTGGTGCATGTCGTCAGTTGACGTTGACGAGCTCGAGCTGAGGCGCGAGTGGGAAGGCGGGGGCGGGTGCGTCCCCGGAGAGCCAAAGCTGCCCGAGAGGTGTTCGAACGGGTCGGACGAGTGCGACGAGCCCAGTGTTGGGTAGTGATTGTCGACGAGCGGTTCGGTTGAGAAGGGTGGCGGCGAGTACGACGGGCTTGGCGGGTACCGCGGCGACCGGCTGCTGCGATTGTTGCGGTAGCGCAATGCCGTGAGGAGATAGTTCTGCAGCACGAGGCCGCAGTCGTCGTAGTACTTTTTCGAGTTTTTGACAAAGCTCCAGCCGTTGACGTCGCAAACGTACGACGTGCCGCGGACGCGAAGAAGGTCGAAGCCGCACACGGTTTGCTGGAACGCGAGGCAGACCTTGCGCGCAATGTCCTTCTCGACAGAGTTGAGAATGACCGGGTACCGCACTTCCTTCCCAACGCTGTCGCGCATGACACGCCCGTCGAGAACGGGCGACTTGCGCGCTTCGGCGTGGCCATAGTTGGGCCCGACGGTGTACACCTTGACGTCCGTGCCCTGCGTATTGAGAAACTCTTCGTAAATGTACGAGCCTTCGCGGCGCACCTATCACTCAGGAGCTCGCTTGGAGCGAAAGAGAAGCAGCGTACCTGGTTGACGTCAGGGTAAAACTCGGACGACCGGTCGCCAACTTTTCGAAAGAGGCGCTTGCTGCCGCCACCGGCGCTCGTTGGGTAGTAGATGTAAATGTTGTGGTCCTCGGCGTTCGCAGGCTTCTCGACGAACGGCTTGTTGATCTGAACGCCGTTGACGATGATGCAGTTTTCGCTCTCTTCCAGTACGTCTGGGGCTGGGCCGTCACGGTTAACGATCGCGTGGCGCGGGACGTTGACGCCGTTGCGAATGAGCACCTCGTAGACCTTGCGCCGGTCGAAAAGCACGTGCTGCATCGAGAGGTCGTTCACAAGCACGGGTCGGCGCAGCTGCACGTAGCGCTCGGCCTTCTCGAGCGGGAAGCCCGTCGAGTAGAAGCTGAACATGGCGTCGCAGATCGGCCAGTCCTCGATCGGCTGGCGCAGCGTCATTTCGTCCGTGAAGACAACGAGGTCAAATTGCTTCTTCTTGTTGAGGCGCCGGAGAATCTCTTGCATCGGCTTGGACCGAGTCTTCTTCTCCATGGCGCAGACGCCCACGACGTAGCGGCGGGACATGGCTGGCGACGTCCGCACGGCCGCGAAGGTTGTCGCGCGGTCGTCGTCCGAGAGCGTCGGCGACGGCGGCAGCGGGATCGGGAAGCTGCTGCTGCTCATGACGGCGCCGTTTGTACAGTGTATAAAAATAAGGCGTGGGTTTCGAAACACACCTGCGCCATGACGCGGGCCAATCAGCACGAGCTTTGGCGCTCCACCGCACGCCCATTGGTCAGATCAAAAATCGAAGCTGAGCGGCCAGACCAGCCGGGGGATGGGCGCCACCACCAACGCCGCCGAGTAGCCGCAGTGTGCACATATAGATGACAGGGCGAGACATCACCGCAGATTCGCCAGCCCGTTTCGTACGGTCTTGCATCTCGGGAAACACAACCCGCGCGACGGCCCAACCCTGGTCGTGTCGCAAAGCCAGGGCGATTTCGTGTGGCGCCGCTGAATCGCAGGACTCAGATCGCAGTGTAGCGGCTTCAACGGCTCCAAGCGACTGGCCCTTTTACGCCAAGCCTCTATGCATCAAGGCCGAATCCCGGGCCGAATCCTGGAGATTCGAGTGGATAGGAGGGACGCAGGTGCGTTCTTGTGGGTACGTACTTGCCTCGTCAGTCCGTGCGCGCCACTGACGACGGGCGTCAAATGCTCTGCCCGATGCAAGAGCAGGCATGTCAAGATGGCCATAAAGAACGTGCACACGGCATAAAGAAGCTGCTCGTCACATGTCTGGGCGTCGTCCTTGGTGCTGCAAAAGCAAAGATTTCGCTTTACGAGTTGCATTCTCACCAATTTGTAGCAGCAGACAGGCGACGCGTAGGACATCCTGTGCACACTTCAAGGATGTTCGCGATCCGTCGGAGCGCTTCGAGTCACGTGATTGGTCCATGAATTGTCCCTTTTCGACGAATCACTGACGCGAATGCACGGCGGCACTTTTAAAAATGTTTACAAATGCCAAGTGGATCGGTCATATTATTTTGCACACCGATCGGGACCCCAGAAAGGATAATGCTCAAGAAGTTGCTTGTCGTCGGTGGCTCGGGCGCGCTCGGTCGTGGCGTCGCCGCCCGCTTTAGCGCGGCCAATTGGTCCGTCGTCAACGTGGACTACTCGTAAGTACATGGCCGCGTACTCCTCATCTCTCAGAACGCTTGCTGCTGCAGGGCGAACCCCGACTCGGCCACGAACGTGACCCTCAAGACGCAGCAAAGCTCGCTCGCCCAGCTGCCGACGATTCTCGCTGCGATCAAGGACGAGTACGATCATGTGAATGCTGTTTTGTGAGTCTTATGTGCATGTACGTAGGAAGGTTGATGCGGTCGTGTGCGCAGCTGGCGGCTGGGCTGGCGGCAGCATTGCGAGCACCGAGACCCTCGAGAACTTGTCGACCATGTACTCGATGAACATGGAGTCTGCTTTGCTCGGTACGATGCATGCGATGGTCCCGCATTGCTTCACGGAAGTACGTAGCGGCGCATTTGGCGGCCACAAAGATGAACCCTGGTGGTCTTCTTGTGCTCACGGGTTCCGTCGCGGCCCTCCAAGGTGCATCCACATTGCCACATTGCATTCATCTAACCCGTTAACTCTAGGCACGCCCGATATGGTCACGTATGGCATGAGCAAGGCGGCAACGCACCAGTTGATTGCGAGCTCGGCGTACGTCCTCATGGCTCCGAGACTGGGACTCAAACCGACGGTAGGCCCAAGCTGCCGGAGGCCGCGACCGCGCTTGGCATCCTCCCGATCACAATCGACACGCCAACGAACCGCAAGTACATGGCGGACGCGGACTTTTCGACGTGGACGCCGGTTCGTTCGCTCCCGTCATGACGTTGTTGTGACGCTCGTTCTAGGTTGAGGAGATTGGCGACAAGCTCGTCCAGTGGGCGCAAGGTATCGAGTTGATATTTTCTCTACGATGGCTTGGCTAACGTCACGTGTGTGCAGAGCAAAGCGCGCGCCCGGCGTCCGGCGGCCTTGTCACGGTGACAACCACTGGCGGCAAGTCGGAGTGGAAGGCGATTGGGAACCCGTTTGCGTAAGCCATGGAATGCTTTCACAGCACAAGTATCGCCTGAACCATTGTGTAACAAATCCACGAGTTGCATGTTACAATGCCTATTGCACGGGGCATGGATGAGCGCAAAGGGCATGGCGGCGAAACTGCGGCGGCGAGAACTGGCCGATGCGCGTGATGGCACCTGGGTCGCGAACGTCCAAGATGACGAGTCCTGCTTTGCGCGTGCACAGGAAAGCAACGCAGTCTAGTGTAACGTCGAGGCTCGTGACGTCTACATCGGCTGCGACGTACGAGCCGACAAGACGCAGATCGACTTCGTTCGTGCGACGATTGTGGACACGAAGGATGCGGAGCCCTCCGCTGCCAATAGCAACGTACACGAACGAGTCACGAACGACAACGTGCTCGGCCGCGTAGCCGGGAAACGGGTGCGAACACAGAAGCTCTGGTGCGCACGGGTTGGCGACGTTGAAAACTTGGAGGCCACCGTAGCTGAAGGCGACGAAGAGTAAAGAGCCAGCGAGCGCCATGTGCCGCGCGTCAAATGCACCGTGCGTGAAGGCCGCGATCTCGGCAGGCTCAGCCGCGTTTGTCACGTCGAGAACCCGAACGCCGGCGTGACCAAAGCTCACAAAGCCCCAGCCATCAGAAAGGAGCACGAAGCGGGCCTCGTGGTCGTCGACCTTGAAGCCACCGAGCTCGACGGGGCTCGACGGGTTGGCCACGTCAAGCGTGCGGACGCCAGCGCGGCCAAAGGTCACGAGGGCAATATCGCCTTGAACAGCAACGCACTTGGCCGCATACCGTGCGTGCACCAGCGCGCCAATCTCGTCAATGTTGGTGTCGATATTCGTGAAGATGCGCAGACCGGCTTTCCCGCACGCCGTAAATACGATGCGCTTGGCCATGCAAAAGTGCTTCAAGGCCATGCCGCCGTGCCCATCAAACAGCTCCGCAAGTACAGCAGGCTGCTCCGGCACGGTGACATCAAGCACGAACATGCCCATTTGGCCCAGCGAAATGAATGCTTTGGTGATGCTGCCCATGGCCTCGATACGCGCCCACTTGACGCGGCTTGTTTTGAGCACGGGTAGCTTGAGAGCCTCGGGCCACTGCGAAATGAGAGCACAAGCGGACTTGAGCTGAGCCCGCGCCGAAGGCTCCATCGTCACGTATGAAGTCATGCTCGTCGAAGCCGTTCGTGGAAGAAATTGGATCTTGCGTCGCGAGAGTAATGGGCAATTCCTTCTAGACAGCCCTCTCGATGTCGCTTATCTGGATTTCTCTATCGTTTGTATAGCGCTTGTGGCATTATATCTAGCTACAAGCCACATTTGCTCTAAACAGAGGAGTACAGCGAGGTACTGCTCGCTATTTGGATCATGAAGTCCAGATCTCAAGGAAGTACCTAATCTCAAGTATTAGTGTTAATAGGTGAGTGTATAGTGTGGTGCTGCTGGCCTGTCGCAAAGCTCAAGATGAACGCTGCCGCACAATCGTCGGGCAAGGCCAAGGCTGCGCCAAAGGAGGCCGCGCCCCGCGGAGGCGACGCGCTTTACTCGTGGAGCGACGACCGCCTGAGCGAGGTCCGCGGCAACAAGCTCTGGAGCCAAGACCCCAAGTACTTTCGCCGCGTCCAGGTCTCGCCGGCCGCCACGATGAAGATGCTTTCGCACGCGCAGTCGGGCGTTGAGAAGGGCATGAGTTCGCCGGGCGGCAAGCCCGTCGAAATCATGGGTCTGCTCATGGGCCGTCCGTCGACAGACCCGTCGAGCCCCAACACGCTCGTGGTCACGGACGCCTTCCCGCTGCCCATCGAGGGGGCCGAGACCCGCGTCTTGGCCGACGACGCCGAAGTCATCAACTACATGATCTCACTTGGCGAAGCGACCGAGATCACGCGCAAGGAGAAGTTTATGGGCTGGTACCACAGCCACCCGTTTGACGTGGAAGTCACGTCGCACTGCTTCCTCAGCTCAACGGATCTCAGCACGCAGCTCCAGTGGCAGCGCTCGGAAGATCCGCATGGGAACCCGTGGCTTGCAATTGTCATCGACCCGCTCCGGTCGCTTGCCAAGAAGCGTCCCGAGATGGGTGCATTCCGTGCGTACCCGCCCGAGTACGCACCCCCCGTGAACGAGACGCCAGACGGGACGCTTGTGACGGACGACACGGCGCGCGTTGAGCGCTGGGGTAGCTGCTGGAACCGGTATATCAACTCTTTTCGCTTTTCATTCTGAGCGCGTTTCCTCTTGCGTAGGTACTATGCGCTCGAGGTCGAGTACTTTATGAGCTCGCTCGGGTCGAACGTCCTGAGCGTGCTTTCGGAGAAGTTTCTCTGGATGCGCACGCTGAGCTCGACTCCGATGCTCGAGCGCGAGAATCGCGAGCGCTTCTCGGAGCGAATTGCGCTGCTGGCGACAAAACTTGAAGGCTGCGAGTCTATGGTGTCGTCGCAGCGTGGCTTTGGCTCGTGTACGTCCTCCCACCCACCACCTCTCGAACTTGGATCGCTACTCAAAGACGTCATGGAATAGCGCGTATGAGCAGCGGCTACTATGTTCCCGACTCGTCCAAGTCCGCGCCCGCGTCCGAGGACTCAGCGCTCGACAAGTGCACGCAAGCAGCGAACGAGCTCTCGATGGAGCACTGCCACGGTCAGACGCTCCAGGTCGCCAAGCAGAAGCTCTTCAATTAAATACTCTTGCTTAACACGAATCCAAGCCTACGTGAATCGGAGGTTCGCGCGCTTGGACTGGCGGTGCATGTTCATTTCAAAGAGCTCTTCGGCGATGCGTTCTTGCGCCTCAAGCTCCTCTTGCTGTTTTTCGTACGCACGCTTGCGCTCGAGGTCCACAGGCACTTCGCTCTGGTAGCGTGTAATGAGTGCACTGGCGCGGGGCATGGCGTTCTTCTTGAAGCGCTTGAAGTTGCGTACTCCAGGCACAGGTGCCGTGGCGTCCCGGATCAAGTACCGCGCGTGTGCTTCGGCTGGCGCGGATTTGCGCACAATGAGTTGACTCGAGACGACTGTTGGTGGTGGCGCGTCGTTCTCGCGCTCGACAGGCGTCTTGACATGCTTCTTTTGCATCCACGTCGTTGGCTTCTCGTCCAGCAAAGCGTCGTCGCCCTCCTTGGTCTCGGAGTCGTAAAGCGGTGCCGGCGGGTCCGGACAAGTCGACTGCACCTTGATGTCTGGTGTCGATGGCGGTGTTTCATGGCGCGCTTTGAGCGTTGGCTTTTTCCAGAGTGGGAGCTTCGCGGGAACCAACTCGGCTTGCAGTTTAATCTCGGAGCCAACCTGCATTTTGGTCTCGGAGGCAGCCAACTGACTGATTGGCACGGATTCCATCTACGAGACGATGAAGCTCGTCGCACGCACGCGTCGTGTACCTTGACGCTGAAAGTCTCTGTCGTGGGCGGGATCGCGACGACGCTCGACTCGATAGCCTCTCGGATCGGTGGCATCGTCGTCGTCTCAGGTACAAACGATGAGAGAGGTGGTGCGGCTTGTTGCAAAAGTGCGTCGAACGAGTCATCCGAGAGGTACAGCGGAGGCCGCGTAAAGAGAATGCTCGCCACGAGCTCGTGGTGCATGACGATCGCATGGCGGCGCAGCAGCTGAAGGCGTCGGAGCACGGACGGGTCCCAGTCACGCACGGAGGCCGACATGACGTCCGACGTCTGCGTGAGCTCAGTTCCATTACCCGGATAGATGATGAGCGGCGTTCGCTTCGTGGATACGACGGCATCAACGAGATCGGCGTCGTGCGCGAGACTTGGCTCGAGGCACGCCATATAGACGAGCCCGCCCATGGCTTGGACAAGAGGACCCATGGACGTCGGCACCAAAAAGACAACGAAAAAGCCGTTGTAGAGTGAACAACGACGCGTGTCGAGGAGGTAGGACGGCGTGGCATGGACCTACAATCGCCGGTGCACCACGTGCCGGTCGTCACATACGATGGCCTACCTGCTGGGAAGCATTGATCGGAAGGAAGCCTTCGTAGCGCGGGAGGTCACTGGACAAGGATTCACGAGCAACGATAGCTTGGACCCAGTCAGAGCTCACGACGGGGTGCGCATGGACGAGCGCCCAGAGAATCTTCTCGGTCGCAACAAAGTTGCCGGCGTCCATGAGGCAGTGCGTGATCTCGGGAATTGGAGTCGTCACGACGTGCATGCCAATAAGTTTGCAGTTCTCGAGGAGCCGGCGACGGTTGGCCTTTTGGATGCGCGAGATGCGAGCGACCTAGTTATGTCTTGAGCGCGCGCCGGCAACTACAAAGTCAGAATACCATGCGCACGTAGCCGACGACGAGCACCGTGTTCTTGGCGCCAAACGAGATCTTGTCGCCGACGCGAAGGTCCACGGGCACGTTTTCCTTGATCTGCGCGCCGTTGACGAACGTGCCAAAGCGCGACTTGCTGTCAACGAGCGTGAACGAGGGCAGCTCGGCGATGCGATCGAGGTGCTCGAGGGCGCCGACGTGTAGCTTTGCGTGCTGGCGCGATATCGACGAGTCGTTTGGGAAGTTGAGCGCGTTGCCCTTGCGCCCGAGCGTCCACTCGCCCTGCACGAGGCGCAGCGTCACGCCCTCCGACTCCCACTCGAGAACCCACATTTCAAGATATTGGATTGGTCAAAATCAGAATTTCACTGTGATTGGATAAAAAGACAATTGTGGAGCTCGAGAATTCGACATTTCAGCCAATGGCATAGCATTCCATCGATTTACCATGCGGACGCAACTGCTCGTGGAGCTCGTGCCGCAGCGGTCGACGGTCTGCCTCTCCTTTGAGCACGCCAATGTGACGCTCGACGACGTCAAGACCCGCCTGCAGGTGCGCGCTTCGTGAGCCCCCCCCACCTGAAGCTGATGTGTGGCACCTAGGTGGACCAAGAACTGCCGACCGACGCCTTCCGATTCCTCCATGGGACGCAGCTCCTTGACGGGCTTGTGCCGCATGCGCCCTCTGTCATCCGCGCTGTCCTCGCACACGGTCTTCTCGGTGGCAAGGGCGGCTTCGGTGCCATGCTCCGCAGTCAAGGCAAGGGCGCGGGCCAGAAGCCGACAACGGATTTCGGGGCCTGTCGGGACTTGAGCGGTCGTCGTTTGCGGCACGTGAACCAAGAGATTGCAATCCAAAAGTGGAACGACGAAGAGCAGATCCGCGAGCAGCGTAAGCGTGACGGCGTTGACGAGCGCGAGCTGCCGCCGGAAGAGACACCCAGCGGGATTGCCGGCTGGCACCTCAACACGCCGGCGTGGGCCGAGGGCTTTGGGAAGAAGAAGGGCTCCAAGACCAAGAGAAAACGCAACACGATCATGTGCAACAACTGGCTCCAGGCTCGCGCGCGGTCGACGCCTCCGGAGGACGCGCCGCGGTGGTGGGGCTGCCCCCGCGGCCGCAATTGCAATTTTGCACACGGTGAAATTGAGCTTCGGGGCGAAGAGCTCACGCTCTACAAGCAACAGAAGAAGGACGAGGCGCAGCGTCAGAAGGATGAAGCACTTGCCACCTACTTGCACCCGGTCGCGCCCACGGTACTCGAGACTGACGTCAACGACGCGTTCGCTGCCGGGCTTCGCAAGCGTCGCGCGCTGCAGCAAGCGCACGCCGAGCAAAAGCAGGCGCTCGAGACACAGATGGTGTACGCCCCCGGCGAGACGCGCTGGGCGACGGCGGCGTCCACGGCGGGCGCTTGGCTCGTGCCTCTGAATGGTAACGTCGTTGTTGCACAAGGCACGCCCGAGACGGATGCGAGCGTCCTCGGACAGGGCACGTTTGGCACTGCGACTGTCTTTGGGTGCGCCCTGCACTCTGGTCAGTGGTACTACGAGGTTGAGCTCGGCACAGCCGGCATCATGCAACTCGGGTGGGCTGATGCCATGTTCGAAGCCGATGACGACGAAGGCGACGGTGTGGGCGACCATGTTGCTTCGTGGGCCTATGACGGTCACCGCCGTTTGAAATGGACGAATGGCGACTCGACAGCCTACGGCGATTCGTGGGCGCCCGGCGACGTGATTGGCTGCCTCCTGGACCTCGACGCGCGCACTGTGTCCTTCTCGCGCAACGGCACGTCCCTCGGCGTCGCGTTTGATGACATTCCGGCTGCGACACCGGCATCTGACTCGACGCTCGGTGGCTTTTACCCGGCCGTGAGCCTTGAAGCAAACGAGCGGCTGCTCCTCAACATTGGTGACCGCCCGTTTCTCCACTGCCCTGAAAAATACAATCCAGTGCTCCAAGCACTCGTCAAGGCCAAGGCGCCTTCAACCCCATTTGTCCAGCCAGCTGTATTGACGCCCGTTCACGTGGAAGACCCTTCGACACATCAAAGTGCTGCGCTTGCCGAAGCGGCCCTGGTCCAAGCTACGCCCGTGCTAGAAGTTTGTGATGAAGCGACATCGCTGCCTGAAGCCAAGATCGACCTCACGGCGTGCACGAGTGTCGAAGACCTCATTGCTCTTGGGGCTGACACTCTGAAGGTCGAACTTATGGCTCGAGGCATGAAGTGGGGGTACGTCCTGCCCGGCGAGCGATTCATGGCGCTAACATTGCTCTGTTTAGTGGTCTCGCTTTGGAGCGTGCCAAGCGTCTGTGGAGTGTCCGTGGTCTCGAGACCATTCCGTCCAAGCTGCTCGCTCGTAAACCAAAGCAGTAAACGACGTAGGACCCGTTTGATGGATTATTAAGCGGGTGATGTATCGGTGCAAAAATGAAATGTGCAACATGGACGCGCTGCGTTTACTACCTAATGGTGACCCTTGAGCTGGAGCTGAGTGAGCATCGTACGGCGTGTTGGCGGTGCGCGGGGAGCGTCCGCGTCTGACTTGAGGCTAATGCTGGGCACGAACGATGAGCGCTGCGGTGGCGCAAACGAGGCCGGGAGTGGAGGTGCCATCATCGGCGGCGGCGTCGGCAGTGGCGGCTGCCCGTGGAATTGCATCGCAAGAGACGCCACGTTGAAGGCCGGGTTCGATTGCGGTGGCGGTGGCGGCTGCGGAAAGAATTGCTGCATGGAGAAAGCTGGAGGCGGCAACGGCGGTTGGTACGACGTTGTCGTCGGCAGTGGCGGTGGCGGCGGCTGGTACGAGGACGAAGGCGGCGGTGGAGGTGGGTACGGCATAGGAGCTGGCGGCATCGTCTTCGGAAGCGGAGGCGGCATCGACGGCGGTAGTGGTGGTGCTTCAACCGTCTTGGCAAAAGCGGCAAGGTCAAACGGGCGGTCAAGTTGGAACGAGCGGTCCATCGGAGCCACGTTAAGCGCGTCGAGGCGGAACGAATCCGAGAAGGACGGCACATCCATCGATGTCGACGAGTGCAGGCTCGAGAGAAACGAAGAGGCCTTGGGCTTGTTGAAAAGGAACGTATGCGGCACGTCGTCACCGTCGTCGTCGTCGTCCGTGTTGAAGATGGGCGGCTTCTGAAGCAAGATCTCGTCGTCGTCGTCGTCGTCGTCCAAGCCATCTTCTACAAGAAGCGGGTGTCGCGCCGTGCGGGGCACGGTTGTTTCCTCGATCGAGACGATTTCTTCTTCCTTGTGCTCGTCGTGATCGTAGAGGTCGCCAAGGCAAAGGCGGTACTGGGCTTGGTACTCGGGACGACAAAGACGATGGCGCTTACGCTGCATTAGCACGCGAAATGCCAAGAGCTTGTCGAGCTTCTCCGACTCCATCGCGGCAAGTTCAGCGGCAAACTCATGCTCGAGCTTGTACTTCTTGATGTACAGCTGAGCAATGTGATGCTGCTTCTCGCCAAGCGCGACGCGAATGAGCGATTGGGGTGCGTATGCTGCGTCCGCGTCGAGGCCGAACTTGGATGCGTACTTGAGCGCTTTGTAGAGCTCCTTGAACGACAGCATCGAATCGAGCATTTGCCGGAGAAGAGGCAAGTCCGCGCCGAGACCGAAGTCTTTGATGGCCGCGATGGCAGGGAGGAAATCGCCGCAGAGGATCATGCGCTCGACGAGCATACGCGTCGTGAACGCCGAGGGACGACCCTTGATACATTTGAGCGCGGCGGCCCACTGCTGCTCGTTCATCATGCGGTCGACGAGCTTGTCCAGAGAGAACTCGTCTTGCAGTTTGCATTCCTAAAACAGTTGTGTTGTGAGATATTATGACAAGCACAAGAAGCGTACAGTGATCGCGGCAGACGCATCTGTCCACGCACGCTCTTCCATCAATCCCGCGATGAGCTGCTTGGGCGGAAACACACGTTCCAGCTGGAACTGTTTCGTATACTTTAGCGCCGCCTTGTACTGCTGGGCGCGAATCATGGCTTGGATAAGCGTCTGCGGTGTCCAAGATGCGCGAGGTGCAGGGCTCTCGGGCGAATTGAACGCCGGGACAAGCTCTTGGGCGTAGCGCACGGCGAGATTGAATTGGCCACTGCGAACAAGATCCTTGATAAAGAGCGTGACAAGTGCTTGGTTCTCGCCCAGCTTGAGGTTGCGAATGAGCCGCCCCGCGAGGTCGAATTGGCGCTGGTCAAGCACGAGGCGCACTACATCCGCGAGTTGGTACTTTTCCGACAAGTATGCCGAGCTCTGGATCCAACTCGCGGCCTCTTCGAAGCGGTGGCTCGTAAGAAGTACTTGAAGCTGCTGCTCCAGCAGCGCTGGCGCGAGGTTCACTGCTGTGGTGCGAGGAGTGCGTTCCTTCGGGTTTGACTGCGTCGGCCGTGCCCGTGGTGGCGTCGGATCTGTAGCGTCCTGAGATGTCTTGCCGCGAGAGCGGGCCCGCGGAGGCGCTTCGCCTGGCGTCCGCCACTGCTTCTTGCGGCTCTTCGCGTCGTCCGCCATCAAACACTCTCCCTCGGGGGCTGGAACCTCTCGGACGCGATACCGCAAATGATGGCCTTTCACGGGACCACTCTATTTCCGTCATCCATTTAGTAAATAGTGTGTTGTAGAGTGACGACTCTCGCAGCTGCCGCTTGGTGCGAGACACGTCTCTGGACCTCATTTGTCGGGGCGTACCGGTATGTCGTCACTTGGTATAAGTACTAGGAATGTACTTCACCCAAGTAAGGACAGCCTTCTCATCTCGACAGTCCCCGCAACAGACCATTGGGAGATTTTTGCCAGTCCTTTGCAAGTCTACGCTATGGTGCAAAATCGCATGTTCTCTACATCACACACTATTCAAGTATGACACTATTATCGTTGGAAATAGGATTGGTGGTTTTTTCAAGAAACCAAGGTGCTGCAAGATGGCGCTCGAAATCGTGGCCGTGCAGGACAAGTGGGCCGAGCTGCTCCCGCCCAAGATCCCGCTGCGCTACGCCTTCTTCCGGTACGAATTCGATGCAGCTCACACCTGGCCTTGAGCAGCCATGCGCTAGGTACCTTGGCTTCTGCATCAAGAAGCTTGGCGTGGGCGGGCACACGTCGACAGGCGCGCAAAAGCTGGGTCTGCGTGCTGCAGTTTGGTTCCGTGTCAGCAGTAGCAAGGGCCTTATCCTCGAGCAGTGTGTTCGAAGCGCCTTCAGCGACGGGACCTACTACGTGCAAGACTTGGCCTTCCAGGACGAAGGTCTTCACACATTCACAGTATCCGTCGAGGCGCCTACGCTGGCTCCGATTGCACCACTTGTGTTGACCATGAGCATCCACCACTTCATGCGAATCGAAGATGAGCCAATGCTTCTCAAAGGACCGTATGCACCACTGCGTCGGCTCGTCAACCCGCGGCTGTCCGCAGACCCGCCACAAGCTCTCGACGGTACCGAGGATGGCATCGTGCGGGAACTCAAGACGATCAAGCATAGCCTGCGCGCTTGTGATGCCAAGGTACATGCGGTCAATTGCGCCATCTGACGACGACGATGAAATAGTGGTGGATGCGAGCGTGCGATACCCAGGGTGACCTTGAGGAGCAAAAGCAGCGGAGTCTGCAGAAAACATCAATGGTAAGGTTGACGACTTCACCACCACAATGTTACCCGACATGTATTACATTAGGAACATGAAGACCGCCCGTATCGTCGAAAGCCCGTCCGACCCAGTACCTAAAGTCTCTTGTGAAACGGTTTCTCATGTACTGTACTCATATAGTTCGATCGGGTGACAAGCGAGACCATGACGGGTACTTTGAAGGGCGTCAAAGAGACATTAAACGTCAGCGCCGAGGCGAAATGCGCATCTTCTCAGTCGAAGCGCTCTCAGGTATGCTACGAACGCAGTGCCAGTTTCATCTTGCTCACTCATTATCAACGTAGCAAACGAAACCAATATTATCTTCAGCAAGAAAGAGCTGCACCAGCAACTCGCGTTGTATGCGCAGAGATAACGCCAATTTGGATCCGTAAATATGGCTCTTGCCACATTTATATAAGTAGGTCCCCCTACCAAGGTAACCGCTCAGTGAAAATCTCATCTTGAATTTTGTATCAAACACATCAAAGGAGGACTAGCTATTTGGACCGAGACATCAATTTGGAAAATCGCTCGCAGCAGGAAGAGCCATGGCGACAGGAAAGCGAAGCGACTGCCTCTTCGGGACGTTAGCCTTTACGAGCGACGAGCAGCAGCGCACAGATGCGTACCTACGCCAAAAGCTCAACCCGGACGTGCTCTCTCGGCGGCCTGGGCCTGGCGGCCGGCGCCTCACGTACCTCGAGAGCTGCAAGGCGATCGAGATCGCAAATGAAGCGTTTGGCTTTAACGGTTGGAGCTGCCGCATCGTCGACTGCAACCTCGAATACGTACGAAGCATTCACTTTGGTGATTTCTCGGTCAACACGGCTCGTAGAAGGACAAGGACAGCAACGGCCGCTGGAGCGTCGGGTACAGCGCAGTCGTGCGCATTGAGCTCAAGGACGGGTCTACGCACGAAGACGTTGGATTTGGAACGAGCGATGGCATGAAGGAGCTAGGTGCTGCCTTGGAGCAATCCAAAAAGGTACACTATTCAAACTGGTAGAGGCCATATCGTTTCCCACTTACATAGGCTAGCATTTCGGATGCTCGGAAGCGGGCGCTGCGTCTCTTTGGCGAGTATCTTGGCAACTCGTGCTATGATAAAGAGGTATGCTGACAATCAAAGCCGGAAATGGTCACTGAATTCGTCTACGTAGCACATCAAGGACGTTGCGGCAAACAGGGTAGGTGACGCTATGACAATTCTCAGGCAACTTGCATCTCGTGTAGGCTAACAACGTACCGCTGCAGTCCCCGACGTCGATCAAGCTCGAAAACGGGACTACATCCAACGCTATTGCAGTCGAGCCCAACGCCCAACGAGTGCTGCCGCCAGCGTCAAGTACCTCTCGCGCCGTCAATGGCTCCAAGGCGCAGACAGCTGTACAACGCAAGCCGGAAGGTCCACCGGGTGTGTCAAACCAGACTTCTGGTATCGTGCAGTACCAACCCGCAGCGGTGTCTCGACCGCCGCAGTACAACCAGGCAAATCAGTTCAACCCTCCGCCACCGATGAACCGCGGACCTCAGGGTCCCCCGAATGTAAAGCAAGAGCCGTCGTTTGCACCGAAACACAACAACTCGTACGCGCCGCGCCCGGCGTCGACTGTCACCGCCGCACCTGTCACTCTTGTGGACCACGGCAAGCGCCCGCTACCTCAGCAACAGGCTTTTCCGCGTCCGATGACCAACATGTCGCCCTCCTTGGTCAATGCGTCGCCGTCTCTCGGTTTTGACCGAAAGAGCGCACCCGTGTGCATGTACCCAGGCGACCCTGGCGTTGACCTCGACGACCTACGCTACTCGCAATTTGAATTTGACGCCAACGAAACCAACGAAAGCAACAGCAAGAAGCACAAGTCGTAATGGATCAATTAAGGCACGATGCCGTTCGTGAGTTTCTGGAACTTGTCGTAGCGCTTCGTCCACTTGTTCTTGTAGCTGAGCTTGACGAGCTTCAGCGCATGCTTGACGGTTGCATCGAGGGGTAGCGGCTCGGCAAAGCGCTCACGAAGCCGCTGGAGGTCCTTGAGCACGTCGCGGTTGGTGAAGCAGGGAAACGTCGACTTGTGCATCATGATTTCGACTAGCGTCAGTATCTTCTCGGCGTTGCGCTAAGGCGGCAGGGTTCGTTTTTCGTTGTCTCTCACGTGTCGTACCTGGAGCGCGACAAAGCCCGCGGCAAAGAGCTGCGCAAACTTGGCAAACATAGGTGACTGGACGCCGCCGAGGACCTCGACCATCTCCTTCGTGAGCTTGAATGGCGCTTGGCTCTCGAGGCTCCAGTTGCCGCCTGGCGCGATCCCGAGGAGGAAGCCAAAGTCGATGTGGATGAGTCGACCTTGCGTGTCGAGCAAGATGTTGCCGTTGTGCCGGTCCTTGATCTGGAGGATGAAGCACACGAGAGAGTACGCCGCGAGGCTCTGCACAAAGTTGCGCTGCGCCGTGCGAAAGCCAATGGATAACGGGTCACCGTACGTGCGCTCAAAGTGCACACGCAGGCTCTTGTAGTTTTTCTGCTTCTTGAGTGCATCAAGCGACTGGGCATCGTTGATTGTCTCGATGAGCCCTGTGGAGTTGCCCGTGGAGACGATGCGGTACGAGCGCAACCAGAGGGGGAGGTTGGCGCCGGCAAAAATATCTCGAAACTTGGCGATCAGCTGCAGCGCAAATACTTCTTGGCGCATGTCGTCGTTCGACTTTGATATCTGCAATATCGAGGATTCGTGTGTGGTTATGTTGAGAAGGAGCTTACGACCGAGACGAGGTTCCAGCCGGGACGATGGCCGTCCGGTGACGCCGCCTGGATGCGCTTCTACGCGTAGCGTGCAGGGATGGGTGTATACCGCAGCTTTGTGCTACCTTCTTATCGCTCCAGCTCTCACCGAACACACATGGATCAAGGAGCATGAGCTTGGACAGTCCCATTTCGTACGCGGTCTTGGAGCTGCGACGCAAGATGCTCGAGTGAAGGTTCTCGTCCACAATGTCCTTCCAGGTCGAAACCTCGTCGTCGTCCAACTCGACGGCGCTGAAGATCGCGCCGAGTTGCGCATGAACGAGGCGTGCAATTTCGGCACCGTCGTCCATCAGACACGACGATGATGCCGTCGTGAGCGACGGCGTATGCGTCGGAGACAAGGGGCTGTCGTCGAGAAGCATTGGCTCTTCTTTGTTTTGGGCGTCTTGGAGCACCTCGAAACAAATGAGGCACGGCGCACGCGAGTGTGTCGAGAAGACTGTGCCCTCGTCGGGGAGAACGCGCAACACACGCGCAAATGGATCTGACGCACGGCCCAGCGGGATATACGCCATCTCTGGGATTTCAAGCTCTCGAAGGAGGCCGGGAAGAGCAGGCTTTCGAAGCTCGCGCGGCTCCAAGTGGCGCATTTTCTCCGAAATGTCGGTGAGCGCGCGCACAAAGTCACGTTCTTGATGAAAATACTTGTAGCGCTTGAGGCGCTCGGTCTCGACCCATTCGAGGAGAGCACTCTTCTCGGCGTCCGTAAGAGGCATTGTTGGATCCGTCGCATTGTCGTTGTCTTCGTTTCGAATCGCATCACGCAAGCCCGGGACATCATGCACGACCTGCGAGAGCTCGAGGTGCTGGTTCACGACCTTGGCCTCGATCGACAAGAGGAGCATGGCCACAAGATTGTAGGACGGTGACTCGCGGCAGTCGTGGATGAGACTCTCGAGGAGCCAAAAAAGCTGGAGCGCCAGGTGGATCGAGTTGCCCAGGTGCGCGAGATATGATTTGCCCTTGCAGATGGAGAGAAGCAGAGGAACAAGCTTGTCCGCATTGCGAGGTGTGTCTGCGTGGACTAGCAAGTGTACGACTTGCTGGAGGTAAAATTCCACCTACAAGAAAGATGGAATCCACGCATCGAATACAGTGTTCGGACGTCGTCGATCGACCGCGTCGCATACTGTGCGAGCTGGTCCACAATGAGATCTGTTGCCACGGCATGGTCCCGGTACTTGTGCAAAAGCCTAAGGCGGTGCACTTAGACTTGTGTTTTGGTATGTGACATACGCAACGGCGACGTGGCCGTCAAAGTCAGGCTGTCGCAAGCTGTCGGCGATGAGCTCCTTCTCGATGTCGTCTGAGCAAAAATTGAGTGCTGTCATCGCATGGTGCCAACGCTGCTTCTCTGTCTTGGTCTCTGCCTCAATAACGAGGACCTTGGACTTGATCGTCGAGACGATGAGCGCGTTCTGGTACGTCGTCGAGCCCACGAGCGACTCCTTTGTGCCTTTCTCCAGCTCGTCCATGTCTTTGACCCCGACGACCGAGTACGACGTGCGTGGCCCCGCGCGACCCTTGGCCTCTTCCTTGCTTGCAAAGACCCCCAGCGTCCGGCCCAAGAGCACGCAGTAGCGGCGCCGGCGCATGTGCAGTTTCACGATGAGGTAGCCCTCGATCTTCGACGGCTCGGCCGCAGGGTCGTTGTTGTTCATGCTGTTGCGTCTGCGTCCACGAACGACGACTGCGATGGAAGATTGAAGCGGTTTTGGATCTTGGAGTTTTGCGCGTTTTACTCTTTAAAGAGTCGTTTCACGTTTAGATCGCCGTTCACGAAACTTGCTTTTTCTCCACGTTGATAGGTGGTCATGTCGAGTGTCGCCGCGTCCATAGTGATTTGCTCCGCGTAACTTGACTGTTAAACCTCCAATGTGTCGAGTGCACCGTAACTCTTTGTTCCTCAGTAACATAGTAAGCTCAACCTCCCGGGCGAATACTGCGCATCGCAGTCGACAGGTGCCCTAAAGTACGGTGACATTGGTCGCTCGCTCAGCAATAAATCCTCGTACCCGCAAGGTCAGCACTAACTCTGATGTGTGCGTGTGAAGACGCAATATCGTGGGCCCTATATGCAGTGCACTCTCGAGCGTTCCCTGCCGTCTTTGCTTAGAAGGCGCGAAATCGAAACTGTTCCAGATATGGTTGACTTGAAACGAGAATACCAGTCGCATCCACGTTTCAACAACTCGCATTCGGTTGTTTGCTCGAACATGCCGACGTATGGAGCGGGACAGCCCCTCTTGCACGCACGGCGCAACGCGTTCACCGAGGCGGACCGCAAGTGCCGCGACGTCCTCTGTACTGATGTGCTCTGCGCATTGTCCATCATCTCATGTTGCCCGATTCGTAGGCATTCTCGTCTTCCTTCTCCTATGGGTGGGAATGGCATTTGTGGCTGCTGTCGCGTACCAGGTTCGCATGATCTCGATTTGCATGCGCTGTCAATTTAACTGTGCATCAGAATGGCAACCCTGGTGCACTCATTTACCCTGTGGATCACACAGGTTGGGATGGAAGAGGTCGTTAATGTTTTTAACCATGTTGACCAGGGAACTTGTGCAACGCGACGTATCCTGACATGTACTACCCGCACCCTCAGGCCGACGCATCTGCTCACGTACACTATTGAAGATGCTTGAGTGACGATCGATGATAATATGACGTCTCGAGTAGGTGCCATACTACGGCATTTGCGTCGCTCAGTGCCCCATGAAAGGCGACGTCGTTGACGGGCGCGCCTCGAACGCCAGCTTCGCGCCACTGCTTCACCGCTGTATGCCCAAAAACATATCGGACATTTCGACGCGAGCTGCTTACGAGGGTGTGTTTGGTGACGCTTCGACTGCCTTCAAGTATCTCTCTCGCTACATTCACGACCTGCAGGTCACGTACAAGGCCATATTGGGCATCGGTGCTGTCGGCGGCTTCGTCGGTTGCCTCTTTTGGCTCGCACTTCTACGCATGGTGCCGAACCTCATCGTATGGGCCAGCATTCTCGCTGTCCTTGTCGCGCTTCTCGCATGCACGGCTGTGTGTGCGTCCGAAGCCAACTTGGTTCAAAGCTCTCAGATCAGTGTCCTTGCGTCGTCGATCCGGCTCGAAACCAACGCAAGCCATGCTGCGTACTTCAAAGTGGCAACCATCGTGCTTCTTGCTATCGACATATGCTATGTGCTAGTCCTCGCTTTCCTTCGGTCACGCATTCAGCTCTCGATTGGCATCATCAAGGTTGCTTGCACCGGCCTCTCGGTACGAATGTGGACTCGAATCATCACTAACCAATACGTTGTGGTAGCACATTCCCATGCTGCTGTTTTTTCCAATCGTGCCTGCGCTCAAGCTGCTCGCACTATTTGCATACTTTGTCGTGTCATCCGTGTACATTGCGAGCTGTGGAAATCTCTCAGCGACGCAGCTGAAGGCTACAATGCACGGACCCCACTTCGCCGAGACGAGAGACAATGCGACAGATCCGAGCGTCATGAAGTACCTCTTTGCCTACAACGTCTTTGGCGTCTTTTGGACACAACAGCTGATTGAAGCGATCGCTGTGTGCACGATCTCTGGCGCAATTTGTCGCTACTACTGGTGTGACAACGATCGGCGCCGTGATCTTGGCTGGGCCGTCGGGTAGAGTTTCTTATCTCGTAGAACGGATTGCTAAACGTAGCTGCCTAGGGCGTCCGCGTATTACTCGTTGCGGTACCATTTCGGAACGCTGGTCTTTGGCGCCGGCATTCTGGCGGTCGTGCAATTTCTTCGTGTGCTCCTGGAATACGTTGACCGCCAAACGCAAGGGACACAAAACAAGGCTGTGCAGATTGTCGTGTGCTGTTGCCGCTGCTGCCTCTACTGCCTACACAAAGTCGTCAAGTTCCTCAGCTCGAATGGTTACATCCTGGTTGCAATGAAGGGCGGCTCGTTTTGCCACTCGATCGTCGACGCTTTCAACCTCGTGGCCGCCAACCTCGGCCGCATTGGTACACAGAGCATCGTTGCAACTTACGTTTTGTTCTTGGGAAAGATGATCATCACGGCCGTGTGCGTTCTCGGCATGTACGCCTTTGAGGTGTCCCATGTGTTGTTGCACCTCACAAGCCCGTTTCCCCCGCTGATCGCGACAGGTCTTTTGGCGTATGCGATCGCGTGTCTCTTTCTTGGAGTTTTCGACGTTGCCATCCACACGGTACTCCTCAGCGTCTGCGAGGACGAGAAAATAAACCGCACGACGGGTCAGTACTATGCGACACCAGAAATCCGCTCCTATTTGGATGACTCGGCCAAGTATGCTTTCAAGCACCACCTGCCCGACAGTCAAGATGCATCAGTGTAAACAAGACCACGGGATCATGTACACACGAGAGAACAAGTGTCGTCTATGAATGTAATGAAATGCATATTCTACGCGATGAGAATGCTGTAACACCGTCGCTGCTGCGCCAGCATGGTACGCGTGTGAGCCCAGTGGCCCTACAATCTTTTGCGAAAGGGGTTTGTAAATGGTACGATTGTTCACATATATTTATGAGGACGTAGTGCACAGGACTGTCCGGGCTGTCTCGTCGAGAACATCGTCGTACATGCTGTTTTTGGTGGAAGTACGGCCATCAACATTGAATTTGGAATTGAGAGGCAGGGTCCGGATGTTGGCACGTGCCTGGAGGCGTGACATCGCAACGTAGAGCTGCTCGTGCGCAAAACCGGATTCTATCAACGCGAGGAACCGTCTGACCTTGGGACTTGTCAATAGTCATCACAAATGCGAGACAAACAGGGAGCTATAGACGCTTCAGCTGGAACGGCAGCGTGTTGTGTGCAGGGATGGAGTATTTCAAAACTTATAAATGTGAGTACACTCACTATTTACGTGCACTCAGAGCCTACTCAACGCTACAATGCTTGCGCTTCTTAGCCGGTGCTTGCGTGGGTGCCGCCGCCGCTGAGCCAAGTGCTTCAGCGATGTTCATACTCGACTGGGCCTCATCTTGCTCGTGTTGAGGTCGAAGAAGTTGATGAGCGTCACGGCGGCTTGCGAAGCAAACGTTGCCGACTCGTGGGCATCAACCAGCATGCGGTCGTCGGTCTCGGACCCAATGACCTGCTTGTTGAAGGCCAGCACAAGTAGCATCTCAAACTTGATGTTGCCGAGGACTGGCGCGACGGCGATCCGTTCAACTTGCAAAGCAAGTGGATCGCTCTAGAAAAGCGTTCGAGTCCGGGCTCGCCAGCTCGCAGGCCGCAGTCCGTTCAACGAGGCGGTGTTGGTATCCGTTCTTACGCCACCAGAAGGTGATGGCGAGAAGCTTGTAGAGGCGAACCCAGTTGCGGCGCATGATGTTGCGGCGAGCAAACTTCGTGTTGGAGTCAACAGCACGGTCGCAGATTTGTACGCGCTTGAGAAAATCAACAAAGTCGATCTTCTGCGTCATCCACGTGTTAAAGCACTGTTGCCGATGCCTGCGGAGGTGCTGGGCACGCTCGTATCCTCAGGGTCGATGATTTCCTCGGGTTGTTGTTGTTGGAATGAGTCTATTGAGATATTATTTCCTACAGGTTTTTCTGTTTTGTTTACACGGTGATTTGAGTGAGAGGCGGGCGTCTTTCGGCGAGAGTGCGTATTTTTGGTGATTTGTTGTGGGAGATTTTCCTTCTAGGCTAAGTGAGTAACGACGCCCTCTTGGCCAATCCCGAACGGGTTACGGCACGGCGGTTCTTCCGATTGGGTACACCGCGCAGAGGCAGGAGATCGGCCAATTGAATTTGCATGCGCGCAGCTGGTTTGAACCCGCTATCCGTTCGAGCTCGAATTTAAGTGGAACGCCTCGACCACTACACCAAGGGCTGCCCCTCTGATGATTTCCTTGGGTGCAAGGTTGTACTTGGACTCTTTGTCGATAAGCCTCGGTGCGCCACAGCTCTTGCTGACATTGTCGCCGATCATATATTTGCCCGAAGCTCACTTGTGCGTTCTCTCCTCAGCCATTCGTACCTCTGAAAATTACCGTCCAGTGCACTCTGTAGAGATTTTGCAAGGATCCATTCAAAGGTCTCGACTGTTGTATCTATGCCGCATCATACGGTACCGCGATGTCTTGCATTCAATTCTGAATATCAAACGCGCTTCGAATACGCAGTAAAATACCATGCCATTACTGGGGCTTGAAGTGGGGGTAACCTACTTTTATACCTATCAACTCAACGAGGTGCCTGAGTTAATGGCGATTCACTTTTAATATTGAAATATGAGTAAAAAACGCGACTTACCACGTACAGTGCACGCCATCTGTAGCCTACCAAATAGCTTTTTCTGTAACAATTTCGGCTCGGGCCTTATCTGGATCCTTCGCATACTAGAACTAACATAAACCAAAAAAGTATTATCAATAAAATTGAAAAATGGTGTAATAAAAAAGTAAAAGTAATGAAAAACAATCGAGCGATGGTACTTTTTCGTAGCAATTCAGCTCCCCGCAATACCACGTAGTATTGCCCCTACTTTGAACGCCGATACCTTGCTCAGTTTTTTCAATTTTTGCAATCCGATCTTATGTATCTCTTTCCTCAGACTAAGCAGTCGAACTTTAACGTCCTTTTCCTAGAACATTAGTAGTGTAACTCGGAGGATAAACATGTATTCCAATTAAATACGTATCCTTGAGGTTCTTCACAGTATTTATCTGTAAAAAGCCTCGGCTTAAAGACCATCTGGTGTGAATGTTCTTAACAGAGATCGATATCGATCACCGATATTAGAGCTTCTCCACCCGTTCGCGCTATCCTACACTGGCTCTGTAAAATTTCCAAATTTGTAAAAACAATTCCGGGGAGATGCCCCACCGGTCCCTGTGAATTGCCCGGTATCTGTATAATGTTTACCGGGTGAGCAAAAATTGGCCGAGCGCCCTGTATCCTGGAGCCTGATACGAGGCGCCTGGGCACCCTGGCTTTTTACCCGGTAAAATCGCGAATGACTCATGTTTTGTTTACTAGTAAAAAAATGTATACAAAATCGAATTTTAAGACGAAGTTCGAAGTTTCGACGCCAGACAAATCGCGACTCCCTGAATTTGTTTACAGGGCGACCGGTCGGGCGTTTTGTTTTATCTTGCTCTTTATCGCATATACAGGGCGAAATCGCCCGGTAAGAAACCCAGAGCCAGTGTGGGATACAGGGAACCGATGGAGATGCTCTCACTGCGCAAAATATATAGATATCACTAAATATTTATTAGAGAGTGATAGAATAAGCGGCGTTTGCAGCCATAATATCTGGAGATATATATCACGTGATGTCGCGCACATTTTCGATACATTAGAGTGATTTTGCAAGCGTGGAATTTAGGATTGTTCGGCGCTCGAAATTCTGGAAAATTCAAAGAGTAAAAGTCGCGCGTCGATTGTTTTTGCAAACCTGCATCAGTTTTGCGCTTTGGACCGCAGGCACATGGACGACGTCCTGCTGGCACTCCCTCTCATCGCAATTCTCGCCCAATACCTCGTCGTGGCCTCTCGGGCCATCACCAAACCAAGTACGAGCTTCAACTTTAGCGCGCAATCCGATACGGACTGCGTGTACAAGTTCCGATTTACCAAGCAGCAGATCGTCGAGCTCGTGCGCTCGCTGTATTTGCCCGACGGAATCATCACGACGCACCGCTACAAAGCCGATCCGTTGGAGGCGATCTGTATCATGCTCAGCCGGCTCGCGTTGCCGCATCGGCTTGGCTCCATGGTCGAGACGTTTGGACGCAGCAGCGAGGCCTCGTCCGCGATCAGCAACCACGTAATGATGCACGTGTACGAACGACTTCTTCCATCACTTGCTCGAGTGGGACAAAGCTCGACTTGACGCCGACTGGATGCAACACTGTTCGGCCGCTATCCATACTCAAGAGGCTCCCCTTACAACTTGCATCGGCTTCACTGATAGCACCGTGCTCACTAGCACAGAGCAGTGGCCCAGCGCCCATTTGAGCTTGATGAGCAACGGTACCTGCTTGAAAATCAGAGCGCGAAGCACGGTGCCAGTTGGAGCGATCGGAGCGCGAGGACCAGCTTGAATTCATGCGAAGCACCATCGAATTAACGAAGCACCATCGAATTGATGCTCTCTCTCGGAAACAAGATATGCTCCTGTTGTGTGTGCCAGGCCTGGTAGCTGCCCGTCAAATCGATCAAAGCACCGACTACTGAGGGAGAACGATGGACCGTCCGTCAAGCCCTATTGGGTCGCGGTATTTGCTGAGCGGCAGTAAAGAAAGCTCACCCGCGCTCTATGTCGTTAAGCACAAGTAAGCAGGAGCGTTAAAACGCTCGTGAGAAGATTGCGATCTGACGGCTTTGACCAAGTACTTACTGTACTTTTTCTTTTTAGCTCCAATACGAGTAATGAATTCACGATAGGAAGACAGGAGTGAGCGAGATGCTTCTCTTTTTTTCGACTTCAGAAATTTCTCGATGCCCAAATGACGATGAGCCTGATGTTTGGATAATATGGTACAAAGGTGAGACCAGTGGCCGTACGGCCACTCCCTAAGCGTATAGGAGCTAAATCGCTGCCATATTACAAGAGTTCAACTCTTGGTTGTATGCGCCAGTCTCGGTAGAAAAAAATATGCGGAAACATAGATCAATATCTGGTCCCTTAAAAAAAATGATTTTGCAGAACGCGAACTATGAGTCAAGTACATGATAGTGGCATAGTGGCGCTCACGCCGATCTCTTGACAGCAAGGTATGGAGCTGCGCTTTTTGAGGAGAAGAAACAATCAACTGGAATGATTGCTACATACGACTAGGTGCTGCACTATCTCTTCTCTCGACGTTTATAACGGCTTTGCACGGTTCTCTCCTTTAAATAAATATATGCTGTTCCCAAGTCAAAATTAGAGTTATGGTCAGAGAGTCCTGTTCAGAGTCTGGCTTGTGATCAAAATCGACGCAAGTCGTGGTTTGTTTGAGTCAGGCGCGTGTTGTAGAGATGGGAAATGACCACACGCACGGCTTTCCTACTTGGGGAGGAATGGTAATTGGACAAGAGACGGTGGGAGCGGCGGTCGTCGTCCGACGAGATTTGCCAGTTGTCAGTCGTCGCGCCAAGTTGGAAGTGATATGGACGCGAAAGTCTGACAGGTTGGATGAGGTAAACCCTCCGACACTGTTTGACGTACTCTACCCTACTGAACAAAGACGGGAGCCTTCGCTTCCCGTTTTTGATCGATTTGGGTGAATTTTTACGATTAGTTTTCAGAGACCCCGCATTTTTTAATATTTATGACAGCCCAGATGGAAAAAACAAGTGAGTTGCGAAATCTCTTCAATGTAACACCTTGTGGCCAATATTGTTTTCCTGTTTATGAATGAGTGGAACTACCGAAATACTCAGAACAAGAGGCATACGTTTCGCTTTCTCAACAGTTAAGCGTGCCAAGCCCTGTGACAATCTATGGTCAGTCAAATCCAAAGGAGATGCTATCGGCATGCTAACAATATAAGAAGGCAGGGCTCTTGATCGGTCGCTGCATTGCGATCTTACTGGTCAAATCGTAAGGGTTATTGACAGTAGGAGCCCATAGCGAAACTACGATATGGACAACAGGATATTAATTAATTTTAGCTGTCAGCGGATAGCCCTACCCTGACAACCTTCTGACATCAAATTTGCACTAGAATCACGGTGTTTCTGTCGGTAACATCAGTGAATTCTCTTTGGAATACCGGAGCTAAAAAAAATTGTGCTCTGAATTGGCACCAACGTGAATCTTTTACTTTCTTTTCTGACTAACTAAAACTTATCTATCCTGCATAACTGCGCAAGCAATTTTTTAGTCGAATCGATTCTGCCATTAAGCAACACGATATGTGACAACAATTTGCTACATTCTTAATCATTAATTGCCCTGCAAGCGCGTGAGCAGAACAGTTGCAAGTTAGAGCTGATTGTTAGACAACTGAGAACTTTCGGTAGACATGTTTTTCGAGTTTAGATTTAGAATCTCGGCATCTTGGAAATTTCAAGCAGGTGACTTTCAGTGGCTTTCGGGTTGAAGTTGCGATTTTTTTCCGGACTTTCGGTGGCTTCGAGATGAGCATTTCAATTTTCATGGGCAAAATACCATCTTGGACTCGAGAAACAATAGCGGCAGGCCGGGCGCGCGCGATTCGGAGCTCCCAACAATTGCTGACAACTCCGCCCCATGTAACTTAGGAATATCCTATATAGGACAATGCCTGAAATAACCATCTCCCTTCCCAACCACTCCCTGGCTCCCAGCACGCAGAAGCACAGACCTCCCCCTACACCACACTACCATCCCCTTACTATTCCCCTTACCATTCCCTTGCCATCTTCTAAGGCCCCAACACCCTCCTACCCCGGCGCTGGCCCCGGTAGGTCTGAGGTCCCAAGTTACATGGAGTTGCATTTAGGCCACATGGTACATAAAACACCTTATCCTTTGTATGGACAGTTACATGCGGCTGGAATTTTGCTACAATCGAGCGCCACGAGCGAAGCGAGTCGACCCGGCGGTAGCGCAATAGGGACACATGCCATGCGCGAGCGTAGCGAGTGCATGTTGCATCAATTCGCGCCGCACTAATCACGGTAGTAGCGTGTGCACTTGTGGTAGTGCACGACAGCGCGGTAGGATACTGTGCGCGATAGCGCAATGTACGAGCGTGCATTTGGTATCGATGGGGCCTGCGCGATAGTGCGGGACCTTGGAGCTACACTATGTTTTCATTGTGTTAGATCAATGAGCTAGATCGCGATGTTAGAATCGTATCTAGATGTTACGTTCGCTTTGCAGGTCTCTATTGCAATCCGCGCGCCACGCACAGTGCGGAAGACCCGATCATGGTGGGGATGCCATCTTCTGAGGTCGAGCGCAAGCGCGAGTAGCGGAATCGCCAAGCAGTACGCGCCCTGGCAACAGCGACGGCGATCGAGGAGGCCAAGGAGCTGAAGCGGAAGATCACCGCGAGGCAGAGGCGACAGCAGCGATCGAAGGCATCGACCGCGACCGCCACGGCGCCTCAAGGGAAGCGCGCGCGTGCAGCAGCCGCGCCTGTCACAGTAGAATTGCTGGGCCTGCAAATCCGAGTAGCAATCCTTCAAACCACCTCATGAACGTTATCCATCCTGCAATGTTGATCATTCCGCGATGCTGCAGCAAGCTGTTGTGCGTGAAGCGTCCTGCTATGCAGTATTGGACCCGAGTGCTGAAATGATGTGAAGGTTAAAGCGGCTAAGAAAGAGCTCTTCCCGGCGGCGGCTCTGACAATAACAACCCGCATCTAAGCGAGATCGGAACGAAGCACCACCCTCACCGCATAATGGAGACTGAAATTAACGTTTACATCATTGGAGCCCTACAAAGAATCCACCAGGTGCACCGTAGCGCAGCGGAGGTTGCACCGCAGTGTAGCTTCCGGATGTAGGCCGGCGGAGGTAGCGTCCGTCGCACGCGTCCATTCACCATGTGAATGCGTGTTTGCAGTAGGAAGGGAGCGTTGGTACAAGAGCCCGTAAGGGTGGAAGGCATCCACACTGTCTAAGCTACGATACAGACACACCGCTAGGTTGCACGCGGCGCCGATACCAAACTAAAATCAAAAAGCGCGACAGCACCTACCTGCACATACCTTCGACACGGATCAAACCACTGCGCATGCTACGCAGAAAGACCGCTAGATGGCCCACCGGCCCTATGCCCCACCTCGACCACAAAGACCAACCACACCCTGCCCCAAGAAAACCCGAGGTTTGGGGCAGGGTGCGTGGAACTTCCATGCATATGATCCCGTCCACCGACGAGTCCAAACTACGTCACACGTAGTACACGATCCATCCGTTAGATTGCACGCTACCCCAATGCAAACCTCAACCAAAGAGTTTGACCAACACCTGCCCCAAGAAAACACGAGGTATACCCTAGTGGTCACGCTGTTTTAACAAGCGAATGGCACTCCGTTTGTCCGTAGTGATGCGCATTGTCCAGTTTGTTAGGTTCCTCTGGTAAACGGCTCGTCGAGACGAAAGCAATCGCTCGTGTGCGTGATGGTCGATTGCATGAAGGGCTCGATGTATTTTCGAAGAGCCACCCAAAATGTAACAACGACCACGTGTCGTCATAGTTAGATAGAATCTAATATACATTCCCCAAAAGAACTACATCATCGTGGTCTGGAGTCAATTGGCGGACTCCCAATTTGGTCAATTGCATTCGCTAGCTGGGGTACAGCTCTGGACAGGGAGACTTCTGGTGTGGATCGAGACAAAGAGAGTTTGGGCTGCTTGCTCGACGTGGCCGCATCGAGATCTGATCGTGAGCGACATATCGGGGACTTAATGGTCTTCACAACAAGCAATATCTGGGCTTCTTTCTTGCTCAGGATCGTCTTGATCTTCGCTTCGAGGCTCGAGTTGGCCAGTGGAGTCTTGGTGCGCTTCGCAACCGGCTGAATTGATCGCCTCTGCAGCACGCTTTCTGTTGTCCTCGGCAATGGAGGCTTCTGGTCGGTGCACGTTTTGGAGCTCGGACTGCAAGTTGTCGCTCTTGTACAAGTATCCATTGCACCAATAGACATAGGCCACTGCACAGCAAATACGTTCGGTCGCAGACGTGCGATCGAAGTTCAAAGAAAGAGGCATAGAGCATAAGTGGGCCGTTCGTTGGTCGAACGCACGAGTACATGGTGTAGAGAAGCACAAACGTCAATGCTGGCAACTGTAAGCTGCGTTCGAAGTAAGCAATGACTCGCGGGCCTCCTTGCACTTTCCACTTCGTGACAGCAAACACGAATGCGACCGCGTGCGAGTGGTGCTTGAGATTTGGGTCCATGCCGATGCGGACTGTGTTGTCAGACCGTTTGATGAGTTCGATAGGCCTGTGCACAACATACATATCGGTAACGAGGTTGAGATCAATGCCCCACTTCGACTGCGTCCAGTTTCACTTCGACAATTATGAATTCGGGTGCGCAACGTTAGATGACCCACGTTCGACGGCATCCAGAGAGGCGCGCTTGCTCTCCGTATCAAGCCATGCCACCGAGACGTAGCGACAAACTGCTCCGTTTGCTTTGGCATGGACGACGTTGGCGTTCTCGCTGTAAAGCACTTGGCCCGGCGCACCGAGCGCAAAGTGGTCACAAAGCTCGGGGTAGACTTCACATCGGTAGAGCATAAGCGCGAGAGGTACTACTTTGCTGAGCACCCGTCGTCAGCATAGTACGACAGTATTTTTGGGTGCTGCAAATTCCTCGACCATGGCTGCGTTGATGACGCTGCAATTCGAGTTCCTTATCGTGAGAACAAGCGAGTTCGTCGGCCACGCCGGATTCTGGGCCACATCACCGGGTGTCAGTTCGTGTCGAAGTGCATTTACTAGCCGCTCCGTGATAGGCTTGGCACAGATAGGGCCCAAACACAATTGCCCCAGCCCATGCTTGGCCCGGTAGGAAATAATTTGACAAACCCACGACCCATGCCAAAAATTGACAATTTCAAAATCGATGATGTATGACTGAAGTTTAGACATTGTTCATGTGAGAAAGAGGTACTAGTATGAATTGGTAGATGTTATTGCTTGAATAATGATCGCGAAAAGTGAAGGTCATTGACTCCGGGTTGAATACTAAATCTCATCGGTTCCAACCACTGGGTTCCAACCGGCCTGCCCACGCCCACCCTATGACTCCGTGGCCTAATGTCGGGCACTGATTTGAGCTGGGTGCAGGTCAGCAACAGCCTCTCGAATTGGTGGGGGGTAGCCTGGTTTTTGCGTCTTGTTGCACGAGGCACATACAGCGATCGCGCCGGAGGACCGCTCATGCAACACAGCGGACTTATGGTAGCGCAAAACGTTCTTCTTCCAAGACCGGAGCTCCAAATGTCGCTGCCAGCGATCGCAAGTTGGACCAGACTCGTTGCTAATGAGCGCCTCGTCGTTGAATACAGAGCATTCGGGTTGCCAAGCTTAAGCGATAGTTCAGAAGCGCGAGACGAGGGTCGTTCGTGTAGGCGCGCCCCAAGAATTATCTCTTCTTGGGTGTGATAAACGTCATGGTCAGTGCCCTCAAGCTCGCGTTTGCACTTGATTTCGATGGACATGGTCTTTTTCATGCGTCGGTCGCAAGCGGGGTTTGTTGCCACACGCGTCCGAGTGCGGTCACACATGACCACATCTACAGCAGCAGTGGCTTCAGCGGGCGGAACGGAATATGGCAATACATAAAGTATTGGTCGCCATCACTCGAGAATATTATTCACACCGTCGCCAATTGTCTGCGCTGCGACAGCTGCACAAATGAGCTCAGCTGGGCACACCCTTCCATGGTACTGGCAGCAGACCGCTTTCGAAGGTTGCGGTTGTACCGGTACTTCATTGCGTGTGGGAAGGAGCGCAGTGTGTATAGGTACGCGACCTGGACACTCGAAAGCAACGTTGTCAACTCGTCAAGACGGAGTTGAACCTGAAGAACCTGCGTCTCGAGATGCCAACTTATGTGGCGGTAGATATAGCGCCGGCGCTCGATGTGGCCGGCCACTGCTAATGCTGCCCCGCTTGTGTCGCTGTACAGCTGTCACATCCTTCTGTAGAAGGGTCCATCACTGCACAGAGTCGCCAAGCGTCTCTGGGAGCTACGGCTCACACCGGATAAAATTATGCAGAAACGTGTCTTCGTTAAGTCGTACTGGCGCAAAATTTAGGTCCTTGGCCGTGGGATCCTATTGCTGCGGCTGACCGAAGTTGAACATGGGAGCGTTGGAAGTATCTGTGCCAAACATAAACTGGTCGTTCTGTACCGCGGGCGCGGCCATGTCGCTTTCAACTTCTTCGCCTTGGAAAAAGCGCTCGATGATCGTCATCGACTTGTTGTAAATGTCTATGTGGGTATGCATGCATGCATTCGGTTCCACACGATATCATCAAGTATACCTTCACTCTCGCTGTACTGGAGCATCTGGATCTTCTCGACACCATCGCACTCGTCGACGAGGTTGGAGAACGCGTTCACAAATGTTTGGTTGGCTTGGCCTTCCTCTTCACCAATGCGCAAAATGTTCTCAAGGCCTTCGAGTGCGACTGTAATGACCTTGGCGTCGTGCAAGTCGAGAAGACTGCAGAGTGCGCCGATACAGCCTACAAGAGTCCGGCACTTGCATGCGACGTAAAGGCGGCGCACCAAAAAAGACCAGTTGCTTGATCTGGAGCGAACTGCCACCGGACGTTGCGTTCGAGATGGCCCATGCCGCTTCCTTGCGGATGTCGAACTCCGTCTACAGTGATAACTCGTCAGCAGATCGAGAGCGATGACTGGGGCGTACCGAGGCGCCAAGATACTGAATGAGCACGGGGAAGATATCAGCGTCCATAATGTTCTGGATCTGCTGGGTGTTGCCGGCCGTAATGTTGGAGATCGTCCAGCATGCTTCCTTGCGAATGCCCTTCTTTGGCGACTCGAGCAGCGCGCGCAGGCACGGCAAAACGTTTAAGTTGATCATGACCTGCGTCTGGATGTCGTTGCCCGTCACGATGTTACCAACCGTGCGCAGCGCCGGGGTCTGAACCGACGGCGAGCGGTGCATGAGCAGCTCAACAATACGGCGACAGACGCCTGCCTCGATGACCGCCTGGATTTGCGGGTTTTCGCCATCCGAGAGGTAGCTCAGCGCCCAGCACGCATCCGTGAGAACTTCGTCGTCTTGCGTCAAGATGAGCTGTGCAAGCGTCTGCAACGCTGGGCGTACACTACAACGATGCAAAATTAGAACAAATTTGGGCTGAAACATTGTACTCGTCAAAGCGTGGCTTGGGCTTGCCGCGGCAAAAGTTGGAGAGCGTCCACGTCGCGTTGCGCAGCATCGTGGTCTTTGAGTTCGACGTTAGCTGCTGCATGAGTGGCCGCAGTGCGTTGCAGCTCAGAACGATGTCGCGGCACTGAGCAGAGTCGCCAGCAATGTTGCCGAGCGCCCAAACAGCCTGCTCGCGCACGTCGTCGTTCGGCGAGAGAAGCAGTTGACAGAAGATGGGCACGGCGCCGCTGCTAATGACCGTACGGGTGTGGTCTGACGTACCAGAGGCGATGTTTGTGAGCGCCCAAGCTGCCTCGAACTGCAAACTCGGGTAGTCCTCGCGCTTCAAGAGTTCGACGAAGACTGGCACGACCCCAAGCTTGATGACTTCTTCAATCGGAGGGTTCTTCTCTATAGCACGAGTTTGACGATTTTTCGATGACATTCATAGCGTTACCAATCGAAAGGAGCTTGCGAAACTTGCTCACAGACGCGAGCTGGACCTCCGAGTCGGGGCTCTGCAGGTTCATGCACATCTGCGGCAACTCGGCAAGCTACAAAATGGGTTTTAACGTCCCTGGCGACCGGAATAGTCTGGTGTACCTTTTCGAGAAGTGACGGGTCAGCCATACCCATCGTCATGGGCACGCCCGCGGATTCCGCCTAAAATCGGGTCGCATGAGCGTCGACAACACGCGCGTGGGGCGTACGGCCAGACGTCGGCGCTGCTGGAGCTGCTCTTCGCGCTTGACCTTGCGGATCTGGATCGTTGTGTCCTCGCGCTTCTTGCGCTGGTCCTCGACGTCGATGCCCTTCTTGAAGTTGTCTTTGCGCGTCGCCATGCTTGCTTCTCGACGAGTGGAATGCTGTCAACCAGACACAAGAAACGAAGAACCGGTTCAGGTTTCCGGTCCCAAAATATCCGAACGATGCTTTAACCGGTTACACGGTTGCAGTGCAATTTTAGACACCATGATGGACCTGATTCTCATCGCGGTTTTGGATCGTGGCAGGAATTGCGGCCTTCATCGCGTTGTTGTGCCTCTGCTCGTTTGGTCGCCCGCCGCTGCCGCCGCGAACATACTACGACGACGAGCATTTGGCATTCGACGAGTGCTACACTCTGGGTGCTGGGCTCTACCTTGGCGACGATCAGCACCCGACCTGTGAAGCCATCCCGCGGGCCCAGCGCGGTCGATTTGTCGTGCAAGCAATCACGTCAGAGACGGCTGGCGCTGTTATGCGCGAACCTTGGACGCCTACCTTCTAGGACGACATCAAGCTCGCGCACTTATTCACCAAGCAAAATTGCATCAAGGAGCGCAAGGTCCGGGAAGTTCCCAACAAGGTTCGATGAGTTTGCATTAACGTTAGGAGCCTATTTTGATTCCCGTCGGAGAAAGGTTCATGGTGCTCTGGGTCAAGCAAGACGCTTGTAGACGAAAACGCTGTTTATCTTTTAACACAGTTCAACAAGCACGCCAAGTACACAAGACCGGCACCCTCGAGCCACCGGAGCCCTAGCGGTCTCATCTGCGACGTCCAACGTCCATCGATTTTTGCTGCGACCTTTGCTGCGATTGCTGCTTTACATGACAAGTTTTGGGACCAAGTAGTTTTGCTTGAACACGGCAAGCGCCAAGATATGCCACATGTGACCAAGATGACAAAGTCACGTTTTGTAACGAGGCAACTCGTTTATACTAGTATCATAACGCTCACTACACGCCTACGCACCCATTTCGGTCATTTGGCTCTGCATTGTTTCGAGCAGCGCAAGACTGTGGGCGACTTTGGCTCTTGTATCGTCGCAAACGTCGTCCTCGGGTGCTTCGTGAATCAGAGTATGCAGTCGCGCGAGGGTTGACAGCATCTCGGCTGGCTTCATTCGGTCCATGAACTCTGCCATCGTTGGCGCCTCGTCATCTTTTGGCACCGTCATGAGAGGCAGCGACACTGCTGCGGGAAGTACGTCGTCGTCGCTGTGAGGCGACTTGGTCTCGAACGCGGCACAAAACGCGGGCTCGTCGACAACGTTGTCAGTTGCAGGGACAGGGGAGAGCGGTGGCACGAGCGTCACCGGGCCTTCCATAAGCGCTGTGCACCGGGCACCAAGTGCACGTGTGAGCGCCATGCGCGTGTGCTGCACTCGAAGAACCTTGGAGAGACAGTGGTATCCGAGCACAATGAGCCCCGTTCCTGTGATCACGTAGCCTTGATGCCACGGGTCGCAGAACACGCACGCGACCAAGGCCAGAATTGTGCCAGTGGCAATCAGCGCGGCAAATGATGCCGACCAGAGCTGCTCAACAAGCGGAGAAATCGTCGGATGCCGAATTGCGAGCGCCTTGGCCACGAGCTGCGCATCGTCTGCGTCGGTCAGCTGCCACTCTTTAAGAACCGTCGCTGTGTCCATGATCGTTGTCGCGTACGGCCATAGCTGACTGTGCAAAAAGCCGTGCAGATGCACAACGAAGGGATCCGTCGGCGCCAGCGGCGCGCACTCCAGCAGTACCACGAGCGCTGTGTAGCAGACAAGTCGCATCTACCCCAGAGCCATGGTTTTAGACCAAGTTATGACGGACGACAAGCATTACGTTTTCGGGCGAGAGGCGCTGAACGGGAATACGCTGCGTTATCGCGCCGAGCAGCGTGTCGAGAGTTTCGGGCACCGTGCGAGCAATCGTCCCTTTGGATTCAATCAGGAGCGATACCATAAGCGATCTGGCGCGGTCGAGTACGTCTGCGTCGTCATTGGCCATGTTTGTGAGTACGGCAGCGAGACGCATCATGGCCTCCATGCGGTTCTCGAACGTCAGGTCCTATTTTCCATGAATTGAGCCTTGAAGGGATGGGTTACGTGATCATACGTTCTCGAGGAGGCGGCGCTTCGAGCATAGAATGTTGAGTGCTTCTAGCACATCGCCTCGACTGGTGGATGCGAGGCCAAAGAGGAGACCGCGGTCATAGGCGGTCTCGTCCATGCGCATGTTCTTCTGCTCGTTGCTGAAGAGAGACAAGGCGCTTTTGCCGCCGTCGCTACGCAGTTTTAAACGTCGCGTATCCGGATTATACCGGATACACTACACGCACTTTATTGAAGGCAACGTCGAGTGGTGGTTGGCAGAAGCAGATTGATCCACGATGGCCAAGTTCACGCACGAGCAAATGAAGAAGATGACGCGCCGCGTGGCGTCCGAGTCGACCGAGTGCCAGCCTGAGTTCCTTCTCTTCATCGGCGCCATGGCCAAGCACAACTGGGACTCGAGCAAGTGCGTGCGCGAGTGGCGGGACGCTTTCAACTGCGTCGCTGGCAACCGTAACAAGGGCAGCGCCAAGCAAAAGTCGACGCTCAACTACCACGTCATGCGCCTCGCCAAGGGCTTGTAAATATTAGGATGATCCAAGCGTTGCCTGCATAATAGAGCGGATGCCATGACCTGGACTCGCCCCAGTACGACACAGTATGGAACTACACAGTCTACTAGGGAGGCTAGGACCTCAAAATCAAGGCATGGACAGCGTTGCTATGTCCCATGTACAGCCACGTAGCTTTCCCGCCAAGCAGCTGGACAAAGCAAAGCTTGACGCTGATAGTAGTCATCTCGAGGTCGTCCAGAGGATTCTTTGGTGTCCTCGCGTTGTTGAGCCTCTTTTAGCGGCTGAACAACAACGACCAATCTTATTACAAACCTTGTTCGACAACGCCGTCCAAACGCTAGCAGTCAATGCAGTCATCAGCGCCACAAAACAGAGCGACATCCAGCTTTCGCGTTGAATCTGACAGGGCAACGCCAACTAGTATTCCTGCCCAAAGCAGCGTAATCCTCACACTAAATAATAAAGTCAAGTGGGCACAACAAAAATAGTGCTCAGGTCAAAGTCGTTGGAGCGGATTGTAGAAATTGCTTTAAATCACATAGAATTATCAAGTAATAAGAATATATAAAATACGCGAGGATCTTCCCCTTTTGGCATCAGTTTCCAGGACGAAGCGAAGAAGCAGCATGGCAGCCGAGGCTAAAGAAGCGATCACAACGATGGAGGGCGCCCTCAAGTACGCGGTCAAGACGATGGACGACTTCTTCGACCCGTCTATCGACAACGACAAGCGCATTCCAGTGGACCTCATGCAGGGTGCAAAGGGTCTCGCCTTCCTAACGGTGATCAAGGCCGGCTTCATTTGGACGGGTAAGGTCGGTACGGGCCTGGTGCTGGCCCGGCTGCCGGACGGCCGCTGGTCGGCACCATCAGCTATCGGCACGGTCGGCATGGGCGTGGGTTTCGAAGCGGGTGGCCAGATTATCAACTACATGATCATCCTCAACTCGGAGGCCGCTGTCAAGTCGTTCATGCAGAAGGGCCAGTTGTCGGCTGGCGCTAACATCGAATTCGCTGCTGGGCCATTCGGTCGCGCTGCTGGAGCAAACGCCAACATTTCAGCGCAAGGTATCGCCCCCAACTACACGTACAGCCACAGCAAGGGCCTCTTTGGCGGTGCGGGGCTCCAAGGTTCGGCGATTGCCGCGCGCTCAGACATCAACAAGACGTTTTATGGGCGCGAAATCTCGCCGTCTGAGATCTTGATGGGCGGTGTCGACCAGCCGGCGTCTGCGGCGCCGCTGTACGAGGTTATTGACCGCGTGCTCGCGCTGCCGTCACAAGGCAACCCTTTGAGCAAGCTGCCGTCTATGCCGGCTATGCCCTCCATGGCAGGCGTCCCAAGCGCAATTCGCGCCAAGTTGCACATGCGTGAGCCGATGCCATCGGCGGTTCAGGGCAGCGAGGTGCAGGTGGTGTACCAGCGTGTCCTCGCGTCTATCGAGTCTGTTGCTGGACTCGAGTTTGTCGCCGACTTCAAGGTCAAATGCAAAGAGTTTGGCCAAAGCAAGATGGAAGACGCCGCGTTCATCACGTTCATGGCCCAGGCCTTCAACGCCCAGCAGCGTGTGACTTTGTACCCGGTATGCTACGTTTCTTATATGCCTAGAATCTGACCTGTGCTTAGGATGTCGTACGCCTTTTGCAAGACAAACATAAGCGTCAAGTGCTCTGGGTACGTTGGAATATCCAAACCATGTATCTAACGCATCCTCTTTCAGAACGCCTACTTGGACGCTAAAGAGGAAGGTACGATATAGCGACATCGTTCGCAGGTCATTATTAATTTACTACTACTTGCGTAGTGGCCGCGACAACGCCTGCAACATCGGCCGCAGCACCGTCGCTCTTTTAATGCGAATCACAGCCGTTAAAACGTTGGGCGTTGGAGGGTTAATATACGCCCAACACCGTTTGCACACCTGCGGTTACTTGTGCGCTCAACGAAGGTAGTTTTGCGAAGTACGAAACGGAGCAGAACTAGATTGGAGTAGTAAGTATTACATGACTATATAGCGCGTTGACTGACACTTGGTGTCCCGTGTCACGAGCTCTTGAAGTCGCTGTTGGTAGCGCATGTGAGTCCCGTTGCCAAAACTCTCTCCACCGAGTCACCGAGAAGTATCGGCTTCGTCCAGAGAAGCATGATGGCACCCCAGTCCACAAATCGTTGTTGTTGGAATGAGTCTATTGAGATATTATTTCCTACACGTCCACAATTCGTATTGCATTGCTGCAGCTGCTTGCAGTGTCCTTTGAATTGTACTAGTACGAGCTTTGTGTATTGAAACCTTCGTGCTTCATATTATGACCACGCTGGCAGAGGTGAGTAGTGCTCCTCGCTGACGCTAGCTCGCGCAACCATGTCACAGAAGTCAACACGAGGTGCTATTGCGATTTGATCTCAACGAGCCACGTGCCATCATACAGAGCCCAGGTGCATGTCCACCTTCAAAACCGCTGCTCTACGAAGATAGACGCACGTAATAAAACAAACGACGCACAAAATTTATTTCTCTTAGATATTCATTTACCTGGTACAATAAAGTGAATGCATGCTTTGCAAGTGTTTTTATTGTTAACAATCGGAATGCATACAAGCCACAAGTAGATATTAACGAAGTGAGATCGAATTTGGCTGCCTGAACCGTTATCGAGCTTACGGCCGTGAAGATACCAGCGACAATGGAGATGGACGCACGGCAATTTCCGCCCCTCGATGGTCTGGGAAATGGAAGCATATCCCCAGAAGATGCATACGAAGCGCTGCAGAGAAGCACTACGTACGCCAACCCAGAGCTCCCGACGTACCTTGCCTCGCTGCTGCTCAATCTGCCGGACGATGGCGTCGACGGGACGCTGCGGCTTCTCGAGTGTATCTTGGCTGGGGGCACCGCAAGCTTCGAGACGTTCCTCGCGACGCGTGCCAACTTATATGGACAAGCCAGTCGCTCCAAGTGCGAAGAGGTCTGGAACGGTGACCACATCGCCTACCGCTGCCGAACGTGCGGCTTGTCCGACTCGAGCTGCATGTGTGTGCAGTGCTTCGACCCAGCTCAGCACGAAAACCACGACTACCGCATCTACCGGTGTAGCTACGGTGGCTGCTGCGACTGCGGCGACGAGCTTGCGTGGAAGCCATCAGGCTTTTGCAAGACGCACTGCTCCGCGCCGTCGGTTCCAATACCAGACATTGCAAGCGAAGAATGCGCGCGATTAGATGTGGTCCTGGACTCGATTTTGGAGCTACTCCTATCGCTCTTGCGCATGGTCTACAGCGAGGTGACGGTACCGGGTACGTCCGCGGCCTCGACGCACACGCTACAGACTACTCAGTACTGCTTCTCGGCCGCCGGCCGCACGTACGACAGCTTTACGCCCCGGACGCAGCTTCTCCTCCGTCGACTAGCACAGTGTCTATCGTGGCTACAACCCATCGTGACGAGTTGCGTTCAGTACCGAGCGCGCATGTGCCGCGCGCTGCAGATGCCAACGCACTGGGGACCATCCTCGACAACGATGCTCGACGCGTGCCTGACGTTCGGCATTCTGTTCCCGCTCGAGTCGGCGGATGCGCTCGGCGTGCTCTTTCTCAAGCTGCTCTTCGACAAGGACTTTAAGGTGCGCTTCACGGCAGCTTTCTTGGCCGCGTACCCGTTCTACATACGCCTCTACAATGTCCACTTGGAGAACGAGGCGGCGCACACGCACGTGAGTCGCTTCATCGACCGCTTATTCTGCCAGCTCTTTCACAGCGCGGCGCAGCTCCACCAAATGGACCTCAGCGGCGCGACGCCCGTGCCTCCCATCCATGGCCACAATTTTGCCGTCAACGCCCGTCGCACCGCGACAGAGCAGCTCGTGCACTACCTGCTCGCGCACTTGCTCGCGCTACTCAAGCAGACGCTGCGTGGAACGACGATCGACTGCAACCATGACTTTCTCAAATTGCGGACCTATTCACGCTTCTGCTCGGAGCTGCGCACGCTTCTTGTGCACCCGCCCATTGCCGGTCAAGTCGTCGCCTCGTCCTTTACCTGCGATTTACAGGTGCGGCATCGTTTATTTAGCAGGCTCTAACGACCATGCAGCTTGAAGCCGACTCCATCATGGCGACGCTTCTCGACATCTTGTCCACGATGCAGTGCATGGACCTCCAGACAAAGCAGCGAGACCGCCACATCGAGTTCGAGTCGAGCGTACGTATATGGATTTGTAGTCAGTCGGTGGTTGATGTGTTGGCTGCAGTCGTGGACAGCGTCCTTCGTACTGGACTATGAGGTCATGCTCGTGTGGCAATACATTTTGCTCGGATATCGTCGATGCATGACTGTGCCGCCCTCTGACGACGCGTTTGGGGCTCCCTTTCGGTGTGCCATTACGATATCATCTCATCTTGAACCTCACATGTGTATGCGCAGGGATCCACCGTTGAACCCGTCAAAGTCGCCCTTCGAGCTCCCGATGTTGGCGCAAGGACTTTTGGCGCCCATTGAAGCAAAGCTCGCGGCGTGGTGCTGTGAGAGCATGGGCCAAGCAACATGGCCGCGCCTTGATAGCGCCACGTGCAGTTTGCACTTGCCGCTGCACCACTTTTATGCAAGCGCGCTCAGTGACATGATGGCGGCGCTCGCAGGAGGTACAATCCAAACCTCGAGCTTGTTCATGACAATCTTGTGTGTTCAGATCCCAAGGCGCTGCTGGCTCTGCTGCGTCGGCCTGGCGGGGCCTTTTGGCACACGGTTGTGTATCACTCAGTGCAAGTGCAGCATTTCGTGCGGTCAATCAAGTGCCATCTCTGGGTTCTCAACGGGCAGTCCATGTGGCAGCAGGTGTATCATTACCACTCACGCCATTGGCGCCACCACGGACTGCACAAGGACCTTTTTCTTCTCCAACTTGGCGCTGCTCTGGACCCGGCATTTGTGGCGGACCTCGTCTCACACTGGCTTCCCGACGACAAGGACGCGTCGCCGCTGATGCTCGACGAGCTCCTAAAGCTCGTGCTCCAGCTCGTATTGGACCCAACGCACATTGGGGCGCTCTCGTCGTGGCAGCTTCTGGTACAACTCTCTGCCTGTTGGACGCGGCTTGACCGGGCGTAGATTCGAGAGGTCAAGCACTGGCTTGGCACGGGACCGTTGACACGCACCGAGTTTGTCTCCAAGTGCAACCTAAAGCTTCTCGATGCGATAAAAGAGCACACGAAAGAAGAAGACGACGACATTCTCAACCGCGCACTGGAACAAGTCGGCGTGAGCTCGTCCGTCATGGCTGCGACGTCGGGTGGCTCCGAGCCGTCGCCACAAGCAGTTCTGCAGGGTCTGGACAACCATCCGTCGTCAAGCACGTCGACGTTTACGCTGCAGCCAGCGCTCTGGGCTGACATTTGCCCCTACTTTGAGGCATTTACACTCATGGACGCGCAAAAGTGCGAGCAAAACCGACCAACGACGCAAGTGGTGTTGCCGCCACTGGATCACGTGCTCCCTTGCCTTGACGCGCGCGACAGCGTGCAGTTTGCCGTCATTTCGGCGCTGCTATCAAGTCACCTGCTGTTGGCACTTGTGTATCGCGTCCTTCACACCGAGACTCAGCTTTCTGAGGACGCCAGCGTTGTACAAACCGCATTGCACCTTTTGTACACGGCGGTGTCGATTGTGCCGCGAGATTACGTACCAGAGACAGCCCTCGCAATGACCCATGACGCGCTGGATGCAATTGTGCGGGCCTGGAGCGGTAATATTATCGATCTCTGCCCATGCACCAAACATCTACGTAGGGAAGACGTGGTGGGACGCGTTGACAACACGGGTTGAAATACTTGCGCCGGCAGCGTCGCTGGTGGAGCTTCTCCAACGAATGCCGTCATCGCCGCTCGTGACGGCCGTGCTCAGCCGCTGCGATCCGTCTGCACCACCAACCGCGCCTGCACCGCCAACTCCCAAATCTGGAAAGCCCGACCACATTAAGGAGCGCCAGGCCAAGATACTTCAGAAGCTTCGTGCGCAACAGAACGCATTTCTCCGCCTTTCAAAAGATCGGGCGCCCGCGGATGAAGTCCTCCCCGTCTTTGCGCAGGCGTCGCTTGGGTCGGTAGAAAGTCCGCGACCAACAACGACGGCCTACGACTGCGCATTGTGTCACGACGAAGCGGTCGCCAACAATGCTTTTGGCTCGGTTGGCTTTCTCACGCCGTCCCGCGTCGCATGCCTCGCGTCGCCACCGCTCCTCGCACCATATCCGCATTGTCACGCTCGCGTCTGCGGCCACGTAGTCCATCTGGGATGCATGCAAACGTACCTCACAACGCTCGATGACCGCCAACGCATCACGGCACCTGGAGAATTTGTCTGCCCCATTTGTCGCCGCCTCAGCAATACCCTAGTGCCGCTGGCTGCTTCCTCAGCGTCACCGCCGTCGGTTGTCGAGTGGGCCTCGGGTCGGTTTGTACCAGCATCAGTGCTGCTGCCGCTGTCCGTTCGCACGTTTCTTCACCAAGTGCATTCGACTATTGGCAACCCGTTGGCGCCGACGCTTGCGACCCTCGTCGACATGGCTGACCACCTCCTCTTCCTGGCCGAGCTCAGCGAGCGTAACGCCGGTATCGCGACCACCTTTCAGTGCCTCGCCAATCTCGTGCATGTGCCTACGCTGCAGATTCCGAGCCCACCGTGGACGTGGCATCAGTTTCTCTCGTGGTGCCTTGTTGCGCCTCGCTCTGCGCCAGACCTCCTCGCCCACTACGTGCCGTTTGCACTTTCGCAGTCGCCGACGCTGCCTGGCCTCGCCCGCAAGCTCCGTACATACGTCATATCACCTTTCCTTTTAAAGCCTGCTGGTCGTAGGACATGTGCAGACGTGGCTCGGCAAGTCGAACGCCATCGCTGAGACCGGTGCGCTCGACCAGTGGCTGACGGCGCTGCAACCCGAGGTACTTGTCGGTCGCATTTTCATTGCTCATGTATCGAGCGCAAAGGCGTCATTGCCGACCGCGACGTTCTCGCTCGTGAAGCTGCCAAAGCACTACGTCGAGATCTACCTTGCGTACTGCCAAAAGAATGCACAGTGCGCCAAGTGCAACGCCGTGCCTCAGCATCCAGCGATCTGCCTCCTCTGCGGCGTACGACACAACTACCAAGCACACTGTCTCATGCCACGTGACGGGTCGTAGAAACTTGTTTGTTGCTTTGGCGCGTGCTGCCAGGACGATCAAGGACGTGGTGAGTGCACTCAGCACAGCCTTACGTGTGGCGTTGGCTTTGGCTGCTTCCTCCTCCTCCGCGCCTGCACGGTAATGTGTTTGATTGACATCGAGCCATTTGACGCATCTGACCACACTAGGTGCTTTTGCTGCTTGGACAAGGACGGTGCAGTATTTGGGGCAGCGTCTACTTGGACAAAAATGGGGAGGAAGACCCGTACCTCCGTCGCGGCAAGACGCTGTACCTGAGCGACGAGCGCTACACGCAGCTGTGGGAGCTCGTCGTGCGCCACGGCTTTACCGAGAGCAGCTCAATCTTAGCCAACACGTCGCGTCAAGATGGGTTGCGGTATTAACATATTAGCAAGTCCTTCCTTCTGCACTACCTTACTTAGTTGGCAACATGGCGAAGCAAGTGGGAGATGCGGTAGTTGAGTTTCTCGACCTGCTTCTTGAGTGCTTCATTCTCTTCGCGGAGAGCAGCCTCGTTCGAGATCGAGCTCGAGGATGGGGCCGACGTCGCAGTGTCCTTGACCATCGCCTCCCGCAACTGGCGCAGCGCCATGAGCATTTGTTCCTGGAAGGCCTTCAGATCACCGCCACCGACCGCGCTGAGCGACTTTTCGACTGCAGTCAGGCGCTGGCTCACTCCCTACATCCCTCGTGTCAGAATCCCTTAACCTGCAACTGCGCGTACGTCCATCTTGGCATCGACACGCTCCATGTCGAAAGTTGGATCGATTCTGGCACCACTCGCTTTTTCCACCAGAATTAAGTCCGGCGCACTTCTGCGAACCATCCCAGTGACCGTGGCCGGATGACTGCCCATCAACTTGATGGGCAGTCATCAAGCCACGGGCCAAGTCCCTTCGTATGTGCTTGTTTTGAAACTTTCAACACAAACACATACGAAGGAACACCGTACTCCCTGAACATCGGCATGCGTAGTACAATGCAAATAGGAAAGTGAACTAGAACGAATGACTGCTGGAACCGTGGGCACGGGTTCCTGTACAGTCTCATCCCAACAGTCTTCCCGCGGGATGATCCACAACGACGAACCACAACGTCTCGCCCCCAGCCCAGTGGTGAAAACCACGAATACACCCGAGTGGACGGGCCACACTGCTTGACGTATGAACTTCGACGAACGATATCCGTTTTCGTGCAGCAGCATTCGTGAAGTTTATCATGTCATCCGAGAATGAGCGCGTTCAAATGTCACGGCAGCATGATTGATGCTGCTAGAATAGTACTAATAAGGATAATGACGGCTAGCATCGTACATATACTTGGTCGTCTGGGACCACTCGAACCAACTAGCATGCCAATATAGGATGTGCTTACTCGACTGCGTTCGAATTCCAAGTCGGGTGCTGGTACAGAATAGTGCCAGACACTTTCCCAGCAGGGCGGTGCGTTCCAAGCCGTTACCCAGAGTTGGTTACAATCGCGCGCCGACACGGACTCGTCCATGGCCGTCGGTGCACGGATGCAGCTCAATGGTGTCTACGATTCCCCGCAGCGCACAAGTGCTGACACTTCAGTGCCACCCTCATCTCGCACTACGACGCTGATTCGTTCTCCATCGACTTGTTGCAAAGACCCCGAATCGGTGTTCGCGATCACTCTCCCCAAGCACCGGCGGCAATTCATTCTCACCCAGAACAACTTCCACCCACTTTCTGCCGCACTGCGAAAGCGCCCGCAGTCGGCGATGACCAGACCTAGAGTGAACCAGGTGTGCCCAACGCCAGACCCTCCAATCGCGCCAAAACCACGGCCACAGACGGCACACCGGCGACTAAGCAAGGCGCCGCCAACATTTTTGGTTGCACGTCCAGCGTCCGCGTCTCGACCATTGATTGCAAAGCGGCCGACGCTTCCAGCAGCGTGGCTGCTGATGCAAAGAGAGCTTCAAAATCAAGCGCCGCCACTCACAACGGGTGCTATTGCCGCGCAGCTCACAAGAAAAGAAATCGAGTTGCAGCGATTAGTCACCACCGGCGCGCACAGGTGTCTTAACGACACGAAAATTGCCCACGATCAAAAGCAGAAGGAGCTGCGGTTTCTCCAGCATGGTATCACGGAGCACTGGAAAGAGCTACCATCAACATCAAGTGGCGATACATCGGTCGAAGCCAGGGTTGTCGAGCTGAAAGACGAGCTGCGCCGCGCCAATGCGTACACTGGCGGCCTCCAACGCATGTATGAGCGCACAAAAGCCGATGGCCATGCGCAACAGATTACGGCGTCGACGACTCGCAGCCGCGCGGGTACCCTTGCAAAAGAGTAATATCCCCTACTTGTTCTGACATCTAAACAAATTGCCGTGGACAGGTGGCAAGCTCTCAACGCACGGCGACATCACTTCGAAAACGCCGCCCTCGAGCGGGTCAAACGACTCGCGGCTCTTCGGTAACATAAACAATTTCGCTTGGTTTAACAGCAATCACACGCGCGTAGTCGTAAGAAAGAAGCAACAGACGCCAATGCCACGGCCGTTATTGTCCACATGAAGACCGAGCTCAAACAAGGGTCGGAGCTGGAGCGCTGGCGCATTGAAGCCGACAAAAAGCGCGCGAACCTCGTACGCACGTTTCGTTCGCCGCTCGTCGAGGTGCCATCTCTCCGTTCGCATCGCCATGTATGCACGCGTATTAGGACAAGTCTACGCGTCTCGGGCGCGCAAACACCAAGCTCCTTCTCTTCCGCGAGGCTGTGCTTTCAACAAAAGAGAACCAATTCGATGAGCTCGTGCGCGAGTCAGGCGAGTCGAATATCCATACACTCGTGCAGCGATTCACTTCGTACTCAACGGATTTTGCAACGCTGAACCAAATGGATGCCGAGAGCTGCGTTGCGCTTGAAGCAGTTGAGCAACGCCTCGAATCCTTGGAGGTCCAAGTGCGCGAACTTCAGACTGGGTAAGAAACAGTGCGTTGTGATAGATCACATACGAGCACTTGAATTGTAGTGGTATCGAACACGTCGTCGAGACCCAACGCCGGGCGAAAGCGCGACTTGAAGAGAAGCTATGGAGTGCCAAAATGCACGAAGATAAAGTCGCTGCAACATTGAGGTCCCAGCAGCAAACCATATCAGGTCTTTGAGCCGTTGTCGCATCGATCTATATATGACAATCGATGCGGTAGTGCTGCACCAAGGCCTCCTTGCCATTGCAGATATTCTCGCCTGCCTCGATACGGTGGCGACGGACAGACACACAGCAGCCTCAACGTTGGAGCTAGCTACACGTTGCGTCGGACTTCTCAAGCGCCACCGAGTTCGAGAGCCAGTGCTTTCAGCAACGGCATTGCAAGAAGTGCTTGAGCATATCGCGCATATTGCACCCTCACGAAGCGTTGTGCCACCGACGACAGCATGCAGCAACAAGTTCGGGTAGAAATCAATTCGCCTTGCGGTTAATGACAAAGATAGATATGAAATGAACCCTACGCGACTCAGTACTGACTACTCGTGTCCTTTTGGCATCATATTTTTCAGAGGACTTCATAATATGAAGTTCCGCCATTCCACCGGTTGGCATGCGCTAGCTGAAAGCTAGAACCTAAATGCTCTACTTGAATGGAAGCAAATTAATTGCCATTACCAAGCATTTATTACCTTCCTCAATCAAGACCGAACTGTACTTGGAGGCAACAACTGTGATGGTGTCCTTCGTGCCAGTGTTGGTGTTCTCCGTGCCAGTGGTAGGCGATGCGGGTAGCTATTTGACTGACACTTCCAATTTGGAAATGGCTTGAGCTCTGCGCCTTGATCCTGGATTTTATAACGTATGTTTGTTTCTGGATCTTGGTCTTCCATCGCTCGGACTTGCGCGGAAAACCACTTCCACTTCTTGGAAACGGCCCAAAGAAACACACCTGTATTTATGCCCTATTTTTATTACAACGCAAGGCGTTGGAATTTTGACTATGGCTCACAACGTAGCATTGATTGGACTACCAAGCACCGCACATGAAGCGCTGGCACATGGACATGCGTCCTTGGCGTGGCAAGTCGTTCTCAGCGGCGACGGCATCGTTGAAGGAGCCATCGATCACGATGACTGCGGTTGACGCCAGTGCGTGCATGTGCGATAGCATGTGCTTGAGCTCGTCTGGCGTCGGCGTGTGCGGCACGAAGTCCAGTGCGAACATGGTGCCGACAACGTAGCCATCATGGCAAACTGGCGCGGAAGCCACGAAACGCACGGGGGCACCAAACGGATTCGGTCCGTTGCTCGAAACGAGTGGGTGCGCTTTGAACCGATCGTCCTGCGTCGTATCAAGCACCACCATCGGCTCCCGCGACGCGACGACGTAGCCGCAGAAAGATTGGTGACGCGGTAGCTCAATCGTCTCGCCCTTGTACTGAAAACGCTGGCTTGTCTCGTTGATCCAGCTCACAGCCATGACTGGGTACTGTAATTCTTTCTTGGCGATCTCGTTGAGGAACATGAGAGTCTCGTCCTTGAGCTTGAGCTTGTGCACCCAATGCAGCCGATACGGATCGTCCCATGCCAAGTCCAGCGAGACTTCGGTGATGCCTGAGAGCTCGGCTGTCTCTGCGTGCACCACAACCGTCTTGCGCTCGCGGTGCTCGACAAAGGTCGCGTCCTCGCACTGGATCGTGTCCATTCGGGAAATGATGCGATGCTCACCGAGGCGTCGCGTCGCGCGCGTTTATCACACAATCCTGTGAGTAAGCTCAAAAGCGCACCTATTATTCATCAACGCACCTAAGATATGCGTAAAGCGCACGAGATTCGTTATGGAAGACGCACCCAGTGCAACACAGCCTGACGCGACACTGCAAAGTGCAAGGAGGTCGTGCGAGCGTTCGGTCATTACGCGGCAGCTCGCGATCCAAAGCCAGCAGCGTGTACTGTACCTACGCCAACTGCTTGGTACGAATGCGTTGGACAAGGCCAGTTTTCGAAGGGAGTCGAGGATTTATGCAGCCATGTCGACTCACATCTATGCACCGCTCGCTTGCAAGACTGCACTTTCGATGCCCAGGATGAAGTCAGGGTAGAAGTCGTGACGAATGACACAATCTCATGTGCGAAAAATCGGGGTTTTCTCTCTAGACATGACTGCATAGTCAAAAACGTACCGAGTACATGTATTCATCTCCGTTGCACAAAATCGAGGCGAAATGCACCAAAAGTTTGCGTTGCGAACAATTCATTTGTATGTAGTCATCACCATAGGCGCGCATCGACTGCAACACAGCAAAACACTCTTTGCCTATCATCGGTGCTATTTTTTCCTACTTTTCCATGGCGATGATCAGATTGGAATGAAAGGCGATAATTGGCGGCGACTTCCTTTTGCACCGGCATCATTCAAAGGACTCTGAACATATATATCCATGAAATGTATATCCATGTACTCCGATGCACCACTGTTGTGCCGTCACCACTTTCTTCGTCGCTCATCATTTTGTCGG